CCAAAGTGTTATCCCCTAATCACTAAGATTGTTATAACATCATGAATATCCGGCAGTATTGAGACATCCGTATATGAGCCCATCTACCAGCAGAGGTCGAGCAGTTCGGCACTGCATAGCAACCGGCAATTGTAAGTACCATTACAACAGGTTGGAAAGTGTTTCACGGTTTCGAATACTGATAAATTTTTTTCTAAACAGCTTGTTTACGGTCATAGTGCACTTCTATATGACTGATCAGTATTTCTGATAGAAATGAGTTAGTTTAGCTTGATCATTACGGACCACCTTTAAAACAAAAGTGGCTTGTTATTGATCATCTACTGCTTCGAAGTTACTGCACTATAGTTTCCCTTCTATTAATTATGATTATGAAACTATTCGTCAATCTAAATCTGGTGATTCTCTGTTCTTTAGTCTTTTAACTCATTTGATCTGTTAGACTTTTCGGAATCTAATGGTTTTTTCTGCCATTTCGGTGTGATTTTCACTGCAGTCAACATTTGTCTCCAGCTTGTCTCCGTTCTTGATGAATTCGTCTCGATTGCATCATTTATGGTTTCCAAATATACATACCTGCTGAGTCATGCCTATATATAAAAATTCCGTTGCATTTCTGAAATTACTTCTAGATTATGGAAACTACTCAGTTGAAATAGTGGTTGTAAATGTCTGCAGTGAATTCCTCTGTTTACAAGCTGTTTACTTTTAAGTATCATAGTAGTCCCTGTTTCTATTTATTCTTGAAGGAGTTAACGCTATTCTAATTAAAGGTTTTTCAAACCGTTTACAATTTATGACATCAAATTACGAATGGGAAGACCACAAATAGTATCATATGTTTGTATTTTGCATTCACGAGTTAGATGATAAACAAGAAATCAAAACTATGCTGTCAAGTCACTACTATTTATGCAATAAAACAGTCAGTTAAAATCATGATTAACTTTTTTTGTCTTCTAGGCAAGGATAGATAATTACTTAGAAAACTGTCAAATAGGTTTCTTCTTATTTGAAGAGTTTTGACCGTCTTAATCCTCATATATCTCCTTTGATTCTAGCTATCTCAAATCCAGTCACACGGCTGGCATTTTGCGTCCAAGCTCACTGGTTTTATGTCACCAGTAAAAAACCCCTTTGTCAACTGTCTGAATGAAGATTAGTTTATAAAAAATTCAGTCAGCTATACAGATACATGAAATGAATTCACTAAACTCACACACTTTTTCCTTCGTTGACTAGGAATTCGCATCTGGGTCAACCGCAAACGTGATTATCACTAACCATGTTATTCACAATCCAGTTACAGTTCCCACAAGAATTGTATTCGCACTAAAGTATTCAGTCGAAATTGGGAGGGAGAGATTTAATTTGCAATAACACAACAAAAGGGATGACAAAAACCAACCTTTAAGCGATAAACCTTCAGACGCTAACTGGATTACTTGAAGTCAAGGCTTATAAGAGAGCCTTTAATGTAGATTACACAACAAAAGTTGCAACACTACGCATCATCATAAAACAGAGTACAGAATTGCAGTCAACTCTCTACCTCAGCCTCATCGATTCTGAAAAGGCCTTCGACAGCACTGATCAAGAAGTAATTTGGAAACTGCTTCAACGCTACGGCTTTGGTGTCACAAACCTTTATCAACCTCACTCAGCAACTATATGCTATATGATGCTACATGCCAAGCGATTCACAATGGAAAGCTCAGTGACGCCTTTAAAGTGAAGACAGGAGTAAGACAAGGCTGCCTACTATCACCTGGTTGTGGTCGTGAGGAGCGAGAAGATGAGCACACACTGGATGGACCGATGAGAAGACCCCAGAAGAAGATTTGGATTTCGCGATAATGATTTCTGTCCACCGTTGCACAAAATCGAAGATCCACAGGCGAAAACCAACAAGATGGCGGAGGAGGCAGGGAAGCGAAAACGGGACTTCATGTGAACGTGGAGAAGGCAAAGGTGATGAAGATGCTCATCCAACAACATCAACAACAAGCAACAATCACCATTAACGGGAGAAACCCAAGGGAAGTAGTCGCTTTCGCCTACCTAGGCAGTATCGTCTCAACTACATGTGGTGGCACAGATGAAGACGTCGAAGCCAGGATCGGAAAAGCAAGATAGACCTTCATTAATCTACTGCACTCAGTATAAAGAACAAGATCCGCATTTTCAAAACTAATGTCAGCCAGGTCAGTGCTTCTATGTGACGTTAAAAGACTATGCGCGTTACGAAAAGCATTCCCAACAAACTGCAGACATTCATCAACAGCTGCCACCTAAGCTCACTTGATACTGACACTGATCAGATGGCCAAAATAATAAGAATAAGCAACAAGGAACTCACTGTAGCTGGCAACGCACCAACCAAGAACCCACCTCCCAAAAAATATGCAGAAGAAAGTAGAGATGAATTGGGCATACACTGAGAAGACCATTCAGAGACATCATGCTCCAAGCCAGGCCCTCGAGTGGAATCCAGATGGGAAACGACGAGCTGGGCGTACGAGGCGAGGGTGACATGGAGGAGGTGGTGTGAGGAAGAAATGACAGCTTCTGGGCAGTTGTGGAGTCAAGTTGAAAAGACTGCAGTGAACAAAGTGCAATGGAGACGTTCTACTGAAGCCCTATGTTCCACTAGAAACCCAGGGACAAATAATAAAATACACAACGAAAGCCTAAAATGTCAAAAGCGTGGAAAAATTCACTTCTTGTTCAATGTCACCTTAAGGTATGGTTTGTGACATCAGTCATCAATGCACTCATGTGAACTGCAATCCCAGACAGCTGCATGGGTTCAACGGTGTGCTGGCAAAACAACCGTTCAGCGGCACTTAGCTGTGCTTGGGTTGCAGGAATAGACATAATTAATTGGGTCAAAAGCTGAAGAGATCAGATGTTAACTGTTGGGTGTCGGACGCTTCAGTTTAGACCATAGACCTTGCCCGTAAAATTACTGAAAGGATTGGATTTATCTGTTAAAATTAGTTCACATAATGTGACAAGTATGGCAGGTTCCACAAATAAGAAATGTAGCTTAAATCTACAAATCATAAGGAGAGAGGAATTGAATGTACCCATCATAAGCTCGGAAAGGCCAAAAATGGAATGATCTATTGAATGCAACTCACAGCAATGAAATCCTCAGGTAATTCTTTCAGTTAGGGACAAGAGAGGTCAGTGCTTATTATTCTTGTAAACGAAAAAAGCGCACACGTTTGAGGATGAAAATCTAGATGAAGGTAAGGAAGTTGATAACTTTGAGGAGGATAGCCTACAATGCTCAAAGCCACTCAGTAAAGAATGTCGACACGACATCGTCCACTGAATGACTCATTTGGTATTGATAACTAACCAGGCTTGAACTGTGGGTGTCTGGTAAGCATTGTGTTAAAAGGAGTGCGAGCACTGATAACTGAAGGAGAGATACGAAAAGAATCAGTAGAATAAAAACTAAGCTAACAGGACCGACATCGCATGAGCCTACTCATCTACCGACTTTCGTTTACCAAAGGGTCTCTTAAACCCGAAAGAGTATTTTCTGAAAAACCTACGTCTCAACATGGGCTATCGAAGTTGAATTCATTGGACCTATGTCAGCCAGCGAGTACCACGATGGGACTTAATGGGGTTTGATCTGCTAAAGGACTGGAACGTCAAGCAGAGGACAGTACGATGCTTCCCAGTCTAGTCAAGGGAATTTACTTCGGCTTAACATAAATAAGTGGTAAATAGCGTTCGTGAATGACTATTAGAAATAATTATTACTCTACAGGAGGGACTAAGGTATCTCGTTATGAGGCTTAGAAGGACTTAGAGAGAGTGTGTGTGATTGAGACTTTTGGCACCTTTAGGCATTGTTGATAATTTGCAAATAAGACGTGGTATGCTTGAGTTGCTTTCATCGACCTTAGAAGACTTAAGACTATGACCTTCCAAAACAGTTTACAGGTTGTATATCTGGCCACATCTGAAAGCAACCTAAGTCATTGTATTGTCTTACCTCTAAAAGAATGTTGCTTTTCCAGGATTAGTCCGGGAATTGACAACTAACAAAGTGATTAGGGCCAAAAATAAACCATATTCAGGCCCCCTGTGCGTATTAGACCTACCATCTGTACAGTACAGACGGATAAAGGAGCATCCAATTATGATGTATTATATCGCCCACAATTGTAATCGCCCAATAGCTCTTAGAGTAAAACCCTAAATCCAGTTGGAGAGAATATGCTTTCCAGGTTAGGCATAAAAGAGCCTGCACTAAAATTCTTGAAAACTTTCACCATGAAATTACATAACTTGTGCAATCTTCCGGTGGGTGTTGTGATGGCTACGTCGCCTGAAAACCTTTGAACGGAAGTTGGGTATCTGCCTTAGTAACAGTATGACATGGGAATATATTCAGTGTATGACGTTCACGAGCAATTTTCGAGGAATAGAAAGCGCAGAGATTATCCAGTATTAATGTTCGCTTGATTCTTGTAAGACCTTGGTGAGAAGTAAACAAGGACGAAACTCCATTCCTAAGATCCAATTTTAATATCACAGTAGCAACTCAGAGAACTTTCATTTTGGCACTCCTGCGACATGAAGAGTTGAAGATCCAAAGTTCGTCCGCTGTACACAAAAGATGTAATTGTAATGGAATTAAAACTGTACTTTCCAGTTTAGATTTCCAAGTTGCCTTGTCTTCTCGCCGGGAATTACTAATGTTTCTCGATTGTACTAGATCATTGAACATCATATGTCTGTTGAGCCGTCGGCTAATGTCCTCTTTTTTCCTTTTCCAGATCCTTGTGCTGTCTCAGTGGGGGTACCACCACCAAGCTTACGTTCTCTCCATCACTCCCTGCAACTACGTACCTACAGGCTAGACGCAAACCTCTCAACAACCGTTTGTTAGGTGATTGGTTAGTTTTTTCGTGACTCCAGAAATACGGTGATATTTGTTGTTTGGCCATGAACGACGAGGAGAATTTGCAAAAATTATGATGATGGGCTTCACGGATGAGGAAAATATAAGAGCTGTCTTAAAGTCTTGCAGTTCAGATGTGAATGAAGCAATTTCTCTATTGGCATCTGAGGGTACATACTCAGGAAATAGTTGTAATTTCTTATCGGACAATGTAAGAAAATGTCGACGTTCTTTTTATTACTATGTTATTTCATTCAATATATGATCAACTGCATATTTATGTCAACACAATTCTAGTTGGTTTTGCGATACTCAGTTCATTATGTCAGTCATAACCGACTGTGAAAAATGAGACAGAAGAGTGAAAAACGGCTCGGTGGTGCAATAAATTCATAGTGATAGGGAAATGCAACATGTTAACCTCCTATTTTCCCCTTTTTCATCTTTATTTCCCCATTCGCACCAACTTAGGTGACCATTATAGGGAAATTTAGAGAGAGCCATTGGACGATTTCTCGGGATTCGCGACAGTTAGTCCTCACATGACCCAAAACTATATGCAGATTTCCCAACTTCTAGAATGTTTTTCTATTCCTCCGACCTTCCTTAATTGTGTGTTTATTTTTCATCATTTCCACCGTAGGATCTTTGATTTCCGCTCGCGTGCTTTGATGCTTTGCCTGTTGTTTAAATGATGAATTGCCTTTCGAGTAACCTTTTCTTTTTATCACTTCTGCTGTAAAAGACTGCAGAATTGAAACTCAGACAAGTAGTATAGTCCTTATTTTTCTATTTATTTAAAAAATCTCACTTCAGACTTTTTGTAGCATTATTGCATAGCTCATCTCAGGAGTTTTATTTACTCCTCACTCAGTTGTGTACGACTCGTCTGCAAAATACCTGTTAAGTGAAATAAGTTATTATAGATTATCCCAATTTCTACGTATCAAATGATTTATTTCATATGAATTACGGTCCATTGTGGGCACGAGATTTACTTGTATATGTGCATAATACAGATGGAAAAGGGTTCAAGTTGGCCAGACCGAGACATGGCACCAGTCTATGAAGTCGCTGACTGTTGCCCCACCGTGCGGGAAGATGTCGACTGCCTTGGAATCAGCGGTTGAGGACTCTTGGTGGCATGGCTGAAAATCAGTCGCAATGGCACAGATGTATTCACTCTTTGATATATCTTCTAATAGTTGACTATTTTGTATCGTTATAATTACTCCTTGAGATAAAAGTGGTGTCGGCGTATTACTCTTCCTTCTGTAGATGGTTTGATTTCAAACGTCATTCAAAAACTTGATATCGTTTTGTTATCTATTAGTTTTGGCGAAAAAGAATACTTACAGAGTGGTTTCTCAACCGTTTAAGGTAGTTGTGATATCTTAGTGTACAACAGCTTTGGACGAGCTATAGTTCTTTATCGAGTATGATTGTAATCCGTGTTATGTTTGATACTTCAAATATTCGGTTGGAGCTTCTGTCAAAGAAGTTAGTATTAATCTGTGTGCCACAGTTTCACTAATGGGATTTCCGTTATAGGAATTAATTTTGGCTTGTGTCGATATTTAGAAGGCCTCCCTACTAACAATGACCAATTTAAAATCTAGTTAATAAATACAAACTACTATACGATTCTTGAAGAGAATTTCTTAACAAACGTTTTAAAGTTTGCTATAATCAGTGCAAATATTAATAAATCAATTATTAATGTAGCCATATTTTTGGGGGATTTCGGTATTAGGTCGAGAACCGTGCAGCGTAGCAGTAATTATCCGTTGGTATAGAGGATTTATAAAGTTTGAAACAAAAATAAAGAAGAATGAGTATTCTTAGCGTAAAAATGTCTTACCAGACTACAATCGAATGGTATAACCTCATTCAGATACTCAGTGTGTGGGGAAAGGTCCTGAACATTGAGATAAATAAGAGTATTTGAGGCAGAAAAAAAATTTGTGGCGTAAGGATCCACCACAAGTGAGATAATCCAAACCATAAAAAAGCTGGTCATCTTTTTAAAAAGTGCCAAAAAGTTAATCGCTTTTGCAAAAAAAATAGTGTGAATTGCTTACTTTAGAAGGACTGACAGTTGTTAGAGCTCAGATTTCAAACAAAAAGGCATTAATATAGAATTCAGTATCACTACCTAATGATGCGATTTCCTGCCAACTAGACTTTCACCATTGGATGCGCTGGTAAAATAGACTTGCATTACACGAAATCAAACAGACACAGTGCAGTCAAGTTTGTCGAGCACTCCTTTTTGCAAACTTCAATCTTGATGATTACGTTTTCCTCCTGAGGAGGCTTGCTTACAATACAGCCAATTAAGTCACAATATAAAAATAATGGGATAGTAAATGTATCGTTCATGGTCGCGATATACCGCATGCACTGTTATAGCTTACTTTACGTGACTGACAGTTGTTTTTCCACCGTTTTGTTTCAATTTTTCCAGAATGTAGTCAATGAACAAGTATCAGAAGATAAATGTTCTGGAAGAGGAGATACTTCAGTGGAAAAAGACATGGATCCACTCGATAACATGATCAAAGGACATGATATTAGCCGAGGATTTACATCTTTTGAATTTAACAGACTTCAGAATCGCATTTCTACAGAACAGTGGGATATTCCCTGTTTAAGATCACAATCTCTTGGCCTTTGTCTGTTGGGCACCATTCATGAAATCAAAGTTAATGGTCTGAAAATCTTCGACTTATACCCTGAAGCTGAACGATTCCTCACTAGCTGCCTCAAAGAATGTGTTTCTAAGGTAATGCATTTTTGTGTTTTATTGCGTTGACCGAAAACTTTGGAGTTTTGTTTGCTTATGAGGGAGTAATATTCAGCTCCTTTGCACTAGGGGGTTTACACTTTATAAGCTTAGGTACGGTCCTTTCTCTGTTTAATCGTTCGATGTAATATCATGCTGACTAACACTTTGAACTAATTTTTTTGATCGCTGCTACCTTGACGTTATTGTCGGGCTCTCACACCACAGTGACCTGACGAGCTATTCTAAGGGAAATGTTTGTTCCTTGGGGTTCTAATATTCAAGAAATGTCTGATGAACGGTGGCAAAAAAGCAGTTACCGTCCTAGCGTAAACAACTACATTGTGGTGCTGGTTTGAGAGGTGATATCCGACTACTTATTAAGGCTCGAGTGTACTTCCTTGTAGTGCTTTCTGATCTACTGTGTGGTTGTGAAACACGACCGGTAAAGATGAAGAACATGACGATAATGATATATTTGCTTTATTCCTAACCATAACTATATTTACTGTACAGAATTCTCAGCGTGTGATATTGCATCAAGTTACCCGTTGTATAACATTTTTTCAAATATATGTCAAAAATTGTTATGTTTAACGATATATGATAGAGAATAATATGGTTGTTAAGGTGTTAAATGAATTCAGGGACATGATAACTTCGATTTTGCAAAGTCGACTGATGAGACTATGTCTGAGATGATTTTTTTCACACAATACACAAGATAAATAAGGTAAGGTTGATTTTTGTATGTAGTTGTGCGTGCATAGAGTTTAACATGCTTTCTTCTTGTCTTCCGTGAGGGTAGATATAGAGAAAGATGTGAATGCAGAGGATGCTTGTTATCGGATGAAATATTTTTAGCCAGTACTCTGCAAGAGTTCAGCTGCCTATCTACGATCGTATTTATCAGCACGGTTAGGCGTTGGATGTTTGGCCACCGTTGTCCTTCGTGGCGAAGACAGTATATTGTAGAACTACCACGTCAGTACAGCACCAGTCGGATGCAGAGTTTTGGGCAGAAGAAACGGTTCCGTTGATTAGGTTATGAACCTTCATTTATTCATGGCTGCAGTATTTATTACGTAAACGTGGTGACGTCTACTCCGTCATCCAATGTTAGCTGATATAGGTTGAAGCTGGAAAAAATTTGGAGTCAGCTACACTGACATGACATCAATCCATAAAGCCTCTTGCTGTTAATTTGAGCTGTATGGGGAAAGTAGGCTTTCTGCTTGGCGTCCACTTGACAACTGAAATCGGCGATTGAAGAATCTAGGTGATATGAGTCAGGAGTGGTATCATTGGTGCAGACCTATTCACGTATCATCTTCGTTTCAGTTTTCATACTGAATTTGATTATTGTTTCATTCCTTCTCATTTTATTTTTGCGACCTTTTACCAATTTCGATTACTTCCTTCTTTATTTTTCTATCTTCACTTTGATTCTTTCTCACTTGATCTGCTAGTATAAGGTGTGGCAACTGGAAGGGTTACGGAGTGGTTCTAGTTCTCACTGTAGTGCTGGTTGACTGTGACTGTTTGGGAACTCTTAACCGAACCTTAAAATGCATGGGTTTATTCTTTCGGATGGGTGTATATCATTTTGTTATTAGTCTGTTGTATTATTCAATCATATTCAGTATGTATAAGTTAATGCATTACGATTATGCTTAGATATCCCAACATCCAGCCAAAGTGAAAATATCATATACAAAGGATGTAGTGTTATTTCCAAGTGATCAGTTCATTTTGATTATTTACGCTCACATAATTTGTGCTTCTGCTGTTTTACTGTATGGCCCCGTTTATGCGCAAATTATAACCTTTTTTGAAATGGTTTATTTAAATTGGATGTAAAGGTGATTTTATCCGTTGTTTACTCGTTTGTTGAACTGTCGGCGGTAACTTTTTTACACGTCATTCCGTCATGCGGCTTTGAGAAATCCAACCATTTCAGTAGGTAGTAAGAATGGAAAATAAGAGAAAACAGAAAGGGAAAGGTACAGAATCTAGTTTACCTTCACCATTAGTCAACATTTTTCGAGACTATTGAAAATCTATTTTGCTGCGTACCTATTTCTCTCTCTGAGGTGATAATTTAACGTCTCAATTGCAGAGACTAACTGTAAGTTCTGCGATGGTTACTATGTGTTTCAGTTTTTTCATACTACCACATCATGTAAAGGATCATAGTGTTAGCTGTATGGTCTTTGGCTGAGATGTTCGCTTCCATGAAAAGCAGATTACACAAACTGAAGAAACATTTTCTCCCCCGTTATTCTTTATTGACTGATTAAACAGTACAAACTTAAAACTTTGAATTCATGAACATATGCTTTTGAAAATTTTTATCTATCATTGACAATAACGGAATCGTTTTTATTTTTTACATAAAGCTTATGACATCTCAAGCTGTGTACAACTGGGATCGTGATACTCTGGAAGGTGTACATAATATGCTAGAATTGATTGTTCGTTTGATTTGTGAATATATGAGTGTGTGAAAGTGAAAATTATAGAAGAGATAGAAGGAATCAGTGATAAAAAAGACCATGATGAGAAGTGTTTGCAATTGTCAACCGTGAAAGCTAAACGTATTCAATCTATTAGTTTACTAAATTGTGGTGCACTTTTATTCACTGAACCATTTCAATTACTTTCAATGATTTTTGACTGTGAAACCAATTATCATCAGTTGTGCCGTGATAGGAGCAACAGTACTGGAACGTACGCGTAAGTTAATGCCTAAATCTAGAAGATTAACCTCATACTTTTCTCTACAAGTACTATATTTCATGTAACTCATTGTCAAGATTGAATCTTTAGAACAACAGATTGATGTACATATTTTCTTCTATAATACCGAAAAAACTTCGGTTCGAGTACAGTAATCAGCATGAATTTCTTTTGAGCTTATCGGTTCACTTAATTGGTAATAATCGATAAGTAATTGATAATAACTAAGTTTGTTGACTCCTCAACTCTAATTATGAAGAAATAACTTCAAGTACAATGTTATACAGTATGATATTACCTGCCCTGAGGTTATACTAAGTTCCTCAATTAGTAGTATTCCATTAGTATATGGAGATTATATTCTTTTCTATCATCTGATACTTATTTCATGTAGTCTCTCAAATCATTTGTGCGGTATCATTCGCTATTTATATATAGAGTTTGTTTTTCTTTATGACCAGTAAAGCCGTTGCATTGCTTATGTTGGTCTGTGTGCTTTAGTATTCAGTAGCTTTAGCGTTTCCCTCTAGATTAAAAGCAGCATCATTCTTTCAATATAAAGTTCCCTGTCTTTACATTCGTTATTTAACAAACCGTATTACTGTAGTCGTAATCCTGTGTAAAAAGTTTGTTATTAGTCAGAGATGTCTACGTGACAAAAGATTTTTCCTGTTCATTCTGACAATGAGATGATAATTTCTGCTGAATATTATAATTTTCTTGAATCGACCAATGGTTTTGCAAGTCCAAGTGATATTGAAAACTACTTACTGAACATTCATGCCAAGTAGGGCGTTTATTTGCTGGAATGTAAAAAAAATTAACTCTGTTGGTAAATACGATCTTCAAATTTACTATTCACACGTCATTGGCATCTTTGGTGAACCAAATCATCAATACATAGTAGTAAAGAATGTAACGCAACTTATGGTTACACATTGAGCTTCGAACGACTCCGAATTTGTGACAGCTGATACTACTCGACCATCCAAACTGAAGTATCTTGAATAGACTCTAAAGCGGATACCCATTATTAGAAAAGCGAGTCATCCAATTTTACTGCATAACATTCAGATAGTCATAATAACAGGCGACTACAATAGTCAAGTAGGAAAGCTGAGTCAGTCAGAAAGACATCCTGGAGGTATCTACGGAATCCCATGGCAAAAAACTGACTACGACGACCGTCTACAAATTTTGTTTTGAAAATCACTTGTTTCTGGTCAGAAACACTGACGTTTATGCACATAAAACCAATGACAGACACAAATAAATTGTATTGTTATAAGTCATAACTGAAAAGGATGGGTGGTGGATAACCGCTGTTTCTAGATTATGGATCGTGGTTATAGATTGTTTTCAAGGTCCAGAATCAATAATAACAGTGACGTAAAAGAGTGAAAATAACGCATGAAGTCGTGTTGGAAATTTGTTTAAGAGTTTAGTTTTTCGGGACACTGCGGGTTGTTGCCGATGAAACTCTTCTTTGGATATTAGCTATGTGTTCATTCTCGGTTTGGGTTTTTGAATGCGTCAAATATCTTCAGTGATTTTGTAAAGTATTTGTCTTTTCAGCGTCTAATGCCTCATCAGTATTCAACACATAGCTTTTGCGCTCTGTTAAAGTTTCTCATTAGATAAACGTCTGTGCAGAAGAACAGAATAGTTGACCTCCATTGAAAGTGAATGCATCCCTTCTGTTGTACCGAAGTTTCATCCGTGTCAAATTGAGGTCTGCATTTTCCTACTTAGCACAGAATTAGCGATAAGGAACCTCATCCAATGACTTAGTAAAGTCTGTTTACCTGAAAGTATTTTAATCCTGTTTATTTTTATCGGTGAGTAGTCCAAATGATAGCTGACGAGGTGATCGGGCCTGGACATCACAATAACCCAACTAGCTACACTGGCTGAAACGCTGGTCTCTTGAGATCTTACTATGCCAGAAAGGTTTGTTGAGTATTAGTAAGCCAAAAAACTAGTGATACATCTGATTACCTGTCGACTATGTTGCTCTGTAGTCCGATATGTCCTATCATATGGCTGTGAGACACGGCAGTTAGAAAAGGAGAAGTTGTGAAAAGCTTACTGGTTTTCAACCACAGTTGTTTTCGTAGTATTGCCGACGAGTAATGGAATCATCGTGTTAGCAATGTAAAGGTTAGGGGGAGGTTGTTAGGCAGTGAAGACAATCCACCCGATAAAATTGTCAACTGTCAGCGGTTGAGGTGACTTGGACATGTGTTGCTCATGCGGAGCCATCGCCTACTGCGATGTACATTATAAGCTGAAGTAGGATGAGGTTGGAAGAATGCTCAAAGTGGTTAAAACAATGCATGGCACCAGTTCATGAAGTTAGTGACTGTTGGTCTAAGCCATGTAAAGAGGTTTAGACTACCTGATTAGTGTGCTTGGGATAATCGGAATCTGAGGTTGGAAACCGTGAGTGAAATAGCTGAATGTTGGTCACAGTGGTGCAGATGTATTCACTCTTTAACATCTTCTGCAACTTGAACATTCTCACTAACCTTCATTTTTCAGATTATTTATCCTTCCGTACCCTTGTCTACTTTGAAAATACTCTTTACTACTCCTTTGTTCTTTGCATACTGATGTGGAGTGTGGCAGCCGGAACCGATACACTTCTTTGCCAAGTTTTCCCTTGATTTTTATGTGTCAAAAACCGAGCAAGTTAATTATTCTTGTGACTAATAACTGCTGCACGGTTAAGTTACATGGAGAAATTGATCAAAGGATAGTTATTGTATTTGCAGTCTTCATTGCGAGTTGGAATTTTTTAATCGATGTATGCAATAAAACCAGAACATTTAGTTTTTCTTTTACCTTGGTTGACCTACAGCTTTATGGAGTGAACAGTAATTCATTAAAGTTTAAGTTAAACCTGCTATCTCTATTTACAAAGTCAGTTACTGTTCATTGGAAAATCAGTATTGAAGCAAATTTACTTGACCTTAAACCTTCAATCTGTTCGTCTCTTTCATTTATCAATGATAAGAAGAATGTATCCTCATTATTTACGAAAAAACTCGTCGTAACTTTTTTATAAGTTTTAGATCGAAATGGTGTAAAATATTTAGGTTTAAGTGTAACTCAAAATTATATTTCTGTAAACATTTATTTATTTATCAGAGATCCATTCAATGACTGGAGTCAAATCTCTCGTTCATATATGGGAAATATTGTCTTCGCTGACACATTACCAACTCCACGAAATTTTTATCTTGTCAATTTACTCAATTGCTTCGGAGTTTATAATGGTTTTAATTTGCTTAGTTGGTTTGCAACTCAAACTTGGTCTAATATAAATGTTAGTTATCTTTTTCTGAGTGTTTTCATATTTTTGACATATTTATTGTAACTTAACAGCTGATTTCTTGCTAGTTTTTGCGTATATTTTATGTTAATCTGGGCAAAAACTCAACGAAATTAGCAATTACGGAAGATTCATTTCTAACCTAAAAGCATAAAAACAACACGTTCGTTATATTTGGAACCGTTGGTTTAGCAAGTGTTGATCAAATAAACTTTTGAGTAGTAGTTTTTCTGAACCAGAAGGAAACAGCAATTGTTAAGAAACACTTGATTTCTCAGCTGATCCATTTGATTATCCTTTTATCAGATTCTTTGTGAAACCAGTTTTTTTTTCATCAGCCTGTGTTGAAATTTATCAACTTATGATACAATTAATACATTTTTAGGTTAGTTAACCTGCCAAATATAACATTGGAAATAAATAAATGTGAGGAAACCTCTTAGAAACTCATTGGTATCAAGAATTGGTGGTTATTTCAGCGTTTAGAAACAAGATATTGAGGTTCTTGATAAGTTAGACGAAGTTATTACGTTATTGAACTGTTTAATCTTCAAGAATATCTTAGGTCTCTGTAATCTTTGTAAAGAAACCTGTGGGTTGGTAAGGGTATTGCGTGGTATCAATTGGTATGTTTTACTAGTCAAAAATAGTTCCTTGGCACATTTAATAACACATAGTCTTGGTTAGACTGTTTAAAAAGTATATCGCACTAAAATCATAAGTAGGAGATTGACGAATCTTGTAGTTGTTGAATCCGACGATATGGACTGTGCGATTTTTAAATTATTTGCAAATTGTGTATGCTGATAAAGTCATTTCCTTATAGCTCCCTTGATATAACTCGTTCGTGTATTGCATAATTTCGCTATTTTCATTTGTATTCGACGTTCTAAGAGATTTTTTGATAATCAAGCCTAATTTCTGGTTGGTTAATTAAAAGCCTTAAGAAGTAGTTGGGAGCTACGTTTTCCTATAGTACGATATTACAGCACTCAGCGTCAAACTCATGGCCACCAACGTCTATTGTGGACACTTTGGACTGTTAGACCAATTTCTAAAGGTTGATTATTGTGAAGCATCCTCTTCACTTTAGAAATCAATATTTATCGTTTAAAATATCAATGCTTGCCTTCATTATGTGCAAGGGTTCGAAAGTTTTGATTTTTAAAATGTTTTGTGCGATAATTTATTCCGTTTGCTCTGTTGAGGTGATTCTCACTATAGAATGAAAGATGTATATATGAATACTTTTTCTCTGGTGGTTCTTATGCCAATATTTGGCTATGAAAAGCTTTCAAAAATGCGTTTTCTTTTAGCATACATTCGTTCATTCTAGTTCTATTCTTAGACTTAGATTATTTGGTGCCCTAAATTTGGTATATAGGACTAGCGTTATTGATAAACACAATATACCTGCAACAATTCAACTATGCGGTTTTTTCATGTGAATAATAACAATTCTCTTCTTTTGTGAACGATATAGGTTGTACTGTTTACACAATCATCTGTTTTTATGTAGTGGTGGAGGTTATTCGGTGACATGCTAAGAGACGTGTTATCTGAGTTCAGACCTTCGGATGATTCTCATATTTCGAAATTAAACCATAGTTTTTAGTTTAAAAGTATTGTTTATTTACACAATGAACTGATTATTATGCAGTAAAGAGATTGCATGATGTGAAATAAATATGTACACCTTTCACTCCTCTATGAACTGCCAGAATTTTAAATTTTATTTTAAAAATAATTTCTACTATTTATTGCATTGAAAAACTTTTTCAACGGAAGACAAAACGTAATCACAATGCGAGGACAATTGGGAGACGTTTTTTGAAAGCAGATTGCTGTAGTCGAAACATATTGTTTGTATGTATGACGATAGGATTGTGGTATACTGACTACCGGATTATATGATACCAGTGAGAATGCCCAATCTTTTCACTATAATTAATGGACAGTAATTGTTACCTTGACGTAGTGATCGGGCTCATATATCAAATTTGATTGGAATGCACTCAGCAACCTTCTGCACGTTCATGGAGTAGGCAGTGAGCCACACCTGTTGTGTGAGAAGTATTTTTACTGCCTGACTTCCCAAACCCTGGTAGGTGGAGCGGGACTCGAACTAGCTGCCCACCGATCAAAAGCCATCTCTCTAGACAATCAAGCCACAACTCCACACGTCCGCATCTCGCAAAGACCCATGAGCTGTGCCAGTTGAGAAGATTACTTTTGAAGTCCCTACCCATGCCAAAATGTCTGTTTGAATAATGGTAACAAAAAAGCAGTTGTCTTGGCAGGTAAATAGCTTCTTACCCTGCGACCACTGCCCCTTGACTAGTGTGGTATCCGGAGATTCGGTGGCTAGCTTTCATGGACTCGCTAGTGTAAGTATAATTTGTTATGCCGAAAGCTTACTTCTCTACCAAATAGCAATCGACCATATTCTGTCCAATCGAATGGATCCTTAAGAACTGGAAGATACCATAACACTAAGTGATACTTATCTGTAGTCTTCATCTACACACCCACTGACTGCAATTCAAGTGATACAAAAGATCCATTCTACTAAATTTTGTTCCAAAGAGCAGAACGTACAGGTACGGTAATATTGACGGGCAAATCCAACGCTGCAGTAGACAAGCTAGGTCAATCGTTATCCCATGCAGACAAACTGACAACGACTATCGTATATAATTTTTTTCAAAATTACTTGTTTCTGATTAGGACCAACTTCAAGCATCAGGCGAAACACTATCTCATTCAACATTTTTTAACATCACACCAACGGTGTTCACAGATAAATCAGATTGTTATAGGCCATCACTGAGGAGGATGGGTGATGGATAACCGCTATTTCTGGATTATCTGTCTGGGCTACGATCATGCGTTAGTAGGGGAGGTTGTGTATATCTGCGCCTTACTGGTCGTAGGAAACAGGTGTCAGTGAATCGTGTGTGTGGTCGATTGGAAGATGAGAACGTCAAGTACACATTGTGGGAGGGTATTTCTGCAACTTCATCCGAGCTGATCGATGCGAGAAGCTTGATTCCATCTGACGCTGACCACAGAGAGCAGCTAAGGCAGTCGAATCGTAAATTGACTAAGAGTCTTTGTATTGATTTTGAGGAGTGGTGGACGGCGAAAGTGAGAGAGATGAAGAAGGCATCAGCATTAGGTAATAGGTAGCAATTAATCAAGCTTATTCAAGTTGCTGACAAGAAGAAACTGATAGTGAGGGAGACCATCACTGACAATGATGGGATGCTGATAGCCTCTCTGACAGACAGCTGGAACGTTAAACGAAACACTTCAAAGCACATCTCAACTAACTGAAACCAGAGCTACAACTGAACATGAGTGGGACGTAGATGTCTGTCCTCTAACCCTCCTTAAAGTTGAGAAGGCGGTTTCCCATTTTAGAAGATGCTTCCGGACTGGTCTGTAACCACTCCTAGTCTAAGGATAGGCACTAGAGTGGTGGAGTGCGTTGACCAGTTCACTTACTTGGGGAGATGTATCAGCCCGAACGAATTCATCCTTGATGAAGTCTCTGTTGGGATTCTGAAAGTCCGTTTATCATTTGCCAACTTGTATCATCTCTATCGCCGACTTGTGAGATATCGAACTATGTATCAGAGGACGAGCCTACTACTCTGCAGTTCGTTCTATTTTATTATACGCTTATGAGATATGGCGTTTACAAGTGTTTGATCATAGTTATCTTCGTAACATTCCTTGCTTCTGGTTAAATTACCTTGTGAGCAATGTTGAGGTCAGGGGAAGGGTACTTGGCAGGAGATGCAAGTCAACTGATGAGGTTGTGAACTTTAGTCTGCTTTGATGATCTGGACATCACAGCGTATGCCTAGCTACTGCCTACCTCGATGTGCCGTGCTAGGGGAAGTTGAATTAGGTTGGAAAAGGGTTTAGGGTGGCCAGACTAGGATATGACCACTCCATGAAGTCCCTGGCTGTTGTACTGAGCGGTGCGTGAAATGTAGACTAAATTTCATGGTGTTTCTGAGACGATATGAATCAGTGGTTGAGGACTCTTAATGAATTGCCAGAAAATCGGTCACAATGGTGTAGATGTATTCACTCTTTGACTTCTTATAGAGCCTAAATATTTGTACTAACCGTTACCGTCAAATTGTTTATTCTCCTACACAACTTTGTCTACTGTGATATCACTCCTTTTCTTTCCATCTGTTATTTATGTACTACTGTGGATTGTGGCTACTTGAGCTGATGCACCTGTGTGCGAGGCTCTACATTGATTTTATCAGTGTAAGTCAGTCAAAACTATAGGGGATTAGACAGAAACATCATTTTTGTTTATGACTTTAACGGTGCATACGTTTGATCTTTAAGATCGTGATATCCCCGACCTTTGAATCGAAATCTACTCAGCAACCATGCGTGGATTCGTGCATTAGACAGTAAATCACACTTATTATGTAAGAGCTATTGATGCTAACTGTCTGCCCGAACCTCTGTGGTTGAAGCGCAGCCTTAACAGGTGAACCACTGGTTGAAAATCAACCTAAACCAATGGGCAACAACTCTACTATCTTCAGGTTTGATGATGAGCAGTTCAACTTATAAAGTAGCCTGAAAAGAAATAATTCGCAGCTTCTAACTTCAATAATTCAGTATATAGTCTAACTACCCTATGATGTCATTCGTTCGCCTTCTTCCTCCATTTTGAATTAAATTACACTACAGGTTGCAGCTTCCCATTTGAACTCTATGAATGCTGCCTTCGAGGATAGCTTTTTGTTATTGGTGTATTTTTGTTTGAGTGACCTTCGGGACTCCAGTTAGTATGATTGTATTTTGAACTTGAACTGATGTCATGTGAGCAAGTAGTCGAAGACTTGGATAATTCTTTCATTGAAGTGAAGAATTCATCAGTAACTTATCCCACCAACTTCCGTTAGAATCATATTTAAAACTTCAGAATAATCAACTACTGTTAATTCATCCACTTCTATTGGCATTTTTGCAGGTGAAGTTCTTGAAGTTTTATTGACCCACTGTTATCAGTCAACAGGGTTAACATTTTTTTAGGTGAGGATGTTATCTCATAGCTAACAGTTGAAGACAGTCATTTTGTTAACCGTTGTCTGCAAATACAAATCATCGAGTTCTGATTAAACCACTAAGCCGTGATGTACACACTGAAGAATCATGCTTCACCTTTGGACCTTTTAAACCTTCAAATGCTAAAGAGTCTCGAACGACACCCAAACCACTGTCTAATTAATTATTTTTATTCATCATAGTTTCCCATTTGATTTCAGGTTAGAATTAGAAATGATTTCAAGTACAGTTTAAAAGCTTTCGAGTCTTGTTAGTTTCTAGTGTTTACGTAGAGAGCCACTTTGATGTTAATACATATATGCATAAAGTGGTTTTAATAACAAGTTATTTGTTGGTGAAAAAGCTTAAAAAAATTGCATCACGCATATAAATATCACTTCTCGTTGTTTTATCTATCACGTTCTGCGTTTTTGCATTCGCTTGCCTGATAGGTTTTACGTTAAACTGTTCACTTCACCTTGAAATAACTTTCTTCACTTTCTTTTGTTTTTCATCACATTTAGCTTACATCGATATTTCTTCTTCCAATGGCCAAATGTGCTGACTACCTAACCTTGTATACACTTGAAAACTATGCAATCAAGGTTATGTATCGTGTTATTTGGCGTTTATCCAATTTGAGTGTAGAAGACTTCAAAGATAGAGTGAGTTTTTTTAATGATGCTAAAGCAATATTTATGACATTTCTGTGTAAAAATATGCGTATGCTCTAACGTTTGTGAACAATCAGGTTCATTAACGTGTCTTCTCATAAATACAACATTTATGTGTTATATTCAGTTTTCTTAATCAAACACTGATGACGTATGTCAACTGGGAGATTGATGGTCAGGAAATTCAGAAGTCAGTCTTCTAACCCTCTTTGAAGCTGAGAAGGCTGTTTCACACTTGAGAATATGCAAACATGCAGGGTTTGACGATTTACTACCCCAACTGTTTACGGAAGTAGGTCGAAAATTACTGAGTAGAGTAACAAAGATTCTAGACAGTGTGTGGGGGACAGAAATTTCTATCAGACTGGTCTGCTTTACTGGTGTTTCAAGTCTGTAATAAGAGAAAGAAGTCTTCTTGTGACAGTCATAGTGGAAATGGTTTGACCGAGATTGTATTAGAGACACTTGTTCTCATATTTATCCAACCCCTAACTAACTGGAGCTGAAGAACAGAAAACCGGAGGAAAGTAGGCATGTTTCAGACTTTGATGAGAATGCAGCGGTTGGATCTTCACTCTTCTTGGGTCTTTGGAACATAGGTATACTTATGGGTGACCGACACTCGTCAAATATCTTGACGTGGAGGTGGCATTCGACTCAGTTGACCGTGTGGTGTTGTGGTTAGTGTCTGTTAATATGAATGTGAAAGGAGTAGCGAGCAATTGAGTGAGGCTAATCGAAGTCTTCTACTTGAATTCACGCAGGTGTGCAAGGGCTTTTTGAAAGTTGTCAAGGGAGCTGTCTACAACTAGTGGTGTCCTCGAGGTGAGGTGGGTGTCACCGTCAGTGTTTAATTTTGTTATAAATATATTAAGGAATATGACTTTAGGTATGTTTAACTTTACAGGAATTGATCTAGTTTCCGAAGGGCAGGGATCTGGTTGACTTAAAGTATGCAGATGACATAATCGTGGTATGTGAAGAGGGTGACAAAATGCGGGGTTTTTTAAACGTTTTGCGGAGAAATCTCAGTATGTTTAGTTGGCATGTGTCTCTGACTTGTCAGATGTAAACTGATGCTCCCGGACTGGTGTGCAAGTACTCTAGCGTTAGAGATTGTCAATAAAGTGGTGGAGTATGTTGAGCAGTTCACTTACTTGTGGAGTTGCATCAGCCCTAACGAGTTGTTTGTTGATGAACTGTCGGTTTGAACGTGGAACGATCGTTTGGTATTTGCCAAGTTATGTGAATTGTGTTGCCGACAGGTGATATATTTAACTACCTGTTAAAAGGCGAGTGTGCTGCTCTGCAGTTCGTTTTCTGCCGTTCTACGTTGGTGAAACCTGGCTGGTTTCATTTAAGTAAATGAAGCAGTTACGGGCGTTTAACCGTCGGTGTCTTAGTAGGTTTGGTTGCGCATAGTGGAATCACTGTTTTAGCAATGTTGAGGTCAGGGGAAGGATAATAGAGAGGAGTTGCAAGTAAATTTATGAGGTTGTAAACCTTGAGCGACTGAGATGGTTTTGACATGCGCTGTGCATGTCGAGCCACGTCCTACTTTGTCGTGCCATGCTGGAGGAAGGTGGATTTGGTTGGAAGAGAAATCAGGGTGGTCAGTCCAAGATGTGTTATCACTCTGTGAAGTCCCCGACTTTTGTTTTTAGCTGTTTGCGTGTGTATGGACTACCTGGCTGGGGTGCCAGAGACGACAGGAATAAGTGGTTGCGTATTCTTATTGAAGTGGTTGAATATGATCACAATACTGTAGATTTTTTCACTCCTTGATGTCTTCTAAAGCCTGAGCATTTTCACCAACCTTTGTCTTCAAATCGTTTATTCTCTCACATAGCTTTGTGTTCTTTGATATCAGTCTTTTTCTGTCGGTCTGTTCCTTGCATACTACTGCGAAGTGTTACAGCTTGCACCAATGTACTTGTGTTGGACGCTCTACATTGGTGGTTCTGTCTGTCTACAAGCTGAGCCTGTGTTCAGGAGAAATTTATCCAGCCGTTTTCCTCACCTCGATCATCGACATATCGCTTGTTCTTGGGAAATATGACTCTTTTCCTTTTTACAACTAACCAACTATTTCAATTATAATCAATACAGTTTTGCTTGCCTTATTTTCTTATCTTTTTCTTCAATTTTTCTTACCTAATTACTGTTAATGGTTTTCCGATTAACATGGTCATTCATTCCTATAGAAACTCTGAGCTGGGTAACAATACGATTCACTTGCATTCATTTTACCCGTTAGTTTTTTTATTTGCATGATTAATTACTACGCTGTTGTCATATTGAAATGAATAATCGCTTACTGACTTTTTCACCAATAAACCTATGAGTTATTTTAAAAAATGCGACTTAGTATATGGGATTTGATGGATAGTTGATTGAAGAGATATATGTTTTCGTTCTAATTGTGCTGCTTAAATGACATATTTGCTTGACCAAGTTGAAAAGCAATCGACAAGTAATGATGGGAGCTGATAAAAATCCAGTAGTTCAATCAGGGAGACATCTTGGATTTAGGAAATGAAGTTTTCATCTCTAGAGCCTGCAGAACGATAAACATTTGGAAGATGCTGGAACTGCTTGGTTTTCTGCAGATGCCATTACCATAATGCTTTTTCTACTTGGCCTTAGCCTGTCGTTACCTGGGTAACTGTAGTTTGCACCTATTATTATTCTCACTTTGGTCCTATCAAAATCGCATAGCCTTTCTTGGTTCACAAACTCTGTGTGTGTTTGTTTAAAAGTGTTAATATTGTCACATACTGGTGTCATTTGGGGAATAACTGAAAATCAAGAAGCAGTTGATACCTGTCTTATCCTCGTTTACAACAGATTAGGACTGCACACCTTCGAGCTTTTAGGACATGGAACCCGATAAATTTAGATTTCACGACAGGCACGTTGATATCTTTCCACTGTATTGACAGTAGGTTGTGCATTTTTATGTCAGTTAACAGTATACAGCACAGTCTTGCTTGAATAAAGGGAACTTATAGGAAAAAGTGAAGTCTTTGAGAAACGAGGTGAACGAAGACAAGTTGACATTTGGTGTTCTCGCTATACTTATTGGTTAACAAGGCGTATCTTATATAGCTGAACTGTTTGTTTCTATCATATATATGTTTTAATTAGGAAACGTGAAACGCTTTATCTCATTTCATTTTAGCATACAATATACGAGCAACATGGTTTTCTGAACCAAATCGATCCGAGCACATTGCTTATTAGTTAGCGTCTTAATAAGTGAAATAAACACCCTGTTGTCAGATCACCTCTATCTAGCTAGCAAGTTCTTCTGATCATTGTGAGTAGTTTTCAATTACTCATCTCAGTCAGTTGTATATACTATACAGTGTTATGTACACGTCACTTAAATTACACTTATTTCTTTATTGTCTCACTAAATCTTTATTTTTTCTGATTTGTGTCTTTTTTTTTTGAAAACGTTAATGCAGGATTCTCGTATATTTGAACTTGTTACCAGTATTAGAGTGTTAACCTATCGTCTGATAGATTTAGACGTTGCAGACAGTCTTGGTAAACTATTAACAAAGCAAGAATGTAATTGGTGTTTAGGAAGCTTGATATTTACTGTTTATGAACCGGATTGGGAGGAAGTCATCTCACGATATCGTAAATCCTCTAATCAACCACTTGATCAAGTATCCCTGTTTTCTATCTCAGTGGTTGATAAATTGCATTACAGTCTACTACTCTCCGCTATATCTCCACCACAAGGTGTAGGTGGTGCAACATTTAACGGTCGTATGATGGCGTTAAGAGAACTTATCCAACAAATAGAAGTAGCGAAACAGTTTGGAAATTTGAACAACGCTCTTGCAAATGGAAGTAGACATGGTCAAAAGAGAACACGTCCAACTGTTCCTCTTACGTCAGCTAGTCTGTTGGCTACAGAAAATGCTGCTTTCCTGGCAAAGCGTCAAAAAAGACGCGTTTTACGTTTGGACCAGTTGATGTCATGGATACAAGACAATGAAGTAATCGCAAAATCTCTACGTAAGTTTTACAACTAAGGCCTAGCAACTTAAAACTCAGTAGTCTTCTCAACATTTATGCAATAAAATATCAGTCACCTTAGGATACATCCAGGTTATTCATTTTCGAGTGGATTTCGAACCCTTGACCTAGTGTATAAAACCTTTCTAAAACACTAAAGCCATAACCTCATATAGTGTAATTTTAGTATCTGAGATACTTGATTGTAAAACTGCAACGTATTTTTCTGCATCTTGTGCATCTAATGAGTGTACACTGACCTACAGATCAAGATGGTGTCAGCGTTGAGAAGGCGTTTTAGTTTTAAGATGTTATCTTATCAGTGGTGTACATGGATCCTTCCATATGATACAGTCAGATCGCATTGACCACTCGATTTTTGTTATTCGCTTCAGAGAATCGAAGATCCTTAGAAATAAAGCGTGATGATTTATATAAGTAAAATGAAATGCTCAGTTGACAAGTATGATCTACTTGTCACGAATAATGGAATCACGAATATGAGCGAAATCAGTATGTGGGGTATATGCTAAAATTCAATTAATATCTCACTAATCTTTTTTACACTCTTGCTTTCTTTTTAGATAAACTGGATAACACTGCGTATATGGCTACACTAAGCAACTTTTTTCGATCCCTTGGAGAACGTATTACCAATGAAGACCTAACAACACTATGGCATCGAACATCTCACCAAAATGGAGCAGCTGTGGATAATATATTAAATTTACTTACAGATTTGGCATCTTCTAGGTTCACACAATCTCAGTTAAAGCATCTATTTTTCCTTGTTGAATTGGTTAGTTTTGTTTGTTTTCATGAGTGATAATAGATTATACTTCGTTTTATTATCTCAGACACCAAATAAAGCTCTCATTGAAGGGAATTCTATCTACGACAGTTTCACTTTTCTCATTTCGCAGATCTCTTTCAAAATAATTTCATACGGATAAAACTAATGAATAGTTAGTTTGTAATAAAAATTGACATTAATGCTTTAAATTACATAAACACTCAAAAGTAGATAGTTGTTTAGACACTAAATGTATCAAAACTGGAAATAATTTGTCATGTCCAAGTTGTGTATACAGTTTTATGCCAGCATAATGTGATTACTTGCTGAAAATACTAAGTGCTGGGATTTTGGAAGACTTTTGAGTAACATTCCTATTCACTACTGTCATATATTTTTCAAAATCCTTACACTGTCAATGATAAGTTCTTCGACATGCAAAAATTAATGTGTATCGTAAAATCATCGTTGTAGTATTCTTCTTTGGTTCAAAGCTATGAAGGTTTTCATTGCAACTATGATCGAGTAACTTCGTAGTACCCTTTTCGCATTAGAGAAACTACCTCGAAGGATGCAGCAGTCAATGAAACTTAGAGCTATAATCTCTTATAACGTTTCGGAATCGGCAATTGAAGGGTTCGGTAGGACATTAGGAAACAATCCAACCAACCTTCAGGTGTCTACAGTTGCCGACCATCGAAACTCAGTCTGAATAAGATGCGAATGTCTATCCGTTTACTCTGGGAAAACAGGGCAGAGCAGCAAAACCTAAAGAGAAACTTCTAGTGATGGAGATCACGGATTCCTAATTAGATTAACTGATATGCTTAGTTAACTGATTGAAACCATAAGTAACACCGTCACACTAGTCTAGGTCGTTCATCATTATCATTTCAGCCGAAGAGAATGAATCATAGGAGAATTAGCTTGACTAACTCAGTATGTAGAATCTTGGGTTCTACAGTCACTCGACGGCAAACTACAGTTAGAGTACGCAAAACCTAGTTGTTGGTTAGGTGCATGCAACTTCTAATTAACAGCATTGGTTCCGCAGCACATTATAGCACCTATATGCTGAATGTATGAATCGTTAGCATTAGTTACATGAAGTGATGTTAAAAACGAACCTTTCAGTTTTTCTAATCATGCTTCTTTTGTAGAGCTGGATGAATCTAGACCTGCAAGCTATTACACAAACCTTTCCAGAAACGAAGTCTCCTGATTCTTTACAATCAAATGGAAAAATAAGAGTTTCTCGCATCTCATCACCTCCACCGGATGAGCCATCTACCATTCGTCATGCACGTGCACGATTATTGAATATGGTTGGTAGGATTGGCATTACCACTAGGGATCCGAATACAGCCGATATGTGTATCGAATTATTATGGCGTCTAGCACATTCTAACTATTCAGAAGAGGCAAGAGACTTCACACGACAAAATCGCAAGGCGAAGCTTGTACCACAAAAGATGTCTTTTGTCGAAAGAATACTTGTATCACACGGGCATAAGGTAGAGACAACAGATTCTATCTCGCTTTCAGATATTCCGAAATATGTTCATCCTGAACCAATTGAAGCAGCTTTAGCTCAGCAGTTAGTCATTATACGGGAATTTCATTGTTCCGGTGTGGACCAAAGAATACGCGCTATGCGATGGTTACTAGAAGCCATAGGATACATTAGTAAGGTGAGCTGTTTTTCTATTTCTTTTGAAACATGTGTTACTTTACTAATAAGGACAAAATACTGTCAGAAAATCTTTATTTGTTTTTTACCTGTAAGTCATTTATTGTTGTGTTATGCAGATATGATTGTGGAAGTCTGGGGTTTAGAATTATTATACATCTCAATGTTCTTGTTTCTTTGTGGAATTTATATCTTAATACTTTGTTTATGGTAATGTTCAAGTCATGATGATTTCTAATTAAGATGAAATATTTCACTTTCCATTCTTGCCGGTCTCAAAAATTTTGCCACTGAATATTTCGGTTAGCATTCTGATTTCAATTTTAAAATTCAAAAAATAAAGGTAAAACACTCCTTATCCATTTATCTGTCCAGTTTTTTCACAATCAAACACTGAAATGAGCATATAAGCAAAGTAGGTTGCAATGTTCATCACTATTAAACTTTCGATATTTGTTGTTTTACGTAGGAGTCATAGAATTATTAACGCTAAGATTAGACATTGACTTTTGATAGTTAAGAGGAATATTTTCAACGAGTTGCTAATTCATATTAGATTTGTTGATTTGATATATAGCGCACATTGATACAGCATTATTTACTTGGTGATGTTTCGAGCATAAATTATCATTCCTCATAATCATATCAATGTAATCACACTACATTCGACATTTGGTTTTTATAGTTCTGTTACCTGATATTCTTTGGTTTATTGGTAGTAAAGTTTTCCTTATCTCTGGTATAGGTGTTGCATCATTCCTATTATATATGTTGGGTGTAGATTCGATGAACAAAGCTTTAGTAATCCATCTCTCTCTCTATCTAATTATATTGAACTTAAGTACAGTTGTGATTGTGTGTTAATACATGCAATGGAATAGTTGAGTTTTTTTTTCTAGATTATTGATCGTATTGGTGTCCGTCATTCTACATTAAGCTAAATTCCCATGTTCCGCTAATCTAACTGACCCCGAATGGTTAGTTTGATCTATGTACTTGACCTCACAGTCATTGTATGGAATTCGATAAGTTAGATTATTTTGCTTAATTGGATCTATCGGATCCTTAAGTTGACAAAGCTTATCACTGAGTGAGTTTGTAGGTTTAAATCCCACCCTATTTCCAACCATGTTGAGAATCCTGCGTAAAATTTCTAATGTTCCTTTCTTATATGATAACACAATAGAGGCTTTGAACTTATTTCGCGTTGTCGCCATTATTCAAACAAGTTTACACTGAAAAAGATGTAGCTATTTCACCTACCTAGAAAGTTAACAAGTTATTTGCTCTTATAATCCACTTATCTTACTCAAGTCACATATCACTTCTCTTATTCATACCCTGTAAATTTCCTCTCTTTGCGTTTATTTCAGAACTCGTTGACTTTTTTCATGCTAGCTTATGTGAAATCGCTGTTGGAGTTCATACTGAAAAATTTTATTGGTAAAGCTAAACGGGTAAGTTATTACTTGACTAAAAAATACGAATATCATATCTGTCTATATCAATGTACATTCATAGGTACTGATTATTAATTGTTTTAACTGAAGTTTTAGTTAACAAGCGTTTTCGTATGGCAATGTTTTCAAAATGAAATGATAATGTGATAATTAATAATCCTAATTGTTTCAGAGTAGTTTTTGTAACGTTTTTTATTGTTTCACAGGTTTGTTACAAATGAAACATTCCAGGTAATTTTCCTCTTCTCATTTCGCCGTCCAGATGTATCAAGTTACTGATTGCTTTGACTCTGAATCGTCATCAAATCGTCTTAACTCGGCGAAATTCTTTTCCTTATAAATATTAGCTACATGTAGAAAGTTTCGTTTCGACCTATCCTTTGAATTAAAACTTTACTTAGTTTAAGCGTTACAAATGACTAAATTGGAAAACAGTAACGTCATTTTGAAATCTTCTATTGACAGGTAGTGAAAAGGTAGAAATAATTTGTAGTTGCTGTGGACTTACCAGGTACAAAAGAAATTGAAAAATTTTCTATGTACAAATGATAGCAAATATTTGTAACTTGGGTTATGTATGGTTTAACCGATTTTTTCCCTCAGCTAAAGTTTGAATTCGAAAACTCTTAAGTGTTATGCTAGACAGCGCAGCTTCACAAAATACTTGAGTTACAATATAAACATGGCGAAGCATAGAAGTACAATAGTTTGTCATGAATACTACTGATCAATATCTTTATTTCTAAACGGTATAAATGATAAACTAAGCGACTTGAGGTAATATTCTTAAGAGATTTTCTAGACCGACTCAGTCTAAGTTCACTGCCCTGAAGGTCACTGACAAATGGCAAAAACAGTGGTGCTGTTGTTAGAGTCACTTTTCATCTGGCTGACGGTTACTGCCGCTCTCATCTGGACGTTAAACATGAGTAACATTTATCCTACAAAATTAATATGATTTTTATATGATTATATATCATCATTAATTATTATCTTACAGTCGTACAATTTAGTCAGTTCTTGTCATATTTCAACCCTTTGTTATTGAAAAGGATCATCTCCACGAGCTTAATCGATCACATGAATTGATTACCCGCGTAGTTGATTCTTTGTTACATTATGAAAAATCAGCAATTTCATCGCATGGGGATCTACTAACAGCAGATAGTTTGGATGAACTTGGATTCAGGCATAGTGATGTAAGTGTGCGAGATATCTTGTATTGATAATTAATATTCTTTCAATGCATTTTGGTATTTCAGTAGAGAACAAGTGTAACTTCAGAACTGAAACCTACATGCTTTGCAGGGTTCCCACTAATTATTTAAACGTATATCAATACAAATTAATCATCATAAGTGTGTTGCGGATTCGTGTTGTGTACTACAATGACTAACACCGATTTTCTATGTTTATTTTTATGGGGAATAATTAGTTGTCTGAGTTTTGGATTCTATACAGTCCTGTAGTTATAATTCATGCTTTCATTCTGGATGAATAGTTGCACGGAATTCATGGTGTGAATATCAGATTGTAGTTATCATCTTATACAGCATAACGTCTGTACAAGAAAACCAGGCTTTTACTGGTATATGTGGATTTGATTCATTTTTACTAATTGTCCTAGCTACACTGTGACGTTATCATAGGACTGTATCCTTGTGGTACCAAAATAATTGGTCGTGTACAGATTCAAAAATGCATTTTATTTCTGTTTCTTTTTGGTTATGTTATAATGAACACCGAATTGTGGATTTGTAGCTAGTTGATTTGAGTAGTTGACTTTCAACTAAGTGGATCATGGGTTCCAATCCCATCTACTGAGGCTTGGGCGTCATGATAGTATCATTAACCGTCACACAATCGATCTGACTTATTGCCTGTTTAACGAATGTTCACATAGTTTTTGAATAGGTTTCAATTAGAACACTGAATTATTTTTGTTAATACCATGTCATGTTCATAGGAGTAGATTATCATTTAGCCTTTAATCCTGTTACGCACACACTATGAAACAGCTACGAATTACCGTCAAAATATCCTCACACTAGTTACATATTTCGTTCAGTAGAGTGCCAAATGTAATGTAAATGGTTATTCAGTAATTCTTGTTTATTTTCTTCAAAACAGAAACTCGGTAGACTATTGGAACTAAGGGATGCGCCATTAAAAATGATAGAGCGATACTAGTAAGGCGAAAATGTGATAAAGAGAAAAATAGGAAACTAGGTGAAAAAGAAAGACCGGAATGGGTGATTAAAAGAGCAGTTTCATAAATGCGTCCAAAAAAGGAATTCATTGATTACCTTTCAGTAATAGAAAAAAGAAGAAAGTCTCGGTGTGATCGCCTCTGGTTTCGATCCTGAGCCATATCGGTTTAAACCACTGAATTGCTTGGTCTCTCGGCCTCCATCCAGAAAGCCATGGACCACCAACAAATGCTGACCCAACACTTTTCCTTCATCCCGTGGCATCATGTCATTCATTGGCTGTCTTTTCTATTCCAACCAGTCCTAGGACAAGCGAACAGTGAGCGATGTGGGAGCCACTAAGAAGACTTGCATAACACTTGTCAAAGTTACCGAAATCGGTGTTCCAAGATGAATACAACCAGTGAATAATTACCTTTATCACTCCTGATCACGCACCACCTCACCTTGGAATTGCTTACTTAGTGTTCCCACTGGATGCCAGAAATCCTGCGGAGACGACCATGATTGAGTACTCAGAGTCGTTGATCATTTTCAGCTGGGAGACCAGGTTTCACAAAAAGAACCCATTCCCTGTTGGTAGATCTACATCACAGGTCTAGAGCAGAATTACGTTGATCAATGTGTTGTTTACCCGACCTTTTAAAGCAAAGTTAGCATCACCACGGCCCCAAAGGTAAGCTAGATTGGAGTGTGCTTCTTTGACTTTCGGTATGCAAATGAAAATCTCATCAGTCACTTCATCAGAACACAACTACATGTGCCTGCAAACTGTTCGATAACTTCCAGCAGTTAACCATGGAGAGTTAGTGCGGGCCCAGGTTCCTATCAATCTCGTGAAAGCAATTTACACTTGGATAGTGCAAAGCACATACTAAACTTAGGGACAGTCATTGTCAACTGACTGAGTGGAATTTGGGTAACCTGTATGTTGTTGCACAGTGAAACAATTTGGTCCACATAATCGAGGTCGAAACGTCTTTCACATGTCACAGAGTCACCCCACCATATGCATCTTCAAGGTTGCCTCAAGAGTCTCATCGATGGAAAAGGTAAAGAGAAATGGTGAAATCAGGTAACCCTGCCTAACTCTAGTATTGGTTTGGAATAATGGATATAGGTGACTGTATGCTTTCACTCTGCCTGGTTTTTCAAAGAAAAGAGTGAGATCACAAACTTATATCGATTGAGGGGGTGGGGTGTGTTGCATTTTATGCCTCATGTAGATGCACAGTGCTAACAGTAATGGGAGTAAAAGGATAAGAAACTTGGAATAGTTGGATAAAAATTTTTAAGAGCCGATGAAGTAACTAAGTACTGGTTTAAACTGTATACAGAAGTGTAGCCTGTCTCATTGGTACCCCTTAGCTGTCGAAGATATATGACTTCTAGTTGTAATTTGCGTAACTTGATGACTAAAACTAGATTTTGAACAGCCCATTACTTTTAGTGAAATTTTTCATGCCATATCTTTTCACTTTTTCATCTCTTTTCACCATTTTGTAATTCCTCTCCCTCTGTCTTTGCCTTGCTGTTCAGTATTTTTTGACACGAAATGTATCAAGTTTCCTCTAATTTATTCTTTCCTGTGCCATAGTCTTGTCTTTTGGGCGTCCACTGTATCCAAAAAGACTGTCTCTCCCATTTTATTGTAAATTATGATACAATGTAATGATGAAGTAATATTCTTTTTCACCGTATCTTATGCACATCAGTTAGGAGAAAAAAATCGAAATCCACTGAGCAACCTTGAGCATATTCATGTAGTAGACAATGAACCAAAATGACTATGTGAGGGCTAATGATAATACCTGGCTGCCCAAACCTTGGTGTGGTAACTTGAGTAGATGCACTTGTGTACAAGGTTCTACGTTAATTTTGTCCGTCTGTCCAAACTATTGTAGGTGGAGAAATGCCCGATCCCATGACCCACTGGTTGAAAGTCAACTAAGCCGGTAGTCCACTACTCGACTGGTAAAATTTCTAGTTAATCATCATATGTAGTTTTTTACCTACTGTCGAAATCGAAGTGCTTGTAGTGTTTGTCAGTGTATGCGTAGTATAAATGAATCTAGCTGCTATCATCAACGTTTTGTTTCATGGAATATCAGTCGTCATGAATTTGAGTATACATATAGTATATATAACTATTAGGATTGGTTTGGGAAGCTATATTGTACCAGTAGCCCTCACATAGTCGGTTTGACTGCACGAATGTGCGCACAGTAGTTGAGTGAGTTTCGATTCGATAATTCCTATCTTATAACATATTACGTTTGGTGCGTTTTTCGTGTATGAGGAGAAAGGTACTTATTGTATCTAAAGCAAATAGTAAATAAGTTCTGCTAGACGAATTTTCTATTCAGTTAACTGTACTTGCCAACCTTTATGTGTCAGTATTTCATTTATTCTTCTCCCCACCTCCCACCAGTCTATATCTACTTCATTCTATCACTTCGAAAGCTTCTCCTTTTCCATTAGAACCATCTATATTGTAGAGTACTGTTCACTTTTTCCTAGATGGCATTGCTGATTATTTTACCTAAAACTTTAGCTCAGTCTCTCCTTTTTCAGCTGGATTTGTTGGTCTCTTTATTTAATACTTTGTGCATTGTACATTTTCGCATTCACTGAAACTGAGTGAGTTTATGAATTGTACTTCGTTTCGGTTTTCTCGTGAGTTGTTTTTTTCTCAAGATGTGACCTTGACGAACAAACGTGTGATGAAAATAAAGAAAAATCCAAGCGTTTTTCATCAGTACATACAAAGCTTTTGAATTTCTTTCTTCTTTCGATGCTATTTCAGCTTGTTTTAATTTCTGTTTATCGGGCGTAATTATCTATTTCTTTTCAGGTAATAAAACGCCATTTTGATCTTTTACATTACTTACTACGCAATGCTGAACTCACGTTGAGCGTTGAACGAGCAAAGGCTTTATGGGAAACATTAATTGGTCAAACGCGTGCCGCACCTTTTGATCGGGAAGTAAGTCTTGCATTAAAATATTCTTTTTCTTCCCTTTGATGTATAGTAATATTTCACATAGATTATGGGGAATAACCCCTTGCATGCTGTGATTATTGTGCTGCAAACAAATGACTAATATAATTAATATTACTATGGTTGAAGCGAATTTCATGTTCTGACTTTTGAACGGGAAGGAAACAAATACTTGAATTTAGACTTAAATCTGTTGAATGCCGAAATTTGGTTAGCTAGCTCGTATCGTTTGCACTCATACAATACATTTGGCTTTTACTGTCATGCTTAAGCCTCCAAATCAGTGTTTTACGGCTTTAAATTGGTTATTACATAGTATATCGAGTTGTTCTCAATCTTTACTGAATCCTACTTCAAATTAAAGGCTCTTTACTAGGGGCAGTTTAGACGCGCACTTGTTACCGTAACAAAAACACAAAAACTGATCAGTCAAGTGCTACTTTTAAATTTTAGTTTGTAGTTAACGCTGAAAGCTTCAATACTTTTTATTACACTCCCAGGTTTCACAAGACAGTTATTCAAAAAACAAGTAAGGGGTTAATCGCTGAAAGTCTGACTTAAGGAAACTTGATTTCGAGAGAATACCTTCAATAAAATGAAGTGATAGTGGTTAAACAAACAGACACCAGTGGATTATTTCTTCTTATCCTATAGCTAATAATTAGGGATCACCTGACAACGTCTTTCAGCTTTCATGAATAAATGTCAGATTGTTAACTGTGTTATGATGATAGTCGAATTTGGTGTAAGAGCGGCTGCAAATCAGCATAATTTACGTTTTATTATCTTTTTCCTCGCCGCAAATATAGCTGGTGAATATCTTTTTGTCAGAAAATGAAGACTATTCGCGGCTATAATTCTTGTACTAAACTTCGACAAAGTAACGAAATGGAAGATACGAAGTGGAAATAACACCAACAATAGTCATGGGAAAGTCAAAAACAGGATGAAAAAGTGGGATTGATTAAGAAAGTTTAATTTAACGGTTAAGGTGAAGATACGTTGTGACTATGCATTACTGCTATGGAATCTGAGCAGTATCATAAAACGCCATTCATTGATTTTGGTTAACATTGGGACCCCAAACCGAAAATCCTCATCTGTCATCTGCATGGTTCAGACTAACAGTTAAGAACCTCACGGGTTGATGTCACACTTTGGTTTAGCCGTCTTAATGTTATTATAACTTCACTCTGCTGTGTTTAACATAACGCAGATGAAACTGTTGACTAAGAACCTAGACAGAAACATCGTTGTGTTTAGCTGAAAGGACAAAACAGCACGACATCAAGTCAAGTGGGTAAAAGGAGGCAAATTAACTAACTATTATACCGCAGTCTAATTGGTTACGCTGAATAGATTTGTAAGGAATAGAAGTACAAAGAGTATCATAGGATTATGGATAACTTTCAAATCAGATAATATATAGAGTCTTGCTTGATTTCAATCGTTTTTTAAATCACCAATTGATATCAATCACAGAGCCACTCAAAACCAACTGTAATTGAATACATGTCTGGTTTTAGTTTGATCTGTGTGGTCGACCGATTCAGTAATGTGGTGGGAGGTCCATTGACTTTATTAAGTGATGACTTTGCAATATCAGAGACTGACACATGATAAAAAGCGTTGTCTATTCGATAATAATCCGGAAGGTTAATAATAAGATTCTCACTGTCAAACATGAGTGTTTTACGCTCAATCGTACTTAGAATCGTTATCACGCATTCTTGAGCTTTTTTAGCCAGAGGCGAAATGGTTATTTGGTGTTTCTCGATTTTTAGTGTTTTTTTGGTTTGTTGACATCCATGTCTGATTTTCAGAAAACCACCTTGAAATTCCACTAATCATAACAGTATTTTATGAATCGGATATATAATAATACAGTACTCAAAATGTTTCAAGTTTGAAATAATGTAATCTTTTTTTTTTCTCCTTCGTTATGTCTTATAATTTGGCAAATTGAAGCAAGCATTTATTTGGTTTTCATCATGTTTAAATTTTCTTGACACTGATGCACAAACGTTTGTTTTCACGAAAGTAATTCTGAATCGAATCCTGGATTATTTCGTTCAATCGCTGGTAAGTTAATTCATGTTGTAACTGCTTTATTTGTGTATCCGTACCAAAGATTTTATGAATTCTCATCAATTTAGTTACTTGAAGAACCTTATTCGGTGTACGTTAGTTGTCATTTTAAAAATCTTATATTCATTACTATTTCATTTATATAAATATCTCTGGCTAGTAATCTTGGTTTAATCCTATCGAATTCCAATGAGTTATTTCTGTTTCCTTCTAAATACCTCCAAGTGTTTTATACATTGTCTTAATAATAGACAATTGTTTATGGCACGTAGCTTTTGTCACTGTGCTGTCTGAGCGATTGACTTATATAAATTAAGCAGTGTGGGTATCAAGTCAATAATTGTATATTTTTCTTAACAGTTATCTTAAGCAATCATTATTTAATATCTGCTTTAGAATTATGAATTAGCGTCAAACAGAGAATATAGTGTTGGTCGCTAAAAGCCTTGAACTCAGTTTTCATGTTTTTTAACACTCGCCATCAGGGTGTATGAGCGCAAGCTCAAGGGGACTGATATCGCCTCAAAGATTTAAGCCCGTACCATCCAGTGCTGAAGTTAGAGACATTATCACTGATCTATTTGGGTGACGATTTACTTCCTGTCGGACTGGATTGCATACATTGGTTGGTCACTTAAGGGTGATCGATTCCATACTGTCTAGTCCTGAATGCTAACCGAATATGACCAGTCAGTTTGCAACATGGTCATCATGCTGGGAGATCAAATATAGGCAGATAGACAAACTGATATATCACATAGAATAGAAAGGCGTCATTTCGAGTTACCACGCTTCAAAGTGCATAAAAGAGAATGCATAGACGACAAACAGTTATGCTGATGTAAACAAAAGTGTGCAGAATGCGAATACAATAGGATATAGTAGTGAGTCCTAACTTGTTCACCTGATAGGCGTTTTGAGCTAACAAACGCTAACGTTTTATACACAGTATCCATTTTAATTGTTCGCTTTACCTGTTTTTAGTGATTTACTTATGTTCAAAGAATGGAACAAAACTCAACAATCAGGTACACTTTTGTGCAGCAGGTAGTGAACCATACCTATTGTGTGAGGACTAGTAGTTGCTCCCCTGCTATTCAGACTGCGATAAGAGGAGTGGATTTCGAACTTATGATCCTACTATTTAAAAGTCGACTGTTTTTTAAAATAATACACAGCTACTTGCTAAAATTATGTAAGTATATTCCTCGAAAAAACATCTCTATTTTCCAAATATTCACATGACACTTATCAGATATTCAAGTAATTTCAATTATTTCACTCAAAATATTCACAAACGTGTATGAAATGTTTTATCTCGTTCCACTTTAAGTTCTTCATCTTCAGGAGTATCTGGTAGAAGCCTGTAATACATACGCATTTTGACACTGACCGTTACGAGTTCAAGTGTTAACTTACCTTTTTCAGTTTTTCCTTCTTTTGGACTTGTTCTGACTTGCTATTGGGTAGGGCGCGGAATGAAAACGCTTATTCAGAATCAATTTCTGTATCTCTGTACATCATTCCAAATCTCACTGTGTTAGCCTTATTTCGGGAGATATCAGTATTTATTCTGCAGGACTAACTTATAGGTAATGCAAAAACTAATGTACAGAATAATAATGGTGAAATTATAGTTCAGTCCTAGAAGTAGCTGATAAACTTGTTCTTGAATTTCGTAACAAATATGATACATTCTTATGCCTGGTAGTGGGATACTTAGTCTTATGAGTTTGTGATTATGCTTTGTCTAGAATAATGGTTTGATGAGACACTTGTCCTTTTCTAAAAATGACGTTTTTTCCAAATTCGTGTGCATAAATATTTGTATAGTGCTCTTTTTTTCCAATTTCCAATAAACACCACACTTTCAGATTATTTTTGTCAAAAGTTCTCACTGTACTTTTAGGAATGCATCCTCGGTTTTAATCAGGTAATCAGCAACATGTGTCTGTAATCGCAACTCATTAAGCTGATAAATAACACTTCTAAAGCAATGAACTCTTCAAAGAAGCACCTACGGAGCTGTAGTAACACTTACCTGTTTGTCTTAGTACTTATTGCAGAGTATCATAGGTTCTTGAGTTACAGACAATTGAATCATGAGTTCAGGGCCACTTTACCGACTTACACCTTGGCAGTTAAATCGTGGAATAAGCTATCACATGTTTAGTTTGGCTAATAGCCCAGTAACATTGGTCTGCACGACGTTGGTTGGTTGGAATTTATTTTTTGCGCAATTTGCATTCCGTATTTACCACTTTTGTGTTTAATAAATAAATAAGTAATCGAGACGACGAGTTGTGAATTGCAATGAATGTACAACTGTAATCCCTCTCGTAAATATTTCGAGTCAGGAATATTAGGTTTCGTAATCAATCGGTTATATGAATTTTCCTCTTCAAAGCATATAAGATGGGTTTTGTAAGCGAAATATAATCAGCAAAACTTTTCATTTGTAAAGCAATGCATATTGTGCCGTTAGGAAATCTCATTATTTCTCAATAATATAAGGCCTGGAATTGCCAAAAATACAATTCTTCGAAATCACTGTATTCAAAAAATTCTCCAATTTGAGTAGGATGTTTGATTTTGCTCTATAAACTTGAGTTTGAAGTTATTGCTAGAAGCCTGTAGCTCCAACAGATAATGCTCTATCAATGTGCACTTTATCAAAGAAACAAATATGATATGAAATTACGCCCTTAACAATAATAATAATTATATAATTCTGCATCTCAACCTTATCTTCTTTCATCATTTAAACATAGGACAAAAGTTTATCAGGTGTTCCCGACCGATAGCTGCCACCTTGACGTGGTGGTCGGGCTTGCATATCACAATGACTCAAAGGGCTATGCTGGTGGAACGCTTGTTCCCTCGAGGTCTTACCATACCAGAAAGGTCTGTTGCATAGTGGTTAGATGAAAAGCAGTTACCGTTGTGGTGTAAATCACTACAATATTATGAGGGTCCGAAGGCGAAGTCGTACTGCTGGTAGCTGGATGGGGTGTGACAGCAGTAAGGTGTTTCCCTTGAATGACCAGCAGTGCTATGTTGATGCTGCATTCTCAGTGAAAGGGGAGGGGGTTAGGAAGGGTCGACCCCAAAAATAACACACTCCACTGTCTGCCGGGTTGGCTATATTGGCTCATTTGTCATTTCCTTTCGACCATCCGGCCCCAAACATACAAAAGTTCAAAATAATCATACTCAAAAGGCTTCGTGTGACAGGCCTCAAGCAGGTGTCCGATGGACTCTATGGTCACACAAATCTCTTTCAGGTACCTTAAGAAGAAATAGCCTTCCACGGTGTGGGCAGCCGGAAAGTGTCAACCGCCCTCACAACTCTGTCAGCACCCAAGTTTCTTCTGACTGCTATCCACCTCCCCATCATTACCTTCTAATCTTCCTTCACGTCTCTCAATTAACGATGCTGCATCATCTTCAATTTCTCCTACCTCTGCAGCCTTCGACAATCTGAGTTCACACAACAGCATCCTTGGTCTCCTTAAACCACGCTCCAAATTACATATTGGAGCCTTCAATGTCCGCACCCTCCGTCAAATTGGCCAACAGGCTTCGTTGACAAAGACTCTAGCAACTCGGGTCATGGATGTGTGCTGTGTTTGTGAGACACGCATACAGGACCCAAGTGTGGTTATTTACCTGACCAATCTGGTGAATCCGCAAAATTCACCCTTCGAGTTTCTGGAGATTCGATAGCTAGCTCTCGTGGTCTTGCAGGTGTAGGTATAGCATTAAGCACCAGGGCAGAAAACTCACTACTAGACTGGATCCCAGTTGATAGTCGCCTCTGCGCTATGAGGCTGAACGGCACAGTGAGAACTAAAAGGAATAGTGAGACTCGCCGTTGTCTCTTTGTAATCTCTGCTTACGCACCCACTGACTGCAGCTCGGATGAAGTGAAGGACGAGTTCTACCATAAACTGTCTAACCTCCTCTCGAAAGCCAAACGTTCGGACGTAGTGGTTGTTGCAGGTGACCTCAACGCACAGGTGGGTAGACTGAGTGAGGCAGAAAGGCACTTAGGTGGCACTTTCGGAATCCCAGCTGAACGTACAGATAACGGTGATCGCCTATTACAACTATGCTCAGATAACCGCCTATTTTTAGCCAGCACAAATTTCAGACATAAAGAAAGGCACTGTCTGACCTGGCGTCCACCGAGCTCAACTCAGCGATGGACACAGATAGACCACATTGCTATTAGTCATCGCTGGAGAGGATCGGTGGAAGACTGCCGCTCCTTCTGGAGTACGTGTTTGGACAGCGATCATGCGTTGGTCCGAGCACGTATATGCCTGCGTCTCAATGGACGTAGAAAAAATTTGGCAACAAAACCACTACGAGTTCTGCTGGACAACGAAAACACCAAAGCCGTGTTCAGTGAGAAGTTGGCTAGGCAGTTATCGGAACAAAAGACTGTCACTCATCCAGAAGAAGCTTGGTGCCTTCTTCAGTCTGCTGTAAAAGCAGCACTGAAGACCGTAGCTGATTCCGAAATCGTGGCTAAAAAGAGCCAGTGGATATCAGCAGCTTCTTCCGAACTAATAGATTCACGTGAATACGTCCCTGCTTTCAGGCTCTGAGCACAATGAAGAGAGAGCACTACTTAAAAGTAGGTTGAGAAAAAGTGCACTCAACGACCACGAAGAGTGGTGGGCAGTGAAGGCTAAAGAGATGGAAAAGGCAGCGGCGATTGGTAACAGTAGACAGTTATTTAGACTTATTGAGGAAACTTGGGGGGGGGAAGGTCGACTGCGGTTAGTGAGACCATAGCGGAGAAGGACAGATCTGTGATTCACTCTCAGGGAAGACGACTGGAACGATGGGTAGAACACAGAGAAACAGTTTGACTGACCTCTATCCACCATTGCGTTGCCTGCTATCCAGTCGGATCCTGAATGAAATATTGAGATAGGCCGCCAACACTTGCAGGAGTCAAGAAAGCAGTAGGTACCTCGAAACGAGGAAGGGCAGCAGGACCAGGCGGACTAAACTCTCGAGGTGTACAACGATGGCGGTGAGGTGCGCTTAGCCAGGTCAACGGAAGTGGTAACCAACCAGTAAATGGGAATCAAATACGATCCCCTCTGACTGGTCTAAATCATTGATTATCTCAGTCTTCAAGAAAGGCGAGAAGTCCTCTTGTGATAACCACATAGGAATCAGCCTGACGAGCATAGTGTCCAAGATCCTAGGTTCTGTAATTCTCCGACGCCTGAGTGAAGCTCGGGAACAGCCAGCCCAAGAAAACCAGGCAGACAGGCTTTAGACCCAGTCGCGGGTGTACTGACCAAATTTTCACACTGCGCCAGGTCCTGGAACACAGGCACGCTTACCGACGCCCGACAATAGCTGTATTTCTCGACGTGAAGGCAGCGGCATTCGACTTCGTTGGTCGAGAAGTCTTATGGTAATGTCTTTCACCGAATGTCGTGCCGAGTGAGTACATCACCTTATTGAAGGCTCTCTACTCGAGTACTTGTGGGCGTGTTAGAGCGTATGGTGAGATGTTTGGGCAGCTGTGCTCGTCAAGTGGTGTCGGTCAAGGGTGCCTACTGTCTCCATTCTTATTCAATTTTATCATAGATGTTCTAATGGAGGTCTCCCTTTCGTCACCTGATTACACAGAGGTTGGCCTAATCACAGGAGAATTTTCGTTATATCTAGAATGTGCGGATGACGTATTCCTGTCAGGTGAAGACGCTGACTGATGAGATGCAGAGTCTTCTGAACACTTTGAGTGGGAACTTGAGAACGTTTTTGGATGCGTTTCTCACCACCGAAATGCAAATTGTTGCTCCAGGATCGGTCTTCAATGGTGCCCCACCGCGACTAAAAGTGGAGAGTGTAGGATCAGTCCTGGTGGCTGGCTCAGTGACCGATGAAATCTCTGCACGAATACAAAAGGCTCGGTTGACTTTTGCCAACTTACGCCACCTGTGGTGCCGTGGTGATATCCGATTGTCTATTAAGAGTTGGGTGTACTGCAAAGCGGTCCGTTCTGTTCTACTTACTGTATGGCTGTGAAACATGACCATTAAAGGCGGAAGACATGAGAAGGCTTCAGGTGTTTGACCACCGTTGCCTTCGTAGTGTAGGCCGTATTCCGTGGTGTCACCACGTGAGTAACGCAGACGTCAGGTATAGAGTTTTAGGGAGTAGAGGTAAATCAGTTGACGAGGTTATGAAAATTCATCGACTGAGATGGTTGGGACACGTGTTACGTATGCCTAGTCTCCGTCTGCCTCGTCACACAATGTTGACCAAAGTAGGTTGAGGCTGGAAAAAGGGCTGAGGTGGCCAGACTAGAACATGGCATCAGTGTATGAAGTCTTTGACTGTTGGTTTGAGCCATGTGGGGCGATGTAGACTACCAGGTTGAGGTCCACGGGACAAGAGGAACCAGTGGTTGGAGACTGAGAACCGATGTCAGTGGTGCAGATGTATACACACATTATCCTCACCTTAACGACGCTATATCGAATCTCACCATTTTCTCTTTCTTTCTTCGCATACTTTGTATTTCTTTTGGCTGAATTTCCTTATCTTCATCTTGTACTTACTTCATTGCCTTTTTACTTGATGTACTGATATGAGGTGTTGCAACTCGGGCCGTTACTCAGTAGTGCCTGGTCTTATGTTGATAATGATGATGATGATTATTATTATTATCAGGTGTTATCCTTATAATGACATGTAAAAGTGATCTTGAGTCAAAGTAGAAACCATTTATATTTTGCCGATTGTATGCATTTAGAACTTGTTTTAATTTTGCGTGTAAATGTAAAATATGAATATATTTTTACCATTCATTTGTTTGTTGTTCATTTTAGGTTTTGAATGTTTTAAAGGGTTTTTCGAAAAGTTAACTTGAATGAAGGTCGTATGAAGCATGTGGCAAAATCATGGGTATGTGTGCGAGAATACCTTTCCTTAAAATCTGTATTGTTCGATCAGTTACAATGTCATGATATTGTGTTTACATCTGTACTAATTCGTATTCCTGCTTATATTGCTTTTCGTGGATATCCAGTTTGAAATAGAAACTAATATTATTGGTTTTTGTTTACTTGGGCAGTTATTAGCAATGCAATTGTGTACATTTACTTTAGGTTGAATAGAGTTTTACGCTTACCTACAAACCCTTGTTTAATTAATCAATCAGCTTATGCGTATAAAGTGAAATGAGTATAGGAATTGGGGAAAAAAGGTACGTAATAAAAGATTTGATGAGTACCCTTCAGTTCTCGACCAGTCTTCATCTAATGATATAATTGCAAAAACCTTCAAGAACTTACTTCACTCCATAACAGTTCACTGCACAATAATTTTTTTGGATTTCCAAGTTTGGAAGTTAAAACCTGATTGGTTAGATAGTCGTAACTAAATCACTTATGGTATTATTTTGTTTCTAAGGTCTAGGTCTAGGTCTTTGTGAGGGATTCATTGTAAGTTTTATTTTGAATATTACAACAATGATCAGGCTCTACAAGAATTAAAGAATTGTCCGAAACCTTCAGTGTCGTTTGATCATTGCTTTCACAGCGTCTTCTGTCTTCAACTTATTTGTGATGGTAATGAAACAGTAAGATAATACAAAGACATGATGATAATTGTTTCCCTCAAAAGATACTTTAATTGATAGCTTGTAGGTAGCAGTTTAAATAATTGTCTACTTTGTCCAGGCGAGGCTTTTGAAGCTGTAAACTGTCTTTTAAGGTAGTTTGACTTTTAACAATATTCCGTTAAACCAATTTCATCTACAAAAGAGTTGCACCAAAAAAGCACAAAAGTCTTTTGCATTTCGTTTTTCCTTAATTTGATATGATTGTACTCTTTTCCGGTCATGTGTGCATGTATGCAGAACATTGTTAACTTTGGCATATCTCTGTTTTGTTAAAGCATTTCTACATAAGCATAATCATTTATTCTGCGCTGGTGACCAGTTATTCTTAGATATTATGCAACCCTCATGAGTGTTTCAAAAATTGCTTTCAGTGTATATGCGAAGCATTATGTCTTCAAAAGGTTCAATGCAACGCGTGAATTTCAGTGAACATCACTTATCTTAGGTCTGTAAATCTCTTTTTGTTGCAAAATTTAACTCCGTAGAAGTGAAAACAAGCGTAATGCATATCTCATATTCGTTTGTTTGTTTCAGCACCCTGAATTGTGTTTTCGCCTTTTAAGCATGTTATTTTCTATCGATTGAGATTCGCGTATTTTTCTGTTTGTTTATGGAACTCATTGTATCCGATGGAGTAAGTATTCACGGTTTGTGCGTCTATGACTTACACTAAGCGCTGAACTTCGTTTTTGATACTCTTTTAAGAGAAAAGAATAGATAATTCAGCGATTAAAATTTTCTTTTTCGATGATATCATTTTCTAAAGCTGTACAATCATATTTATATATATCACAAACATATGACAGTTTATTATTAAACAATAGTGTATAATTGCATCATTAAGCTAGTGCTAAAAAGCTGGAATCAAGAATATAAAGTAGTTGCGTAATAATCCTTTAGACAATGGAAATAATGAGGAATGCAAGGAGTTTGACAAGGTGAAAATTATTGGTAGATGAGAAATTCCAATATTGAGTATCCACTTGATAGATAGATAGATGTGAAAAAGGTGAAGAATGATACGAGGGTCATAATGAAGGTGATGATAATAAACTAACTAATTATAATGAAATCTAATAATGTGAAGATGTTAAGACCCGTGGTAAGATAAGAGATTGAACATACTTCTTTTGCACGCAGAGATCAGGTTTGAATTGATGAATTGCCAGTGCTTCCGCTATGCACAACTATCGAAGGCGTACTCCTTTTGAACTATTTCATTTGACTTGATAAATGACACTGAAGGAGAATTCTGGCCGAACTGTATGTTCAGAGTTGACCAAATGTTCAAGAATTGAACTGTTGATTGATTAACATTACTCTCATAAGAGAAAATCGAATGTCATCATTCCCTATTAGAATGATTTGCTTTGATATGTCACGTCCAGGTTCCTTGCTAATGGCATTGTGCGTGTAGTTTTTGTTACTGGATAAGTGGTATTATTTTATTTCCGGAATTCCTGTACTTGTTTGACATTTACGATACCCATGAAAAGATTTTATGTTTGGGACAGAATCAATTTACGATAAAATTATTTGCAGTGAATATTTACGCACAAGTTTTTTTGTTTTTATACTGTTGTCAGTAAAACTTCTACCCGTGATCACACCAGTCGTTGAAATTACTCAGTAACATAAATATTCAATGTTAAACAAAGACCTTTACATGCACTGGATAATTATTGAAAGTTTTACAATAGTTATCAGTCTGACACTGATGATAGCTATTAAGACTGAAGTGATTTGCATAACGATAACTTTTGTGTCGAGGGTTTTATCCTCACGTGTCAAAACCAAATGCAGCTTTGTAACCAGTTAAGTATGATTAAACTTACCATAGCTGGTTCCACTCACAGTTCAGTATAGAACAAACTGTACGTGTTAACTGATTAGTATTGATAAACTTGAACAGCACATAAACAAGTGCAGACGGATAATACGTGCTCATTTTTATTATTTCGAGAATTCTTTTCAATTGTTTATAACCTAGATAATTTCAGAGTGTAATATGTAACAAAAATTAAGTATGCTTTCTTCAGATTGACAAGACCAACCAAGTAACACAGATAATGAATAGTGAATAGTTAGAGTAAAGAAGATTTTTTATGAATATGAGAGGAAGACTGGCTATTTATAGGATTATTAGGTGAGTATTTTTGAAAGACAATGTTCAAAGGGGAATAGAAATAATAATGAACTAGAAATGGAAAATAATTATCATCGATTGCGTACCTGCAAAATGCTTTGAATTTATAAAAGCTTGAAGAGTAAGATGAGAAGCGTGCAGATAATAATTAAGGTTTTAAATAGAACAGGCATGCACCTAGGTTTCTTGCTTGTTAGCGCTTGTCAGCAAGGCGTATCTGCAACCTCGATGGGAATGACATCCCGCCTGAGATTCGAACCCGCGTCACCCAGTGTTGTAGTCAGCGACTTTACCACTAAGCTGTTCGGGCCGCAATTGACTTACTGTAGGACTGGTTTACATGCATTGATTGGTCACGGGAGAGCAACCAGTTTGTTGTATAGTCCTGAGAGCAGATCGAATCCTTTCGATCATACTTGCCATGTGGTCAAATGACCAAATATTATCGATAAGACTCGATCTGCACTCAGGACTAGACATCGAACTGGTTGCTCTCCCGTGACCAATAAATACAGTTGAAAAGAACTCTCGAAATGATAAAAATGAGCTCTTATTATCCTGTTACATGTGTTTTTGAGATTTTCAAGTTTATAAATGGGAAGAGGTGTATGAATTAATTTATATTTATGAGTACCATTTGACTAAACTTGATTTTCGCAATGTCATGTGATATTTCTTCGACAGCTTTAGCACTAAAATAGCACAAACCAACTAACCTAGTAATGTTGACATACATGTGTAGCAAAATGAAGCATACGATTATTTTTGTGTGATTCTTCAGCATACGATGTTACTTCTTTGTTCGACTGAGAATTGGAAAGGTTTTGTATGCCATATTGTTTGTTAAACTGATAAAATTGCGTACTATTGGTTGTTTTTTGACAGGAAAGTAGTTGAGTTCTTTTCGTGAAAAGGATTTGCGGCTAAAACGTTTTCACGATATATATATATATATATATATATATATATATATATATATATGAACTACACCTAGTGTATGAGGGCTTATGTTGATGGCTGCCAAACCTCGGTAGGTGGAGTTGTGTTCGAACTCGTTGAAAGTCAACTACTTAAGCCTCTGCACCACAACTCCAGTAAAGATGTGAATTGTGGAAAACAGAAACACATGGTGTATAGAAATTGCAGTTTTTTAGTTTGTGAACTTACGGTTATTTATACACTGTAATTATTTCACTCAGTGTTTCCATTTTTATTCATAGTATTACTAGCATTACTGCTCAGTGGCCAAGGTCGTCATACCTAACGTGATGAAATAAAGGATACCGAAGTATGGGTATGCGTAGCACATGGGTCGATCTAGCTTCAAAACCTCATCAACTATCTTTCCTCTTCTTTCTAAAACTACATCTGACTTCTACGTTACTGATGTAGTAAAATCACGATATACGGTCTGTTCCCCGAGGCCTACTGTTTTATTTGTACATCTATAGCACTTCCTCTTACCTTTACTTTGCTGTATTAAAGTCTGAATATATACTTCAAATGAATGTTATCTGTGATGTTAATGTTGTTTTTAGGTTGTGTGGGCATTCGTTATCACTATGCCAATTTAGCTCCATTCCTTTTATCTATTTCGTTCATATTTTTCGTATGTCGGTTTCACCAAGGAGGCTTGTATATTGACTCCTTTCCTCAAGTAAATAATAAACGCTTCAATGAATCCGTTTATCCTATCTTCATTGAAATAAATACTTGTTTCTTTGCTTTAAAAAAAAATCTTTGTCTAGCATGTTGAAAGACCTGACTTAATTGGATTGGATTTTTTATGGGACTTATATCTTGCCTTGCCATCATCTGATGCAAGTTTAGATGGTGGTCATTCCAATCGTCCTGTGGATAGTGAAACAATTATGAGATCCACCTCCGATATCGACAATTCAACTGGAAACAAACCACAACTTGGCAGTCCATCTAAACAGTCCACAACAACTGCAATACTGTTTTCATCTTTACCAGCGTCGAAACCAACACCTGATGCTGCTAAACCGGCTAGATTACTTTTGTTAAATGTTCACTGGGGTCAGTTGGCACCAAAACTGAGACGTGATCCAGAATCGTGTTACCGTCGTTTCTTTGATACTTGTAGACGGCGACTAGAAGTACGTTCTAAAATTAAGAAAAAAACTTTTTTACTAAACGTAATATATATGTATATAAATCAGTACCTTATCTCATAGTGGTATATGCTTTTTTTCTTCAGTATAGATGCTCCAGCCTTTACATGGAAAGCTTATAAAACCTGAAATTTGTTATGATAAATTTCATCTTGAATTACTGTAGAAAATTACATATCGAAATTTGACCAAATGAAAATTCACATCAGATTAAAACAGAACAAAACAAATGCCTATTACGACATCATCGACTTAACTACTGAGGTAATAAAAAAGCAAGACTTGACCTGTAATTGTGAAGAAAAGTGGGTGTAGCAAAGAAATATCCTTGTTCGTACATTTGTCTTTCATTTCACATTACACAATACAGAATCGCTCAAATGTGATTAGTATAGCATGTAACCCAACGCTTTCTGAGCATATTCATTCAACTACTGTGAAATTAAACAACTTGTGTTATGGGATCAATCTTGACGTTATATTATTGCTTTGACAATTTAATACTTGCAAACTGACTTTAATGTGTAGTTGATTACCCGTCATAGCTACAAGTTTATTTTGACCTATATATCGTTTTATCTTAGTAGTTCAAACTGTTAAACGAATAGTCGTTTTGACTCCTAAAATCGATGAGCACGATTTTTCCATTTGAAAAATTTATTTTGCGTAGATCGTATTCTCTTTTAAGAAACCGATTTACTGACACTGTGATAAAACGTTTGTTACCAATTATCCACTTATGAGTAATATATCTATTTTTTTCGAAACTGCGGAATACATTTGCTTAAGTTGAATTTCTCAACTAAAAAGCAATATTTCAGTCTCATTTGAAAATAGGAATGGATAATAAATTACTTGAATTTACAAATTTCATTGACCCCATAGTAATCAAATTTGAAAATTCAGCTGACGAAAACAAGAAAAGTGTATCATCACGTTGACAGTTGGCAAGTCTGAATTTAAATAGATGAATAGCATATTTCTCCGAATTAAAATAATTGTTTGCGAGATTTTCTGGTTGTGATGTAAATAGGGGAATCAGGTGTAACCTGATTTGCTAGATTCCACCATACTGCCCTGGAAACCAAAATTTGATAACGTTTTATTTCCTTTCATATTGGAAACATTTTACGTTTCTTTTAAATTTTATTATAGGCCAATTATGCATTGGGTCGTGGACTAATCACTGAATATGGAGTAACATCAGTTTTGGCTGAAACCGGCGAACTATTAGCTGCATTAATGTTGGGTCTTGGACCCGCCACAAAAGCAAAACATTGCAGTCGTACTGCAGCCAAATTAGCTATACGCCGTTTATTGGGTTTAGTTTATGCATTTATTCAGTCAGTTGAGGTAAGCCCATAGTTCAGTAAGTTTTAAAATCTTCTCCACCATTAATATAAACATGTACCAGATGGTGTCATTATGATATGGTATCATTACGAAGTGATTTCACAAAGGAATTGTATAGAAATTAGCATTTGTTTTTAGAACCAGCATTGTCTTTCCCCTTTTCATAACTGTTTTTTCAGGCTTTTTTCGTTGTATACTGAGCGGTTAATATTTGATATACACGCTTAAATACTCAATTAAATTACTCTTATGTACACACGCACCATCCTACATACCTTTGATTTCAATATAAAGCTGTTTCTTGTTTTACTTTTAACGACTGTAGGATGAAATGTTTGGTTCTCGTTCTTATCTTCCTAACTGGAAACCTCATGGTTGTACATATCGTGGTTGGGATATGCACTTACTTGTTAAGATTGAAACAGTTAAGCAAGGTCAACCTCATGTCTCAGTAACTAACCTTACGACTGTCGGTAGTCAGTCCGTAAACAAGTTGTCAACAAGTACTTCGAACATATTAACTGACTTTTATCAACATTCTGATCACATTGAACCAATATCACTACTAGCTCATTCAAATGAACCTCTTAGCTCGATCCGGGATAGAGCTTATCTTGCTTCTAGCGCATTTTTATTCGCTTCTCAATCCCAACCAAATTATCAGCAAGACTCCTGTCTGTCTCCTTCTTGGACAGTGGCTACTTTATCTCTTGAAGAAGCACCAAAGCCGAAAGTCTCTTTTTTAAATGAATCAAGAAAACCGATTAAGAAGACCATGTTTTCCCATGATACATCAGGTCAGCATGCTGAAAACAAATCAATCAATAGAGAAAAACCATCTCAGCTTTTAGACACTGTTTTGAATCGTAAACCTATTGGAGAACTTGGATTTCAAGTTAGTTTTATTTTTGACAGTTTTTTCTAATTAATCTCATCAATTTCAACAATATGAAATGATTTTTAATGAAGTGATAATGGAGATTTTCAAAAGGTAGATCTTCAGATACTGTTCACTGTCTAACCTTGTTTCTTGAGGTTGTCTAAGCGTAGCGACTATTTAATTGAGATAGAGAGACAGAATCACCTTACAATCTGGCACACAGGTGCATGAGTTCAAATTGTCACACTTCACAGTAGTACACAAAGAATAAGTGGATAGAAAAAAATGATATCGAAGTAGACAAAGTTGTGTGAAATAATAAGTAGTGTGAAGATAAAGGTTATTGCAAATATTCAAGCTTTAAAATACCTCAACGACTGAATACATCTGCGCCATTGTCACCGATTTTCAGCCATGTCACCAAGATTCCTCAACCACTGATTCCTGTCGTCTTGGGGACTGCAGCCAGGTAGTCTATATCTCCCAGTCCAATTGAAAGAGCGTCAGTATCTAAAATTATTTTTTTTCAGTTGTGTGTCATCTTCTGACGTGTGTATGTCGATCGTCTTGAGATCATGAATACACACTATTCGTAACCCTGATTCGTACAGAACCTAAGCCAACATTTTCAGTGGATTCTCGTTAGCAGTCAGTCAAACTTATACGTAAACATATGTTATCGCTAGTCAATTTATACCGAACTTCCTTTTTTTTTTAAAAATTTAGATTGGTCGCCATTTAGTTGTCCGATTCTATGCTGAAGCTAACCCTCGTTCACGCAGCCGAGTTAGCACCACAAGCGCTGTTTCTTCTGTTACTACAACAGCACCTGGGCTATCCAGTAATTCTCCCTACAACAGTTCTTTTTCGTTAGCTGGTCCGTATTCTTCTACTCTGGAATTGACAAGCGAATATCTTAATAACCCTACTTCTCTTCCTAATACATATAATTTGACAAGTGATGAATCCAGTCGTCTATTAAGTTCGTTCCGTAAACGCTTGGAAATTCCTTCGTTCAGCAGTAGTTTTTTGACCAAAGGTTCATCTCTTCTTAGTTTAAATGCAAAGCAGTCAGTAGTAGAACTGCCAGCAGATTCCAATCAAGCTCAGCCCAATTCAGCTCACGTGTCTAATGTTAATATCATCCTTCCAAGTGTATGCTTAGGACAAGATTCAGCAGTTTATGAGCTTTTATTTGAATTAGCTGAATCTGAACTTGTTTGTCTTCATTCTCCATCGCGTTCGTCAAACACTCTTGGGAAAAGCATCACCCTTCTACAAGTACATCATCTGGAACATATTTTTCTTCAACGTTTGGTTTTATTCATCCTGTGAGATTACTGCTGGCATGTTTACCAACGTACAAATCACTTCGGTGTGAACGGAATGGTAGTGGTGGTATGCACTTACAATATAGTTTAGTATGTAACCCATATACACTACTAAATTCATCTCCTTATCGTGTTCTCTACAAACTGCAAGTAAGTGTCGACTACCCTACTCCACATTTATACTCATCACGAAGTTACTTATTTAATATGATTTCGAATATTTTATTTTTTATCCAAAGGAATTAGCAAGTTGCCCTGGTTATTTGCAATTATTTTTGTTTACACTTTCAATAAATTCACTGGCAATTTTGGTGAGAAAGATCAGCTTCGGGGCTTAGCTGAATGCTAAATTAAATTGAGTGACCAAACAATTACACGAAACTCAGTGATGTTGTGACTTTCTGTTGGTTTGAGCTGTATAGTTGAGTTGCAAGCGTGTTGTGGATAGAGAGAAAAGACTAGTCTGGAGACGGACGGACCAATCAAAATATGTTCTATATCATCACATCTATAGTTGGACAGACGATGGATCAGCCAATCAATAGCATTATTTTAAATGACTAACTATATGTATATTAGATATACTATTCTTTGTTCTGGTCTTCGGTCATTCGACTCCAATACACGTTTCTGCACGTCCATCGTGTCTTCTCCATTGGTTAGTCTGGTCAGGAATCAACTAGGAATTTGTTAAACGTTAATCGTTAATTGTTAATCGTTAGCGATCATAGCAGTTTTTGAATCGTAACATGTGATACACTAGAAACTATTCATACCATCTTTCAAGTTCTAATCTTGTTCATTTTCATTCAACTTCTTCGATTGAATATTACATAGTTTAAACTGATGCGTTATTGTATCGGACCGTTTCCTTTACTTCGATGAGGTTAGTTACAGGTTAGATATACAGTCACACTAACACTTCAAATAGTGAACCACTTTGACGAATGTTATCTGAATACAAGGTAGAAAAATTACTAAATAACAGAAATCCATTTATTTAATTGAAAAGTCTGTGAAGATTTTATTAATTTGATGTTTTTAGAGAGAGAGAACTGATATAATCTGCTCAGCCACGAAAAATCAAAGGTTGTTGCACCAATGTCTTTTCGTATTTTGAACTATCCAATACTCTTAGGCTTTATTTGCTGTCTAGCTGACATAGATGTGATCGAAAATGTATTGAGAACGTTTTATTGACGGATGAATTCAACATCGGACCTCGTGAAGAAGTGTGTTGGTTCAACTTGACATAGTTCACAGCGCTATGTAAAGAAAAAATGAATAGAAAAGGTTATATCGCAGTTGACGAACGTGTACGGAAGGAGAAGGAAACGCACTCAGCAACCTTGTGCAGTAGGCAATGAGCCACATCTGTGAGAGGCCTAGTGATACCACCTGACTACCCAAACGTAGGTAGGTGAAGCGGGGTTAGAACCCGTGACACACTGGTTGATTGTCGTCCCCCTAAACTATTGAGCCACAGTTCCCCCTACGGGAGAAGAAGGAACCTGAAAACCAGGGTTAGTATGAATGTTCAAGCTGTTGAAGATGTCAAAGAACGAATACATCTGTACTCACTGTGACCAACTTTCAGCCATGTCATCAGGAGTTCAATTATTGATTCCTGTTATCCTGAAGTTGCCAACCAGGCAGTCTGAGCCTCCTTACATGGCTCAGACCAGCAGTCAACAACTTCACGAACGGATGCGACGTATTGTTTTGACTACCTTGAGGGTTCACATAGTGATTCCAACATACGTGAGTAATACTATGAAGACACCTACGTTCGAAAACCTGTAGTCTCCGTTTCTTCTACTCTCAGTTGTTATGCCTACAGTCGTATAAGAGGACAAAAAAGACTTCAGGACAGTATACTCGTCCTTTAATAAATCGTTGCATATCTCGCCAGTCGGCAACGTAGGTGATACAAGTTGGCAAATGTCGAACAAGCCTTCTGCATCCCATCTGAGATTTCGTCAACGATCATCCCGTTCCGGCTCCGCAAGTAAGGGAAGTGGTCGATGCATTCGGCCACTTCTCTACCCATTCCTAACCTTGGAGAAGTTGCACACCAGTCTTACATTTGACAGATGTGAAACCTATACCAAACATACTCAGATTTTTGCTCAATGCGTTCAGAATACCCTGTTTTTGTTAGCGTCTTCATCAAGCACAAAATTGTCGTCTTCATACTCCAAGTCGACCACATGCCTTCCAGGGAGTAGATCACTGCCTGCGAAGTAAGACGTATCTAAGGTTATGTTCCTCAATTAAACAAGATTGGTAACAGCGGGCAACCCTGACGTACACCACAAGTTATCGTCAGTTTGCATGACAAATCCCAGTACGTCCTTACACGGGTGTATGAGTTCGAGTGGAGAGCTTTGATTAGGCTTACTTAATACCTCAGCACTCCCTTCAGTCATACACTGCCACAACACCACACGGTTGACAGAACCGAATGTCTCATTCAGGTCAAGAAATATGACACATGTCGGCCACCAGTAAGTATGCCTGTGTTCCAAAACCTGTTCAAAGCTGAAGATCTGATCAATGTTAACTTGTCCAGGTTTGAAACCTGGTTGCTTTTTCCTAGTTTTCTGTTCTCCAGTTAGTTAGCCGTTGGATAACTATAGATTCAAGGGTCTTCGATACAGTATTAGTCAAACTGATTTCGTATGGTTGTTGCAAGAAGGCTTCTACCCTTTTGTAGATTTGGATAATTATGCTGATCTAGATCAATCCAATGGGACTACCTCTGATTCTCATGCCCTTCTTAGTAACTGGGTTACCCTACTCATTAGTTCCCACCTCTATCCTCGAAAATCTATGAGCCAAACTGTCTGCTGTTTCTATCGTTTCAGGTTACAAAACGTCTTCTCAACTTCAAGGAGGTTCCGGGTTCCATGTAGGGCAACTGAACGTCAGCTGTAGGTCAGTCGAACCATTCTTCAAAGTGTTCCACCCAGCGTCTTAGCCGCCTTTCTTGAGACGGGTTATCTGGGTCCCATCTTTTCCGGTGATGGTCTCACTAATAATTGTCTTTTTCCTATCAGTTTCCGTAATAGGTGTAAGTAATTGCTGGGTATTACCTAATGCTGTTGCTTTTTTCATCTCTTTTGTACCAGTTTTCCCGGTCAGTACAAAGACAGTCAACTTACTTTTCAGCTGCTTTCCCTCCTTATTGTGGTCAAAGCCAGCTTAGTTGAGTCTTCTAACACCAATCAGTCCTGATGATTTCACGGAAATCCATTGACCTTTGATAATCCTTGGATGTAGGTTACTAACTGTCTTTATCACTTTTTTTTACAGCAGACTGGATATTACGCCAGGCTTCAGCAGGATGAGAATAGCTTCCGTGTTCGATCAAGTACTTAGCTATCTCCTTCCTAAATCCGTAATTTACGTTCTCAGCTTCCTAGCAAGCACGCAGAAGCCTAACTCCCAACTGTTTCTTGTGACTAGTAAGGCACAGGCGCACCTGTAATCACTACGTATAATGACTTTTTGTCATTCTGTTAAGTATTTTTATTTGAATTGTCCCTCATCTTCTCTGATTGCATCCACCCTACTAATTATTTTCTTTATATGTTTTCAGCTGTTGAGTTCCGTTTTACTTCCAATAGACTCAAGTCCGTGGTGGGAGACGTCTCCAGGATGTTTACTTTCGCCACCATCTTCAGCTTACTTCATCAGTTATCCTTCTCACTCATCCACTGTTTCGCAGGCCTATAAACTATTAGAATCTGTTTCCGTTGGAAGTAATCTTAGATCTAGTTCAACAGGTAGACGACCTTCGCAATCTCGTGTACAACCTATGAATGGTGATTCTAAATGTGATTGGTTTTTATCTGTTGATGCAATAAATGTGAACTCTCAATCATCAAATTCAACTTCTGCACCGCCTTCACCAATACTTTCATCGCGTCGTAGTTTAAAAGTGTTTTCTGCCTTTCCACGTTCAACAGATGTGTTTTCATCTAAGGGGAAATCTCAGAAGAACAGTATGTTTCAATTATTAGTCATATGAAATGAATTCGTTTAAATATATGTCGTTTTCATTGATTTATTAAGCGATCTGTTTGTCAAATAATATGGTTCTAAAGTGTAAAACTGATATGTGAGATTCGTAGTTCAGGGTAACGTGTTGTATTCTCAAAAACTGAAGGTGTAGTGTAAAAGCTCTGATTGTTCTGCTAGAAGCAATTAACGATGTGTTGCCTACAATTCTTTTAACATTCCAACGTTGAATGGTAGGTATTTTTCAGTTATCATATACGAATGAACACTTATTCTCTTACCGGTGAATTTAGTGTCTTTACTTACAAAATTAGTTTTTGCATGTCTTAAATTCATCATATTCAACCATTCGAATTTGATTACAGTTACACGAACGTATATCTGCATATAAGATGAATTGTGACACTTGACTAGCAATAAGAACAAATGCAACTTTTATTTTCAAGTGTGATGCAATTCATCACTTTCTGTATCTTTCAACGAACTTCTATTTTTGTGACAGAATGTATGTGAGCTTGAAACTGATACTACTAACCACAATTGAAATATCAATACAATGTGTTATCGCTGAGAGAAAACGAATTCCACATATTCGATTAACAAATTTTTCATGGATATCACGCTTGTGATATAAATTGAATCAAATCGAGTGACTTAAGGCCGCTAACCGAAACCAGAAGACTGAATAGAAAAGTGTAGAGAAAATCAACACATAAAAGGATTACTAACTTTCGAAGTGTCTTATGCATATAGACTTGATGCAGAGAACAGAGCTACTTCAGTTCATTGCCCTGATAAAGGGGAAAAGAAAAAAGCACATAGGGATGAAAATACTCTCAGCTTGAGTCGTTGGTAAAATATTCAGTCAGACGAATTAGACTTTTCTGTTTGTGGATATGAGAACAAAAATTGGTTAAATTACTGCTTAGTTTCATTTCTTATCGTATTTCAGACTGCAGACACTTCGTCTCTATCCCCATTATTCATTATTTTTTTTTTCTTTTTAGCTCCAAAAGATTTGAGCTTAGTTGCTGATGCTCCGCTTATTGAATACATTGAAGCATTGGTTCAGTTATTGGAAAGAAATCTAATTCCATTCTTTCCTACATCTCCGCATAAAATTCCGAATTCAACTAAAAAACACAATTCTCCTTTTCCTTTTGTACTTCGTTCATGTCATACTCATCGTCATTTCGATGCTAGTGAAGGTGAATTTACAATATCCAGTGAATTTCATAATACCGCAACAGATAACACTAATTGGTGGAGACGTGAAGTACGACATTTATGTTTACAGTTAATAGCTTCTTTATTGAATCCAGTTACTTCAGGTAGTAATGATATCAACAGTAACCGTCACTTTACAACAACAGGTGAGAGTTGATATTTATCTCTTCCTACCGACTGTTTTCAGTGATTCAAAAATTTACATATTTCTTTAACTGAAAACTTTAATTTCGTTAACTGAAGGGTTTTGCAGGAATGTCTGTCTGTGAAGTTTCACTGGGGTGGTACATTATACTAAGACAAATAGAATCAACGTAGAACCTGGCTGGCAAGCGCATCGTTTCAAGTTGCCACACTTCACATTAGTATTCAAAGAACAAGTGAATAGAAAAAGACTAGTTTCAAAATAGACTAAGTTGTGTGAGATAATAAACAATTTGAAGATGAAGATTAGTGCTTATATTTAAGCTTTAGAATAAGTCAAGGAGTGAGTACCTCTCCACTAATATAACCGATTTTTAGTTTGATTCTTTGTAACTGTTCATTTCCAAGTTTATGTCAGATGTACTAATGAAAGTGGTTTCCTTCATCTCAGATTTCTCAGGGATAGATTTGCTACCCATAAAAAATTTGATAGATTTTGAGTATCATAGTAAAATAGCCGTGTTTGGTGGTAATGTTAAAAAAAAACTAGGTCTTTTGAATACCATGAACATGTTTAGCAAGCTTCTGTCAAGTGTAGGATAATGTTGTACGACCGACCAGCGGTGAAACTACTTTAGATTAGCGATTGTAATGGTCGAATTTCTTGAATACCTGAATCATTACTAAGCTTGCTGCTGATGAATTCTGAAAAGGGATATCGAAAGTTTATTCGGTATTTATCCTGTCCTATCAAAGGATGGGTGTATTTTGTAATTATCTCTTCCGTGCTACAGTACAGCTGTGGCACATGATTGTTGGGGGTAAATGATAGTACTTTTTGATCCATTGTGTCAACGAAACATTTGCAAATCAGTTGACACGGTGCATAAGTATGGACTACTTTGTATAGTTCCTTAAGATATTAGTATTCATCAGTAATTGAAGATTCAATGTTTCGGTCTTGTGCATTTCTTCGTTCTTTGTCCTCCAGAAAATTTCCAAAGTTGTATTACTGATCATGTGTTATCCTCTTATGCCATATTGTATATCGGTCTCCCATCTTCCTGTCCGATATTTAGGTCTCCCGTTTGTTTATATTTGCAGTAACTATCTCAATTAAGATTTCAATTTTCAACGTCAAAAAGTTATGTTAGTATATGAGTATTTTTACAGTGTCTAAAGGCATAGTACTCAAAGGATTTTCACTTATTAGACAGTAATTATCTGTTTTGTTGTAATACATTGTTATTGACCTTTACCGAATTACATTTTGTTTTTTTAAAAAAAAATTCTAGTGCATAATTCGCGCAAAGGAAGCATAACACCTGAACAAATATCCGTCCTACCATCAGACTCATTGGTTTATCAGATATCTTCTTCTTTGGCTTCGAGTCTGCTTAATGCTTTATTAGAAACTGCACTGGTTAGTGCTGGTATTGACGTGGAATTGCTTGATCATACTCTTACAAAGCAACAGCCTTATTTGTCTACAACTTCAGTACAATCTATGAATAGATTGAATACGTTCTTATCACATGTTGATAGTAGATCAGGTGTTGCTGGTATCATTGAAGCAATCTCTTATTTTGGTAGAAAAGTTTTATTTCAAGATGTTGAAGTAAGTCCAGAAGTCATATGATTGATTTATATTGTGTAACCCTCGGATTTTTATGGTTTCGATTACATTCATTCATTCATGATATGAATATTATTTTCTTCTCTTTCCCCCTCCCTTTTTGTTGTGATTTTCAGATTAGCGTACAGTGCATTCGACTCTATTTTCAATGTATAATAGCCTATCCATCTACATTTGTTGACGTTTTGTTGAAATCCGTTAATTTGGAAGATAAATTCATCAAACTTCTCGTGTATTCTCCATCCGAAAGGTAATTTACTCCTAACCAAGATTAATGATTGATTCATTTCAATGTCTTTTCCATTTATTCCCTGCTTATAGGAATTTTCTGGTACTTCCAGATCACTTAGCAACTATCCTTCATGATACCACACTAGCGAGTTATGGTACCGGCTTTTACAGCTAAATGTACGTGCACAATTTGTAGTTACTAGAAAATGAATGCTATAGGTGTTGTACAAAGGAACTACTTTAAGTTTATTCAAGTAATACAATCTCTGTTATGCACAATCGATAATCAATATCAATTATAAAGTAATTAAAGGACACATTTGAGTTTTTCCCGGTCAATCCTTTTTAAGTTTTATTAGAAAATGATGGAATTGTTGGATCGTAAAATACATAGATTCGACATAAAGGTAGTAAATTTGAGAAATCGAATCGAATAAAGGGGTTGTAGACTGCTCTTACACCTTTCTAATCAAGTCCTTCCTCCACATACATATCATATAAAGTAAAATGAGTGTCTAATTAGTTGTAATAATTTAATTTAGTAACAAGTTAACTTATTGGCAGTTGCTTGGTGTGACACCTTGTTTTGTTAGTGATTAGCTAAGTTCTGAAGGTTTAAGAGTTTTAATTATAGGAACATTAACCGAAGAGTGATTTCACGGAACTGCGCATGTCATATTTTGGGACCTGAATTTCTTACTATTAAAGTAGTAGTAGTAACAATTATACGTACGTTGTATGTCATACTTTTACGGTTGTCTTCTTTTCAATGGTGGAAAGTGTTATTACTTAGATCTGTAGACTGTTTCATCAATTTGTTATATGTTGCGTTAGACTCTGATTATCAATAGTCAACACCTTAAGTCTATAAAGAATTACCCATTCTTAAAAGCGAACTTAGTATTATAACTGATGAAAAGTAAAATTTTTAACATGCATGTGTATTTTTTAAGTTCACCCATAATCATAGATATTTCTCTGTACTTTAGAGTAAGAGGTGAAATGGCTCGACAGTTGGAACAGTTATGTATTCTTGTGTCCCCTTATCTATATACGGGTAGTACCTGCTTTCTTGTACCAAATTCTTCACAATGTTCGCTGCATAGTTTTGTTCGGAATCCAGAAATATTAAATCTCATTCTCAAAGCTATACTGCATACATCCTTGCCATTTTCCGATGTAAAACTTGACATTATGTCATCGTCAACAGCAAATATTTTAATTAGTCAGTGTGCAGAATATTTCCGTGTACGAGGTTTTCTACTCGGTCAAACTCCGGTTCGAATTCTTAAAGAGAATTTCAACACAGATCATATCACTATTCTACAGGTAAGTTTGTAGGTAGGGATTTATATATTTTATTGTAATTTGTTTGTTTCATATCCAAATCTAGGTGGAATATATTTGGTAGCCGACTAGACTATTATAGTGTGGCATAACGTTTTCTTAGGTGATGAGGCCTATGGTCCTCTCTTTGAAAGTGAATGGGTGCATGTACATTCAGATGAAAAGTCTTTTCATTAAACCGAAAGCACTTATCGTTTTGCATTGAAACAGCTCAGTCAACTTCATCTTTTTATTTGTCTTCCCGATGTTAAAGTAATTGTCTGAAAATTTATTCAAGCATCACACAACAACAGTTCGGACAATGAAGTTACCTTCACTATGATTCAGTTTGAAGGTCTGTAGGGATTTATTAATTTCAAATTTGTATTCATCATGAACTGAAAAACATTGAAAATCTGAGAGCACTAAATAGGTGTTTCGTTCTGGTAGGTGACCCGTAAGCGAGGAACACACATAGTCGTACCAGGAAATCGGACCCTGTCAATTCTGTCAATTCGCAATAAGCGCGAACATCATCTAGTACCATAGTTGATTGGTTGTCTTCACGTTTAACTTGATTTGCCTCACAGGTCATGACTTCCTATTAGAACTTTAGGAAATTTCATCTTGAAGCATATCCGTATTGGGCACTGGACAGTAATTTAGTTTTGAAGTTTTTGGGAATTTATTGATTTCAAGATGGTATTCATCACGAACTGATATCAGTTTCAGAACTTTTGAAACCTAACAGTACTGTACAAGATTTAGTGAATATAAATTGCTGTTCAGGTACCTAATTGCGATAAATATATTCCTAATTAGAAGCTGTTCGAATTGCCTAAACCTCTTTACGCTTATTTCATCTAATGCAATTCTTAATTGTTACACTTTCCTTCCATTTTTGGCTTATACTTCTAATCATTTCAGAATGATCTATCATGGTTCAGAAAAATGATGGATTTTGATAACGATCTGTTATCGTATCAAATTATAATCAGCGATTGTCTATTAGCTGGTCATCTGGATTCAGTTCGCTTATTTTGTGCTCAGTTGGTAGCTTCTGTCAGTAGTCATTTTATGTGTACATTCAGTGATAATGGATCAAGTGCATTTTTGTCAGTAATGGATAAACCAGCTTCTGGATTGAATCATTCCAATTTTTCACGAAATGAGTCTACCACCGATAGCCAATTATTGCCATCAGTAAAATTGTTGGAAGCATTAGCAAAACCGAGTGTATTAACAACCAATCTATATGAAGGTAACAAGTGTCAATCTACTTTAAACAATGAATTCACCAAAACCATGATACCTATTCATTCGTCTGCGGCATTAAAAATAGCTACAGAGTGTTTATACTTATCAAGAGATTTTATTTATTATCTTGTAGTAGAGTGTTTATTTCCTGCAGCCAGATACCTTCTTTCTGATCAAGCAACAAAGGAATTATTGTTAAATGCACCTACATCGTCTTCGTCTCAGAAATTTTCTAAACGAGAACATTTGAGGCGTACATTATCGGCTTTATCCAAACATTGTAACCTTCCGCAGTTGGATGCATTTAAAAGTGCTCTTCCGTTGACAAAAAAAGCAGCATTATCTTTCTTAAGCTTTGTATGTCGTATAGATTGTCAAAGTTTAGAGAAGGTATGTCTTTTGTTCTTCTACTGGATACAGTCATTATTATTCTATTGTTATCTGTAGTTCAGCTTATTGTGTATGAAGCCGTTTTTATTGGAATGCTACAGTTTACTTAATGTGGGATTTTAAAGTTTAGTTTGCATATTTTCTACTAAATGTAATCTAAGTATGTGAATAAATAAATCGGTCATCTTTTTGAGCCAACAACTAACTGATCTCTAAGACAAGCATAGTGTCAGTTAGTTTGATTTTTATCGTACTTATTGCCATTGGGAAAACCAGTTGACCAAATCACGCTGATATCAAGCCACTTTTATCAAGTTGCCTTCTTGATCATTTAGTTATTTCACTCAGTTCATCATCACTGCACATATATCAATCAGTCTTAAACTTCGTAATTCGACCACCTGTATAGTAGCTATCACTCAGTTTTATGAGTGGATTACACTTGATGGGTTGTTTCTGACGTTTGTATGCTTTTAATTTCGCAATAATATAGAATATTTTTTAAGGTTGTGTTTATTTATTCAGTATGGGTTATAGATGAAAACTATACCCTTATTGATGTAATACAGAACGTCATTCTATGGGACCAATGTATAAGGTTGGTATACTGACTAGACGATTCTATTTGGAAAAAAGAATCTCATTTTTAAAAATAGAGTACTATGGAAAACATAAGTTTAAAGCGAACCTAGTAGAACGATGGAATATGTAATTTGATTCCGGCGTTAATTTTCTTTTTTTTTGGGGGGAAGTTGAAATGTCTACCGAAGAGAATTTCCAAGATATACAGAAGAGCTGTCTTCATTCAGTATAGGCTTTCATTTTATGAACATGCATCAGTGCAACTCAAGTTGTAATTACATGCACATTCTTATCATTCAGGTCAACAAGAGCTCTTACCAGTTCGATTATAACATATTGCTACTTGGCCAACTGCAACTCTTAAGTAAACACCGTCCTAACATTATTGTTAGCGGTTTCTAATCTGTTTAGGAGGTTTGGTAACATGCCAGAAAAACGCAGGGAATGACTCTTTTGACTGTACATTGTGTTTGATAATTAGGTTAATTTCAAATCTTTCCTCACTGCTTAAGTGGTACAATGTCAACATGGTAAACTTGTGAAAAACTTCTGGATTTCAAATGACTTCAATATTGCTAATCATTCTGAATCGAAGTTAGATCTGTTTATCATTTAGAGAATAGCGAGTGATAAATAATAAAGGTTTTTAACAAGGATTATTTTCTAAATTTCTTTGCTTCGAATAGGCAATTTTTAAAGTTAACTGTTTATATTGTTTACTAAGCAGACAGGCTGTAGGGTTACGTGTATTATTAATTTTGGTTCATTTCTCTTCTTTAAATGCGACTTCCTTTCACTTTTCTAGCTTGTCAATTTACTCATTCTTCTTCATCACTCACACAAACCAGATGAAATCGGACCTAAACTTGATACATCGTCTATTACCATGCCTGGTTCTATTTGTTCATCAGAAATAACTGATCGTAATTCAAATAAAAATACTACAGAAGAATTTTCGAACCCACAGAAGGCTAGTTCAATACCACAAAATATGACAGGAAAGGTAGGTTTTAGATATATTTGAAAGTATCGCTACAGCGTGCAAACTGATTAAATTGATGTGAACCATATTATTTGAAAGTTCATTAGTTCATAAGAAAAAAATTATTATGTGTCAATACATAGTAAAAGACAATTGAATCAAAAAGTGAGAAGAAGGATCCATACATCAAAGAAATGCTAGGATTAATTGGTCGATTTTGCTGGTTCTATTACATTACGAAGTCAATAAGAGTAAATCTGTGATCACTGATTTCTAATTTCTAACATAGAACTTAAACATTCCTGAATGGATAAAAGATGACATGTGGAATGTTGAGTCCTTTAAAATAAATAAGTTGAGTTAGCATTGGAAATCAGTGAATTCTATTGATGTATTCTGATCCAGTATCGATTCTTTTGTCACTGTTCACTATCACTTCCCAGGAACATCGAAATCAAGGTGTTCTTTGCTTGCTGGTGTTTTACTCCACAAAAAACGATTCAGCGAAGGAAATTTTCTCGGTTTATTATTTGCAAAAGATGTATATTCCTATTTATATAGTTAGAGCGAAACTGCCAAGGCTTCCGCTATATTCAGGTAGAGGGTCAGCACTTCCTTTGAAATGTTTGAATTTACTTAATAATGACTGCATAAAGATTCTGATGAAGTAGAGCATCTTGGACTAACTAGATGTTCAAGAATTCAGCTACTGGTCAATTTTCTCTCTCTTATCAACAGTCCTTTAGGATAATATTCGCAAATGCGTTTGGATTAAACACTCTTTGTGCAGCCTGTGTAACCAGCTCCATGGAAGCAGGTGAATTGGTAGATATATACGGACGTGGTGATGGTTTATCCTTTATGCACCCTCAAATCAGTCATTGCGTAGAGAAAAGAATCCGAAGTTTGACGGAAAGGGTTTTTCTCAGTACTTCATACAATTGATTCCCGAGCATCTCAACCATTTTATCTTCCTTGAATCTAATATCCACAAATAGTATTTTCTTTCGAACCTTAGGAACAACTGACTTCTACTACCTGGAGAACAGCTATTCGACGTTGAATATGCGGACGTCATCGTCTTACTGTGCGTTAGGACACAAGTACTTAATCGGTTGGCGATTAGTCTCCGTAGGTATGGTATGTGGTTTGCACCATCAAAGCGAAAAGTAATTTTGCTAGATTGGTTGGGGCCTATACTTGGAATAACTCTCGATGGTGAGCCGTTAGGAGTAGTCGGAACGTTCGTGTACCTGGGTAGTTGTATGAGTGATGATGGAGGCGTGTGGTGAAATTTGTAACCGCATATCGAAAGTCAGAGTGGCATACACCAATTTTGTGTCACTTTTGGCGCCGTTAAATATTAGTCTGACCGTAAAAGGTCGGGTTTACAACGCTTCGTTGTGAGCAGTTCTGCTGTACCCCTGAGCTGAGGATGTGCGACAACTCTGTGTATTCGATCATGGTTGCCTCTGTAGGGTTGGTCGTGTCCGGTGGCAACACCATGTAAGTAATCCTGAGGTAGGATAGCGTTTGTTTTGAGCATGATGGAGATCGTCATTCAATAAGTGGAGTCATCTGGAAGCACCGGTCTCGGTGGTTTGGATATGTGTTACGCATGTCATCCCAACGGTTTTTATACCACTCATTATTGGCTAGCTCTGGGATCCGATAGAAAAAGTGGAGGGGTGATCAATATGAAGTGAGGTCGTTTGAGGAAATATGGTTGTATTAGGTTAGCATCTGTTGGTGCTTCACAACTCTCTGGGTGGGGTCCGAAAGATCATGTAACTTAGTGGCTTGAGACGTTATCAGATGTGGCTCAGAATCGAAACCAATGGCGATCATGTTGTACCTACCCTCCATCTTCTGCTACTGAAAAGTAATGAATGTTTTTTTAAATGTACCTTACTGGACTGCTCTTCTAATCATGCTATTCTTTTGTTTTCTTTCTTACTTATCCACTTCCCATCTTTTATGTCTTCACTATGTTCTCATACTATTTTGTGTGGCGCATTTCTTGGTGCCTTTGCTGTACCATATTTGTGTTCTAATAATAGTAATTATAAATCTGTATCCTGGGAACTTAAGTAGCTGTACAGCAACAGGCATCTTTGCTGAAGAATCGTGATTTACGAGAAGTGATACACGCTGATATGATAAAAAGGAAATAGGAAGCATGAAAGTGTGCAAAAGATACAAATAATTATTATTTTTCATGCATACTTGGGAAAATAACGTTAGGCAGAACCAAAACAACATCAGAGATTCACAAACTGAACGGTACTCTATCCCACAGGAAGTAGTTGTTGGTTGTGTTGCTATAAACTAACAAGTAGTTGGTCACAAGTAAATGGTTGTGCACTAGTAGCAGACTAATCAGTACCTTACCTCTATGTAAGCATTGGAGGAAAAGGAACATGTTTATCCTGAACTTTGAGTCAGGAGTGAAAAGGACGGATTTAGTTATTGAATCAACTTGTCGTTGGTGCGAGACTGCTCCCTCACTTTCTACAGAATGCCGTTGAGCTTTTGTTTTATTGAAGTCGCATCTTTCTGAAAAGTTTGTTTCGAGAATTCGCTTTCATTTGTCGATTTGAATGATGGTTTATGAATGTAGGTTTGACGATTCAATGTGTCCATGACAGTTCCCTGTATGAACATTCCAACAGTATTTCTTTTTTCCTCACAAGTTTGTTAAAGTTGATTTTGTGTTGTTTTGAAAACAATTTCCCCACATGGTCCGTCGTTCCATAGTTATCCAACGCCTCATTTGCAACTCGACGACAAAGGGCTGTTGTTAACCAGATGATTTCCAAACCTGAAAGAGGTCCCATGTATCAGACCATCCCATACTAGGTTTTGAAATGTAGATATACTTGTCGATACCCGCAATGTTTCTCAACCTAAAGGCGACATTCAACTTTTTTCGATTGGGAGGAGGAAGTACTGAGTTGGTATGTTATGCTAACCACAGCCATCTACTCGAACTGACACAATGGCATTCGGGTCTATGGAGACGGTCGTCATTATTCCTCGAACCTGTAGTTTTTTCTCCTAGGCAGTCAGTTTTTGATTTTTAGGTTACAACTTCGGACCCTGGTTCACCTACGGAGGTCCTAGCAGCCATGTAACATCACTAGGCCGCAGGTATTATTTGTGGCTCATTGCCTACTGGACGAGGGTGTACAGCTTTCCCGAGGTGTATCTCTTTTTCTCCCATTACTGTTCAGCCTTGTTATAAATGTACTATTTCTTATAAATCTTAGAAATCGATTTACTCCTAACGGAATACCTGGTTGATTCGAAGTACGCCGACAACTTAGTTGTGTTATATAAAGACTGTGACAAACTGAAGTTTTGTAAATACCTTAAGCAGAGATCTTATACGGCTGGGAGACTTCACCGTTAAAAGTGGAAGATTTAAAGTGACTGAAGGCTTTTGACCACATGTGTGTTTGTAGCGTTGCTCTTGAATGGTTGAGTCATCTTGCAAGGAGTGTTAAGGTTAGATGCAGAATAATATGAAAGGAAAGCAAGTCATTTGATGAAGTTGTGAAATCTCTTCATCTTTAGGTGGCTTGAACACGCATTGCGCCTAATGGACCACATCTAACTCGATGTGCAATATTAGCTGAAAGGGGATAATGTTGACATTGACTCAAAGCGATCAGATGAAGAAACGATACCATTCTGTGAAATCTGTGAGTTTTTGGTCTAAACTTTGTAAAGAGTTGTGCGCTTTCTTGGGATCTTCGAGAGATTAAGAATCGACGTTTGGAGAATATTAGTAACATAACTGCAACTTAGTCGCAGTGCTGCAGATGAATTCACTCTTTGAGATCTGCGAAGTCGTAAACAATTCCATTGATGTTCATTTATTTCTTCTTTCTCATCTCATGCACTTTTTTCAACTTTATTATCACTCTTTTCTTTTTGACTTGTTATTTGCATGCTGCCGTGAAGTTTGGTAAGTTGAGACGATGCATTTCTGTGCATGTTTATGGTAATTTATCTGTGTGAAGGTTATTTTCAATTTCGGTGCAATCAACTGGTTGTTGTAGTTGTTCGCGAAATTGATCAATCACTGATATTTTATTGCTAAATATCTTTCTGTTTACACTAGTTAGTCCAGCAGCGTTGGTATCAGTAAATGGCGTTTACGGAATAATATTTTGTCGTGATTTATTTCATGCTTTGATGGAAATTCTACTATGAAGACCAAGTGATAATTTTCCTGTAATATTGGTACTTCCAGTATTTGAGTCTGTTCGCACTTATGTAACTGGTTCTAATGTAGTGGGTGTTACTGATAAGAATGGATATAAGTAATATATGTTGAGAGGGTGGCAGAATTCATAGGGAATTATCAGCAATGGGTAAGGATTCTGCCAAGAGAAACGCAAGGCACAACGCAGGCGTATGAGAGCAAATCGAGAGAGAAGCGGAAGAGGAAATGAAGCACATTCTGCAGATGACGGTGTTAGTGCGACGTGTACCATATTTAACGACTACTGTTCCACTTGTTGACCATATACATTCCTTCCTTCATATCTCTCTTCTTGCTTCTTTCACTAGTAGTCAGACTGTTTAGAGATTTAGATGCAACATATTTGACTATACCGTCGTTATCATGACTTTCTTCGTAATAGTTATGCATTAGGTTGGTAGCGCTGGGATCTTGGATATGCAGTTCAGCCCATTTTGAATATGTGAACACCCAACTGGCGATTATTGATATAGGATACACTGTTATTCAGTATCTGCCACAAACTGTTGATTTGTTTTGTTATTATTTTTCCTGAGACATTTTTTTCTTTACATTTTCCAGGCTGATGTTCACTGGGATGTGCAGCCCATTGTAGTTGGACGTGCAGAATGCGGATTTGTTGGTTTACGTAACGGTGGTGCAACGTGCTATATGAATTCTGTTCTGCAGCAGTTATTTATGCAACCTGGTGTAGCTGAAACATTGTTGGCTGTTACAGATACGGATGATACAGATGAGAAGAATATTCTCTTCCAAACACAGCGTGTTAGTTTGATACTTTTTAGACAAACGGTATTGTTGAATTATTGGCGTATTATTGTTATCATTAATTTTTTTTCTTTTCATTTCGAGTGTCTTTTTAACGCATCTACAGCACTAATAAACCATGACGTGAAGCTGATTGATAGTATTCTCACTAGCGAAGTGTGATTTGTCAATGTAAATAAAGTATGTAACTTTTATTGGGAAGCTAATACTATCATACTTGGTGTCGCGAAATCCTCGATATGTATGACTAAGTAATATTTATCTATTTTTCTTACCTTTTAGTTATTTGGTCATTTACTTCAATCTCAACGGGAGTATTTTGATCCAGTTGGATTTTGGAAAAGCTTTCGACCGTGGTCAACAAATGTAGAGATCAATCCATTCGAACAACAAGATGCCTTTGATTTCTTTCAGGCTTTAATTGACCAATTAGATGATGGATTGAAGGTATGTCTTTTTATCTCTTTTCTTTTTTTTCTTATTATTCAGTCACCTTGTTCCTATATATTCACTTGTTACTAAAATGTGGAACTATGCTTACTTTTTAATACGTGTTGATTCTTTGACTAAAATAACTTTTGTACTGTGTAAGTAGTCTTAATGTTACTAACCTTGGTGAATAGAGACACTTAAGACTAGGACTTAGATAAAATCACCGAATTGTAAATTTCGCTTCCGAAAATATTTCCCACCTCAATTTTATTTTTGATTTTAGAAAATGAAAAGAGCACCATTTTTCCAAGCATTGTATCAAGGCATTTTCCTTGATTCTAAGTTTTGTGATGAATGCGATCATCGGTAAGCGAATCAAATATCATATTGTACAGTTTTCATATTTCACAGTTCTTACATCTTTTTGGCACACTGTAACAAGAATTAAGCAAAGGTATCACCTAATTTTCTCAAACAATTCAATACTACTAGAAATGTTGTTAGTAACGTACCGATAAATTAGTTCATTAGATTTACAGAGATGTATCTTCACCCCCATTTTCTTCGACAAAACGTTTAGATTTATAGTAGTTAGACTGAACAAAATCATTGTTGCAATGGGAAATATTTTCAGTTTCATGAACTTCAAATCACGTAAAACACATACTATGCGCTACTCAGCTTTCAGAAAGCAGTATTTCAAGTTTATCTGTGCAAATCAGATGATTCAGTGAATAAGCAACATCATACTGATGGGTAACAGGTACATTTATTGTTTATTTGTGTGACTTCTTTTTACCTGCTGCTTCCGAATTTACTAAGTTTAGTCATCGCATTTTTCAAATCACTCGTAGCAAATGACAATTGACGGAACACGGGCATGTGAGTAATCACACTTTGACGTTGCTTACTTTCCTTGAGGAAAAAAAAATGCATTTCTGAAAGGATTCATAAAGTTATCAATTGTGAACTTTTATAGTTAGATCACCTTTGTATCTCAATACAGTTACATTCCTTATTGCATTCGCTGCACTAATTCGGGAAACAAGAAAACACTATATTCTTGACTTTACACCCTAACACTATCTACAAAGATTTTAAAACCTTATAGGTTAAAGTAGTAATGGAAATCCCACTCTATCAAAACATTCTTGTTCATTAAGAAACGATAGTGAAGATAGAATCGAATAGTTAAGTAGATAAACCAAATTTAGTCACATATTCCTTCCTGTCATATACTATTGTGAATAAAACCTTCGAACTTAGATCAATTTCATCCAAGATAAATACATAGGAGACCAATTACTTTATTTTTTATTTATTTATTGTACTTCAGTTATGATCGTGAAGAAGTGTTCAGTGCAATTAATTTAGCTGTCAAAGCTAATGATTTACATGAAGCTTTGAATCAATTTGTTCGTGGTGAAGTACTTGAAGGCGATAATGCCTATTATTGTGAACGTTGTTGCGTTAAACGTCGAGCAGTAAAACGCTTATCTATACACACACTACCCCCGGTATTGTGTTTGCATTTGAAGCGTTTCGATTTTGATTGGGATCGTCAGATACCTGTAAAATTTTCACACTATTTCAAATTTCCGAGACAATTGGATATGAGTCCCTATTAACTGGTTCCATACAGGTAATTTTCTTGTATATATTGAATATTTTTTGTTATTTTCATTGTTAACTGCCTTTTCTTATAAATAACCAGGTTTTATCATGCTGAAAACAACCTTAATGTAAAGTTTAATGTTTTATTTCTGGGGTAAACTAAAGAAAACACTAAAGATATGCGGTATACTGATTTTTCGTTAGTAAGCTCATCAAAATACTGAGACGAAGGTACATTTAACTTGCTTAACATCTGCTATAAAAAGTGGGATTACACAATCCTCTTTCTGTAAGCCTTGTTCGCTCCAAAGAACTCAAGAATTCAGTCAATAAAAAATAAATGCATTTCTAACTTTGAAACATCCTTGAAACTGCGTTACAACACTTTGAATGAGTTAAAGGATGTGAAGACATTTCATCACTTCGACCTTACAGACACATGTAAATGAAAATCTCACTGTTCTCCGGAAAAACTATTACCCAGTGGGTGCTCATAATAAAAAAAGGTTACATAATAGATAGGATCTTCTATTGTTTGGATCGTAACATAAAATTTTTTTATCAATGATTAGCTTCTTGTTGAAGAACTTATTGTTACGTGACCACAGTTGATTCTGTTGACCACTCTCATTGTCTCTGTAATCTGCATACCATCAGAATATACGATACTCCTGACCTTCACTTACACTAAACAGACCATTGTTACCCATCTGTTCGTTCGCGTATATAAATTCATCTGTTCGAACAGATTGTTGAGTATACTTGTAAGGTCGTAAAAGTAAGTAAAACTGTTAGCTTCACTGGTTATCTTATTGCTACTTTTATGTTCACAACAATAAACAGTAACATTATCATCTTAAATTTTATTTCAATTTTCACTTTTACAGAAATTCCGATCGGCTGCATTTTTCTCCCCTCATTCATCGACTTCAGCGTTATTGCAGCGTGCAGCAAAGGAAGATATACCGTCACCTGATCCGGATAATTCGAAAACAAATGATGTTCGTTACATTAATAATATTCATTCCTTTATGTTATATGCATTCCCAATATTACAAAGTTGCGTCTTGCTCTTCTTGATGCTAAAAGTATTGAAGGTATAATGACGGTCAAGCACTTTTTGTATTTTGTTAGATCTTCATCTGAGTCACTTCATCTCTATTATTGGAACCTTTACCTTCGATAAATATCTCGATCTTACTTATCTTCACTGCCACCAGTTATAAAACTACAATTCGAAGATGGTAAATAACAACCAACGACTACAGTTGGTGGCTGCTAAGTACCATACGTTTTTTTATTTTTATGAATGCATAATAGTTATTTGCTGGCAATTTCAGCTCCGATAAAACAAAACTCAATTAGCGTTTGCTAGCTTCCACCATCTCTGTTGGTGGCGTGATATTCGATCGCCTAATAAGGGTCGATTTCTCTGCACTGCAGCTTATTGTGTTACACTATATGGCCGTGAAACATGATCAGTCAAGGTGAAGGACACGAGAAAGTTCCAGGTGTTCGAATGTCGTTATTTTTATAGTATAGACCATATTTTGTAGAACCACTACAGTAATGGATTAGTCAGATGTGGTGTTTTAAGTAGAGGAAGCAAATTCGTTGATGAGGTTGTAAATCTTCATCTAATCAAATGGCTAGGACATGTGTACGCATGCTTAGTTTACGTCTACTTCGACACACAATACTATCCTAAGTAGATTTACACTGGAAATAGGTTAGGGACGAACAGACTAAATATGACATCAGTCCATTAGGTCTGTTACGGTTGTTCTGAACTGTATAGAGTAAGGAGTCTTTTTGGTTGGGACCTGCCTGACAACTGAAACTGGTGATTGAAGACTAGTTGATATGACTCAGAATTGATAACATTAGTGCAGATGTATCCACACATTATCTTCATCTTAGTCATCATTCTCTCCCTCCTCCTTGAGGTTTTCTGATGACTTTATGCCACTTTTGACTGCTTTCTTCTTTGTTTCTTTATTTTTCATCTTAGTGCATTTTCATATGTTGCACTGTTGTGAGGTGTATCAACTTGGACCTTTACGCAGTAATTCCAGGTCCCACGTTTATGCTGACTGAAATATGCCTGCATATTTTCTTAAGAGAACCAAGCACATTTGTTTCCTGCAAAACAAGGCAAACTAAAAAGCACTCACACCCTTCTTAAAAAGTATCATCCTCGTAGAATACTAGTATTTGTAAAGTTGTGTCTGTTCATTTTTAGCTTTCTTCTCTACAACACTATATGTTAAGATGGTGGGAAAACATACCTGATAGTTTTAACGTAACTCATAGGAACTTATCATGAAAATGATGTCAGGTCATTGTAGAATGTTGACATGAGATACTGTCACAAAATATGTTATTCCTTCTACAATGTAGACCACTTTTGTGTTTTTTTTTAAAACGCATTTAAATGACAGAAGTAACTCAGTTTTTGACAGATGTGGTACACAAAAATCTATTGATCAGATGGCATTGGATATGGAGACAATTTCTCGGTTTTTTCCCCTTCCTATTCGATCATAGCTGACTAGTTTGTCAGCTAATAGCGTTTTAACTTGACAATGTTTATTGATTTTCAAGGGTCTTTCAGTTATACGGCTGTGAAGTGAATATGAATACAAATGAATCTCTGTGTTGTGTTCAATGCAATTTTCTGTTCCGTATTGACTAGCAAAATAGTGCATTGCTAAGGTGCAACAATCACTTCTTTAAACACAGTTAATATTAGTTGTCACGTATGTAGTCCGTTTTCGTCTACTGGAAAGTCAAATGATCAGTTCTATTTCACTTTACAGGATGAAAAAAGCAATGTTGATGTAAATAAAAGTACAGAGAGGAATGTAGATATAGAAAATCCAGTCACATTTTCCAACTCTCCACCTTCCTCACCAACATCTTCACGAAGCGGAATATATTCTTTCCTCGAAATGCCTAGTGCTGACAATATTGAAGAGACAGAAGTAGAGAAGAATGATGCTCTTAAAGCTACAATTTCTCCAAACATCCCTTTGTCATCCTATAAAAAACCATCAAATAATGAGGCAACAGATAATATATACAAACTTGTTGGTGTTGTTGTTCACTCGGGTCAAGCGAATTCTGGTCATTATTACTCGTTTATCAAAGATCGTCGAAGTAAAACGTAAGTAATTTTTTTTCTGGCTCCAAGTGGTAACAATGGGTAACAAAATGCACATATTTTCCATGAAGAGTAGAATTAAGGAATGTTGATTTGTCTCTGCTTATTAATATCTTATTCACATTGAGGAAGTTGACTTTTTGAAACAAAATCCACATTTTGGTCGTTAGGCCACTGCAAACATTCTGCATTTCTTTCTTTTATACTAGAAAGTAAATGCTTTTGTGGTGATTGATACATTTGTGTGGAATAATAGAACCTATCTTAATCAGGAGCACAGTAAAGGTGAATGTATGGATGTAGGACAAACAGATATCAACATTAAATATTCCGTATATCATTTCAAGTTGATATACTTTGCTGCAGCTCGAATATGCGACGTAAATGTAAAGAAATATTCACAGATACAAAAGTGAATGCTTTGAGAAAGAATTGAGGAATGAAAATTGAAAGTGATACAGATGAAATCGATGTATGCCATCTTCATCGAATTCATGTATATCAAACAGGGTCTTTCAGTAATTATCGAATAACACCTATAAAGCTGAAATCTCACATTCCACACCTCTCCATATAACTTGAAACAACCAAAGGTTTCGTAAATTATGGGCTTTGTCCTTTGACCAGTGACCACCTTTTCCTGCGTTATTTCACCCTACCTAACATTTTTCATCATGATTAGTTATGGGTGGGGTTGCCCAAACCTCATCGCATCTGCATCATTTCATATTGGTTTTAAATTTTATCAATTATACTCTGAGAAAACCTGATTTATTTAGTCATCAAAACTCTCATGAGATAATGTATGCTTCTCAAGGTGATTTCTAAAAAGCAGTCAGATGTTTGATTCACATGTACTCTATCTTCTTTTCATCTTCGTAAAGTTTATTTTCCGTTCATACTTTTACTTTCACCCAATGTCATATATCATACATAAGGGCGTGGTCAACTTTGTAAATGTCGCAGCTGTTTCATAGAAAATTCATCAACTGATTTATTCATTTCTTGCTTTAGTTCGATGGCAAGGTTTATTCTATTTAGATTCCTGATTCAATTTCCTATTTCCAACTAAAGTAGCAACTTTTAATACTACTACTGATAAAATCTGATTTCTTGCCATGAGTATAGTATAGATTTACAGTGAGGAAGCGTAAAAAAGTAATTCGTTGACTTACATTCTTCACATGCTGTATGGATGGCTATTTCCCATACTTTGATACAATTTTCACACCAGAAACAAGGCTGGTAACGAGACAATTATTTTGCTACTCTTGATTTAAAAAGAAAAATATGTCGACACAGAAGTCGGCCTCGTAGCTAAACTGGTAGAACACAAGTCGCTAACTTAATGACCAACAGTTAGAATCTTATCTTACCTCTTGCATTTCCTTTAGCGTCATTCATAATACCCTTGCCAGAAGATGACAAAAAAGGCAGCAAAGTTACGCACTAATAACGTCAAATATACACAATAAATCTTTTATCGATAAACCGTACCCTTCTTTCGTACAGCTCATCATTTATTATTATTATTTGTCCTATGAGTTCCTGGTCGAATATAGAGCTTCAGTAGCAGGTCAACATTTCACTCTCTTCTCTGCAGCCTTTGTAATCTGGCTCCACGACTGCCCAGAAGCTTTCATTTCACCCTCACGCGATCTCCTCAATGTCACCCTCAGACACCCAAGTCGTCGTTTCCCATTTGACTTCCACTCGAGGGCCTGGTCTGGCATATGGTGTCACCGAATGGTCTTCTCAGTGTGTGTCCAATCCAATCCATCTCCACTTTCTTCTGCATATTTATTGGGCGATAGCTTCTTGGTTGGTTCGTTGCCCGGAAAGAGTTCCTTGTTGCTTATTCTTTCTGATCACCTGATCCTCAGTACCGAGTGAGCGTAGGCGACAGCTGTCAATGTGATGTATGTCTGTAGTTTGTTGGAAATGCTTTTCGTAACTCTCCAAGTCTCTCAACCGTCACATAGAAGCACTGACTTGACTGACTAAATAAGTTTTGAAAATCCGGATGTTGTTCACGATTTGTGCTGAGTGCAGTGCAGTGCAGTGCAGTCGATCTCCACACTGATTTAAGGTTAATGAAGGCTTGTCTTGCTTTCCCGATCCTGACTTTGACGTCTTCATCTGCGTCGCCGCCTGTAGTTGAAACGATGAAAGAGACTACTTCCTTTAGATCTCTCCCGTTCATAGTGATTGGTGCTTGTTGTTATTGTTGTTGTGGGTTGGATATCTTCATCACCTCTGTCTTCACTCCATTCATTTGAAGTTCCGTCTTCGCTGCGCTGCCTCTTCTGTCAACTTGTTGGCTTTTTGCCTGTAGACCTTCGAGTTTGTGTGACATTCGACACAAGTTATCTGTGAAATCTGAATCTTCTTCCAGAGTCTTTTCATCGGTCCATCCAGCGTATGCCCCTCTTCTCGCTCCTCACAGTTGTCTGTTGCATGGTCCGGTCCGGTGCGGTCCAGTCTAGTCGACCACAACCAGTAAGATCATCGGTGATAGTAGGCGGCACTCTTGTCTTACTCCTGTCTTCACTTCGCTTCAAAGGTATTAGTGAGCTTTGCATTGTGAATGACTTGTTATGTCGCGTCATCATGTAGCTGCTGTTGAAAGAAGTTGATAATGGTTTGTGACACCAAAAGCGTAGTGTTGAAGCAGTTTCCAAATTACTTGTCGGTCGACGCTATCGAAGGCCTTTTCAAAGTCGATGAAGTTGAGGTTGAGTTGATTGTCATTCTATGCTTTGTTCTATGATGATGCGTAGCGCATGACGTTGCAATTTGATCCGTGTATGATTTGTTCTTCCTGAAGCTAGCCAGCCTATTGAGGTTGTAATTTTGAATGTAGAGAATGTTATAGTCTTACAGGATGATGCGGCCTAGTGTTTTGCTTGGGGTGGACAGGGAGGGACATGAGCATGATTCCGTGCCAGTTCTTGCAAAGACATAGGTCGCCCTTTTTTGGAAGTTTTACAAGGTGGGGTACAGGTTTTACCATTTATATATTCGGTTTACACTGAGTATTTGTTGCTTGATCTAAAAGCTTGTTAGTTTTAGTTTTAAAAAATGTAAGAGATTCCAATTTCATCGAATGATCACGTATATACTCGCTAGTGTGTTGTAAATTTTCCTTACTTTATCGAAAGTGGCAAATGAAATTTTAGGAAGTCAGCAACGTTGTTGAAAAACGGTTATGTGGTAAAGTGGATTGGAACTCATTTATGTCCTAATTGACTAACTAGCTTTTACATTCATCTCAATTTTTGGACTAATAATCAAAAATGGTCATCAACGTGAACAAATTTCTTAGATTAGGTTGCTTTCACCACACCAACACGAGTGATATGGAAATATTACTGATTTACACGAATCTATTTATCTTACCCAGTATTTTAAGATTTTATCGGCAATTATTCATAATAATGTTTGTGTACAGAAAATCGTAGACCATCAAATCACGAGGTAATCATATTGTCTAACGTTCTGAATAACAAATTTACGTATGATATGGTGTGATGCTAAACTCCGGTAGTTCAATAGGTTCATGGGATTATTTGTTCTGTGGCATCTTCTTGTCATATCTAGTTTATATATTTTTTCAACCACTTTTCTCGTTTTAAAAAAAGTTATCTGCTTTGTTTTAACCTTTAATTTATTTAGCCTTTCACGTCCACCCATCATTTTTCAAAACAATGAACAAGTGACCGCAAGTACAAACAATCAAAATACTTCAATAATATACCAATCTCCTGACCATAGTGTACAAAGTTTTGAAACGTCTCAGTTAGAAACCATATCTGAAAATCAAAGTCAAATGGAACGTTTGCGTACACATCATACCACCAATAATCTAAAGGATAGTGTAGAAAATTGGTATAGATTCAATGATACATGTGTTGAACCTGTAGAATTAACAGATGACCTACTTGAACATGAATGTTTTGGTGGGACGTATAAAGTGATTGGAAATGACGGTTCGTCTTATTCACGTTGATATAATTTGGTGTTTTTAGATTTGGGGTTTATTTTTTTTATTTCATCTGTGCTTTGGAGTTTCTTTAGCGGTTGGATTAATTTTCCGCGGTAGGGAGGCTAACCCCAAGCTCAGCTATTCGTCATTTTCCGGGCCTAGGATCGGATAGTGAACTAGTGAACTAGGCGAAGTGAAGACAGGAGTAAGACAGAGTGCCGCCTACTATCACCGATGATCTTACTGGTTGTGGTCGACTGGACTGAACCGACCGGACCGGATTATGCAACAGACAACTGTGAGGAGCGAGAAGAGGGGCATACGCTGGATGGACCGATGAAAAGACTCTGGAAGAAGATTCAGATTTCACAGATAACTTGTGTCGAATGTCACACAAACTCGAAGGTCTACAGGCAAAAGCCAACAAGTTGACAGAAGAGGCAGCGCAGCGAAGACGGAACTTCAAATGAATGGAGTGAAGACAGAGGTGATGAAGATATCCAACCCACAACAACAATAACAACAAGCACCAATCACTATGAACGGGAGAGATCTAAAGGAAGTAGTCTCTTTCATCGTTTCAACTACAGGCGGCGACGCAGATGAAGACGTCAAAGTCAGGATCGGGAAAGCAAGACAAGCCTTCATTAACCTTAAATCAGTGTGGAGATCGACTGCACTGCACTGCACTGCACTCAGCACAAATCGTGAACAACATCCGGATTTTCAAAACTTATTTAGTCAGTCAAGTCAGTGCTTCTATGTGACGGTTGAGAGACTTGGAGAGTTACGAAAAGCATTTCCAACAAACTACAGACATACATCACATTGACAGCTGTCGCCTACGCTCACTCGGTACTGAGGATCAGGTGATCAGAAAGAATAAGCAACAAGGAACTCTTTCCGGGCAACGAACCAACCAAGAAGCTATCGCCCAATAAATATGCAGAAGAAAGTGGAGATGGATTGGATTGGACACACACTGAGAAGACCATTCGGTGACACCATATGCCAGACCAGGCCCTCGAGTGGAAGTCAAATGGGAAACGACGACTTGGGTGTCTGAGGGTGACATTGAGGAGATCGCGTGAGGGTGAAATGAAAGCTTCTGGGCAGTCGTGGAGCCAGATTACAAAGGCTGCAGAGAAGAGAGTGAAATGGTGACGTGTTCCTGAAGCCCTTTGTTCCACTGGGAATCGAAGGGTGAAATAATAAAATGTAACAGTATTTGAGGTGATTGAATTTAAGTATTAGCTTTTCGAACTATTGTTAAATTAGTAAAGAATATTCACAGTCTCATTATTTAGTCGGAATCGTCATGTATGATTTTATCTGCTTTGAGGGATCGCAAGGAACTGTTGTTCTATTTTTCGCACTCATTTGAACTTATGGTTGGTTTTATGTCACAGTTTTATTAGGTAATATCAACAGAATGCCTGATGTTTCACTCATTGACTATTAGTTTAGCTTCATGAATAAGGTACCTTTCCAGGCGATTACGCGTATTGGATGATATGAACTCTTTGGATATTTTAGACTCTTAGTCTGCAACTGTATGGTTGGTATGTCGGTTTGCCTGTGCCTCACTCATACGTAATTAACGGAGTTTTATTCTCACTGGTTTTCGAACCCGAAGATTTGCTTGTAGCATGTGTGTGATGTGTAGACACGCTGGGATGATGTCAAAACTTACTTCTATAATGTATCGATCGTTTCCTTTTCCGTATCAATAGTTATACAGAATACTGCGTACTTCTGGTTTTACGTATTTCATGTTTACTTTACAACAGGATCTCATTCTATCCATTTCTTAGTATATTCCTCTCCAAACTTTTTAACTTTCATTGTACGTCACTTCAATTTGATTGTATTTTGGGATGGAAAACAGATCTGTTCAAATGCAAGATTATTGAAATTTCCTGTTAGATAAAAAGAAATCTGGTTTGTTGATTAGGTAGAAAAAAGTTCCCTTGTCTGACACGTTCTATCCTGAATCAATATATAGAGATAAACAACCTTTTTAAAAACCATAGTCTTACATAATAAACAGTTGGTACTGGTTGTATTTTTCAATGTCGCCTGCACGTTCACACTTTATTGTCTATTTGCTTATGTACGAATATATTTTATATTTATATTTTTACCGAAGCCATGAATACAATAATGAGAGCAGCATTTAGCAATACTGACACTGCGCTTTTTGAACGGAACACCGATGTTGCTGTGCTTTTTTGCCTGATATATCTGGTTATGTTTGTCTAAGATCGTGAGCCTGGAAGGTATTCAATAGCAAAGTGATAGATAGGAAATGATGAAAAGAAATGCATCAGAAGTTCTATCCTTGAGCATTTAATCGATTCCAACCATTCAACCGACCCTAACAAGGATTTTAAGGTTGTCTATCGAATTCGTTCAAACACCCCACGTTTCCTCCGTATTCAGCTTCCAAAAACAGCAGAAGCCTTGGATATCCATGAACTGAAGCCCAACCTTTGTGTGCAAAAGAACTACGTACACTCTTTATCTCTACCTTCGCCTTAATTTACTTTAGTCTTAGTGTCCTTCGTTCCTTTTTCGTTTTTCACCCCGCCCTCCCCCACTTTTTGTCAGATTTGTCTTTGTACTCTTACATTGGCATTACCTTTTTGTTTTATATTTAATTGTTTCCGGTGTTATTTCATTCGATCTTTCTAGTAATCGCAACTTATAACAAAACATTTTCAATTTATTCCGACTAACTTGTCTCATTCATATCTCTGATACTACTATCTATATGGTATTAAAGATGCGCTACAAAGCCATTGCTTCATACGTTTTATAACCTGCTGTACACCAAACTGATCTCTTGCTCGTCAAAAATATACCTGTTATCCTAGCCTTACATTGTTGATAACTTGGTTTTCGTTTGCTATGAATTTATCACAGAACCAATAAGAAACCGTCTACTACGTCACTATGACTATGTTTATCACCGTTTATCATGTGTTTCAAACAGATGTCACAGTATAGGCAAAGAAAAATGTACCACACTATTACAAGAATAGCTTACATAACTTTGCAGCTACCAGCTTCACTCGTGAACATAAAGTCAGATTTTATGGGTTGACAGTAAATTAGGCTTTTAAGTCGAATAATGCCTACAGTCGATATTCATGTGAATCTGTGACACATTGATCTAAGCACCTGACTTTCAGTCAACGGGTCACTGGTTCGAGCCTCACTCAGCTTACTGACATCTGGATAACCAAGTAGTATCATTGTCTACTCTGCAAGCAGCAGCATATGGTTGTTGAGGGCACTTCGGTTTTTTACATAATCATGCAACCGTACATAAATAAATTTCAGGAAAGCGAATTTTATTGACAAGAGTTCATATAAACTATCATTCACTCTGTTTCTATGTTTTTTGACCACAGATCACTCTTTTTTTTAGTTAGAGTTAAGCATGTATGTGAAGTTTTTATATTCAATGTTACCAAACTATTTTTTACCCGGCACACAGGAAAATCAGTTGAAACTCGTACCAGATACTGGAGCGCATATCTTTTATTTTACGAACGAATTGATATTCACTGTTCAGTGTATAAACAACCTGAAACAGTCAGCGATTCACTCAGTAACCAACAAACAGATCTTCAAATCGAAGAACATCGTGATGAGAGAAGTAAGTTCACTTTCTATTCAAAGTTGCCATTGTTATGTGTATATCATGAGCATTGTATTAGTTTCTAAGTATTCGAATAATTTTGAATCCACTATCCATCAGTAGTATTCAAATAATGCTTATGAAGCTTACTCTAAAGAGTGTTCACCCCTCACAAAATGAATGGCACTTGTTGTTGTAATGGGCTTGCAATTTTTCTGTTCTGTTTATGCGAATACGTTAGGTGAATTGTTTTCCATCAGTGAAGTTGAGACATCAGCAGGCATAGCTCATTAGTATCAAAACTACCTTTAGTCCTCATATTGTCGTTACTGTATCTCAAGTCCTTTAAATACTCCAATGAAGGTCTTTGTAAACTAAAGTATAAGTTTATCATTGTAAACAAGTGTTATATACAATTCACTGTACAATATCTTACTTGATTATCTTTTATGGAAAGTACGATAAAATTGGTTGCTTCTGGTGAACAAAATCTAGCTGTCACTGGAAGTTAAACATCCGGTTGTGTACTTAGCATACTTACGTTGCAAATATTATCTAAGCATACAAAATTCTATCCTCTATATCGGAATTTAACATTTCACGTTTCCCAACTTTCATCAGTTCACAACATAGTACAACTTATCAATTTTCAGTTTGACTATCCGAGATATCAGTAGTTTGGCAGACTTTTATTGATGCTGGGTGATGATTGATAGTGAATTGAAAATCTGGGCCACAGCATGGTTCGAACCATCCACCTTCGGGTTACTGACCTGGGGCGGTATCAACTAAGTAACGAGACCCGGATGCTGACCAGATTTGTATTTCACTATTTAGCTGAATGGTTCATGTGAATTCGTTTAATTCTAGCGCAGTCTAAACTAATGTAATGTAATTAATGCTTAATTTTACGTTATTTTAATTTTTTGTATTGTCAATATTCTGATGATTATTTACTGATTATATTGCAGTCTGCATTTCACGATATGTCTGATATAAAATTCCTGCCACTTAAGTAACTATAACATTTACGTTTCCATTTTTCTATATAACAAAGTCACTGTTTTTGACCAGACTATATGTAATTAATTTTCACTCGCGAAACTGATAACAATGTGAAGGGAGGATGATTAAAGTTGAAAAAGATCAAGAAACATTAAAGTCTCCAGAATCAGTTACTTTTTTTTTCACCGCCTTTAAACTTTACCGACTTAACTACGAAACAGACCTTTACCTGTAATTTTGAGATTTCGGCTATAGCCGTGCCACTGTTTAAGTTTTCTCTTAACATTACTCATTATCCTTTTTCATTAAAATACGTATTTATTTAAAGTGTGTATCATATACTGCTGAGTAGTAAGCGCTGAGCTCAACTGGTGTAACGAATAATCTGTTGACTGATGTGTATTTGGTCGACTCGTTGTACTAAATTAATTAGCTATGCTATTTCCTTAGGAAATAAAGTGAACTCCCGTGTACAAAATATGCGACTCTGAGCTTTCGCCATCATCAGTATTTCTGTAAGCTTTTGCCGTTTCACTTCTTTATTGTGAGTGTCCTCTTCTCTTTTTTTAATAGTTTTTGTTGAATATTTAAACCCCTATTTATTACCTGCAACGCAGTCATTCGCTTATTGTTGAAGTGAAACAGCATCATGACATATGTGTAGTTCGGGGTCTATGGGAATTTTATTTCAAGATGATATTCATCACGGACTGACACCATTTGGAGAAACATTGAAAATCTTGGAGCACCGAACAGCTGTTTTGTTCCAATATGGGACTCCTCAGTGGCGCTCGCCCACGATTCTTCTAGAGATCGAAACAGGACCTTCAGGTCTCGAGGTGAATACTTTAGCCATTCAACCACGGGGTTGAAGTTGAATGGTCAACAGTTTTCCACTGTCAATTTTCAATATAGTATGACTATCCACCAATATCTACAATCGGCATCTGCTTCACTTCCAACTGGTTGGCTCCACTTATCACAGCTTCTCATTAGAATAACCACTTTAAAGCATGTCACTAGTGAGCACTATGTGCAATGTAGGTTGAATGTTTTGAGTTCGATCCCCGGCGAGTTCGTGGGTGCATATTGGGCATGCACTTAATAGGACGAAACAGATGCCTAGCGCTCCCACGTAATCAATGTTTCTCTAACTGATGATAGCCGGCGATGAATACTACCTATATATATTCATTGCAGAGTAGTTCCTAATTCTGACTGACAGTTATTGAGTGCTGCATAGTCGCTCACTTCAAATTTCCCCCTACATTTAGTCAGTCTCAGTCACTCGATTGGTGTAAAGTTCAGCATAATGAAGGCAAGCGTTCACGATAGCTTTTAGTGAGATTAGTAAAAGTAAGTTATAGATACGGTGATGATACTGTTGTAAAACATCGTCGACTGACTAGTCTTCTAAATACAACAACGTTTGTTCGATCAAATAAATATGTGGATTACTCAAAACTCTTTTCAGCGAAGTGAGAAATATTTGTTTAGTGGAAAAGTGCTATCTGAAAAGTTTTATTTCAGAATTTTCATGAGTATAGATTAACAAAAGTAATGGAGTCATGATTTTAAAAAAATCCGTTTTAATTCAGTTGATCTGTCTGTTGAAAAGGATCAGCAGAAGATTAATGGTTTGTCTTTCTATAACATATACCGTCGTCCAACGTTTTTCTCGATGAAGTACTCCTCTAATCGAAAATGGAAAAACACTAGTTGGACGTCATCTCTGTCTGTATTTATGAGCCGAATTATCGTTACACAAGAGATTATGCTTGTGTTTTTCCCAGATAGAGTTATTCATTTCATATACCACAGACAGACAAACGAAATCAATGTAGAACCTCGCACACGAGTGCATTGGCTGGTATTACCACACTTCATAGTATTTATACAAAGAACAAGTGGATAGGAAGGACTGATGTCAAAGTAAACAAGGGTGTTTGGGAGGTGAGGAAATTTAAAAACTAAAGTTAGTTTAAAACTTTTACGCTTTAGAAAAAATCGAAGAGTGAACACGTCTGCGCCATTGTGACCGATTTTCAAACCTGTCCTTAACCACTAATTCATTTCGTCTGGGGGACCTCGACCACTTAGTCTACACCTTTGTAGACGGCTCAGACTAACGTTCAAGGACTTCACTGACTCGTGCCACGTCCGGCCACCCTGAACTCTAATCCGTCCCCCTAGCATTACATATTGATGACTTGGCATGCACAGCACGTGTCGAAAACACAGTCTATGAATGTTCATAAGTCCATCCTCTGAATAACCTTCCTAGCCTAGTACTCTACATCTATGATCAAAACCGTGTACCCGCGTCATATCCTCTACTTTCAACAACCATTTCTCCCAGCCGTATAACTGGACAGAATAGACGGCAGCGCAATATACTGGTCCTTTGATAGGTAATCGGTAATGCAAAATGGGCCTGATGTACCAGAGCTAAAGTTTCATTAGCAACCGCCCTATTCGGGCTGATACAACTCCCAAATTAGGTGAAGTGGTCTACATATTCCACCACTTCACTCCCTATTATTGAAATAAAATAGTTGGAGGACAGTCCTGGAGTATATTCGTCAGATTCGAGACCATCCCAAACATACTCAGATTTCTGCTCAACACGTTCAGAGGACCCTGTCTTCTGTCAGCGTATGCACCTAGCTGGACAGCATCGTCTTCCTTCTCCAAGTTAACCAGATCACCTCTAGGGACTAGATCAATCCCTGTGAAGTCAGACATACCTCGATGCATCCATAACAAAATTAAACAGCAGTAGTGACTGTAGGCATACTTGGAGGACACAATTAGTTGTAATGAGTTCACATTATGGCTCTCAACAAGCCCTGACACGACTGCATAAGTTTGAGTAGAAAGCGTTCATTTGTGTTCCGTACTCCTTCAATACTACCTTCACAATCAGACAGCCACGATGTCCCATGGTTGACAAGGTTGAATGCTGCCCTCAGTTCAGAACCTGTCGAAGGGTGAAGATCTGACTGATGCACCCTCGTCCAGGTCTGAAACCTGCCTACTGCTGTCGGGCTCTAGTTAGCCGTTGAATAACTCTACTCTACTTTGCCAAATCACTGACAATTCAAAGGTTTGAATCAGAACTTTGCATTCAGAAGCAGACAACTAAAATATAGAGCTGCCTCAGTGTAATTACTTGTTTTTCTCACTACTATTCTGTTAAGTTTATTCTTCGCTGTACCTTCCGTTTTTGTTTGTTCTACACACCTAACTTTGTGCAACATTGATCTCTTTGTTCCTTTATGCAGAATCCGTTATTATTATCTTTGACTTGTTTCAGCTTCATAATAGGTAGTGAAATGGTTGAAAGCGTTGACCACTTCACTTACCTGCAAATTCGAAGTAACTCTGATGGGTTAACGGTCGATGAAATCTATGCTCGGATACAAAAGGCTCGTTTGGCCTTGACCAACTTACTCTATTACTGGTGATATCCAGTTACCCACTGAATGCTGATTGTGCTGCACTACAGTTTGCACTATTCTACTGTATGGCTTTGTTAAGTGACCATTGAAGTGGAGGACATGAGAAGGCTTCAAATGTTCAAATACCGTTGATTTTCATTATGTGTATAACTGAGAACGGATCAGAGTGGTAAAGATGCTTACACACTTAGAAACTGTGATCAATTTTGAATCTGCATATTTGTTCATAACATTGTCTTATCAAGCCCTAAATTTACATCAACATATTACTGGTTTTTATTTGCACTGTTTAAACATGAATATATGTACACTGGTTTTTGTCTATAGTTGCCTAATAGACAGCTGCTACTGCGAAGCACTTCTTAATTTCTTTTCCGCATAAGCCTGGAAGTTCTTCAGCATATTTTGAACCCATGATATATATATGCCTATTTTCCCTGCATATTTTCCTTTTTTTTCTATTAGATTTGGATCCAGATTTATCTCATAATGACCAGTCACAAGCAGGTATCAAATCGAATAAACAACGTAGTGAAAACAGTTCATCCATCATGACCACTTCTACTACCATTAACAAGACCAAGTCAGTCCTAATGCCCACACCCATTGCACAACAAATATGGACAGAAAATATGATATTTCTACGTGATCAAAACGTGTACTCCTATGAATATTTTAAATTTGTGCGAGATTTGTGTGAAGGCATATTGGTAAGTTTAATGATAGAATAATACTCTGTAGTGTAATTTCTGGTTTTTCGCTGAGTGTTTTTTGTTTCCAAAAAATGATTTCATTGGATGTTGACCTGGCGTTTAATAGTAGGTTTATACAATTTTTCTCCTCTTCGAACGACCCATCACGATGAAGAAGGAATATCTGTCGTTCGTCCCACGTAGAATTTTTTTGAGTAGAAAAGTTTTGATTCACTTCAACATTTCCATTGTACTCATCTAGTGGTATTAAGGATTTAGGTACTTCAGAATGCAAACTACAGAAAAGCTACAATAACTTGAATGTTAGTAGTTTGGAGACACTGATTCACAGTGATGATTGAGAGGACATTGCATGAATAAATTTTGATGTATCCTAGTCTTAACCCGTAAGTTGAGATTTTGATAGACTGGGTAGCTCAGTTAATGTCTACAAGGTAACTGTTATGCGTTTTTGTTCAGTATAATGTCAAAAAATATTTTACATACATTCAATACTGTGTTTATACCTGTTTTACAACCTGTAAAATTAGTTGATTACTCACGGAAAAATTGTCATCTTTTTCAACAATTCAACTATCCGTTGATGTTTTGTTATTTTTGGCGCTAGGATTCACCCAGGATCATAGTTTGAGGTTATCGTTAAGGGCACTCTTTAATGACTTACTAATTTATAAAATAGTGAAGAAAAGAATGTTTTAGGTAAGGTTATTTGATCAATAATCTGATTATATATTTTAAACCTTCCTTCTCAACCCACAGTATAAATTCTTTAATGTAACTGTGTTTTCGTTTCTTATTCGAAGTCGAAGGAATTATAGTTTACAACTTTAAGTTACTAAGACGACAGCAAAATTGAAAATTAGAATATCACTAGTCACATTGCAAACCTCATCAGTACCACACAGAAGTTAGTTATACCTGAAGAGCTTGGCGACAAAGTTTCCTACTTGCCTAATGAATGACGGGGATTAGGATCCAAGAAGGAACATGATGACGCTGCTGGAAAGTGCCAAGGGAATGAAATTTAGTTCCAAAATCTTTTGCTGAGTGTCTATAATCTAACTGATTAGTCATACTCAGTTGTTTTTATTTCAGAATACTAATCCCTTTTCTGTACTCTCTTCTATCTATAAATAATTTCTTTTGATAGACAGATGTTGGAAGCTTACGCCAAGAACCGGAACGTGGTGTACTCGGGACGAAATTAATATCTCATTTTCTGTTTAACACATTTCTCTGTTTACATCCTCGTGTAAAACTCAGTATGGCTTTGAACTCGAGTGAACTGGTAACAAGTTTATCTGCAACAACTGTTTCAGAGATATCAACTAAGCTGAACTCTGATTTACTTGGTTTACTAACTCGGTTGGCCACTACAAATCCTAATGCAGCACGTTGTTTAATGCATTTCCTCTATGTTAGTCCAAATCAACCATGTCTGTAAGTTCATTGTACATTTATGTGAAGTTTCAACACTCATAGACATTTTAAATGGATACTGCGAGATTTTATCATTTCGTAATCTCTGCACAATTGCATTAGAAAAAATAACATGGTTTACAGCAGTTAAATTATTTGACAATACATCCTAGTTAAAATAATTTTAAAGGAAATAATTACCAATCGGCGTTACCGATTATTTAATCTATGAACAACAAAGTGCTACAATTTTATTTGCACAAATACATAAATTGAGGTAAATAAATAATCTGAAGTGCTTCTACCAATTTCAATGACATTGAGCTAATGTTATGTAAAAGGTAAAAGATAGTTATTAACAATCGGTTTTGACCAGTTATGAGTAAGAGCTTGGTGACACGATGCTAGATTCTTGTTAATTCTAAGTTAATTATATGATTAACTGCATATTCTTGTCACTTTTCAATAGTAGTTTTATTGAAGTCGTACAATGCATCATTCGTATATACTTCACGAATTCTAGAGATTAGACATTTAACCAAAGAACATGTACACTGGCTATGAAAAAAAGCTACTGACATGGAAATGCCGTCCATTTTGTATTCGCTTTCTATCTTTTGGTTGACTCTTCATCTGTTCTAGTCTACATGATTTATTTTATTGATTTGTTAATAGTGTCCTTTTATTTCATAAATGTTTATGAAATAATTTATTACTATTTACTGACATACTTGTTATTCGCCGTTGTTTTGTTGGATCGAATTGTTCGACCTCTATTGACATATGGGCTCCTATGGGGATGCCTCGATATTGCGTGGATGTTAATTATGATAGTTTGGTTGATTGTGATTAGCCAAGGCGTTATTCACTATGCCACAGAGGAACGATAGCCACTTCTTGTACAACGGGTGATAGTTATTACTATTTATTGACCAACTAAATTATCATAATTAACATTCAGGCAATCTCGGGGCATCCGCATAGGAGCATACACCAATAGAGGTCGAACAATTCGATCCAACAAAACAACGGAGTATAACAAGTATATCAATAAATAGTAATAGCTATCACCCTTTGTACAAGAAGTAGCTATCGTTCCTCTGTGGCATAGTGGATAACGCCTTGGCATTTGAAGCAATGGGTACAAGGTTCAAGTCTCAGTGGGGTCAACATCACTGGGGTGCAGGTACATCCAGCTGACGAGTCCCAAATAGGACGAAACGCGCGTCCTGGTTCTTCTGCAAGCTACAACCAACCAAATTATCATAAATAACTTATTACTATGAATTAGATTGTTATGTAGTTAGAAAGAAACTAATAAACGGTATCATCTTTCAACACTGTTCAAATGTGTCTGAGAAATAAACTTTTAAACTCAACTATGTAGACATGATTAGTTTGATACATCCCAGTGATTTATGCTTTTTTCATTCTCTGGTTGCTTATCTTATGTAATCCAACCCAAAACAAGTCCAATGATAGTTATACCGTTACTTTTACCATAATTTTATTTCACTTTTCATAGAGAAGTGTCATTTAGCAGCAAGGTCACTGATATTAGTAGTGACTAAAATCTGAACACGGGATGTGTTGCCATGTTACATTGTGATCCAATAAACTGAGAACTCAAACCCTTACTATCAAGTTGACAATTGAGATCCCATCACACATACATTATCTTTAACAACACCTGATTCGTTTGACAAGCTTTTCTACGGGTTTATGCACCATTTATATGCACCTTAATGTTAGTTATCATTTACAGTTTATTGCTACCTCTCAGCTATTTTAAAAATCTAGTTCCAAGAGTTTATTTTCATATGCAGTGGAATCGTGTTATTCAATGTCTTAGACGGAAAGTTTTGATTGAATTCGCAATTGAGGTTAATGATTACATATTATAATACATGGTATTATTATTTTTCACTTCGGTTCCTTGTGGAACATAAGGCTTCAGGAACACGTCACCATTTCACTCTCTTCTCTGCAGCCTTTGTAATCTGGCTCCACGACTGCCCAGAAGCTTTCATTTCACCCTCACGCGATCTCCTCAATGTCACCCTCAGACACCCAAGTCGTCGTTTCCCATTTGACTTCCACTCGAGGGCCTGGTCTGGCATATGGTGTCACCGAATGGTCTTCTCAGTGTGTGTCCAATCCAATCCATCTCCACTTTCTTCTGCATATTTATTGGGCGATAGCTTCTTGGTTGGTTCGTTGCCCGGAAAGAGTTCCTTGTTGCTTATTCTTTCTGATCACCTGATCCTCAGTACCGAGTGAGCGTAGGCGACAGCTGTCAATGTGATGTATGTCTGTAGTTTGTTGGAAATGCTTTTCGTAACTCTCCAAGTCTCTCAACCGTCACATAGAAGCACTGACTTGACTGACTAAATAAGTTTTGAAAATCCGGATGTTGTTCACGATTTGTGCTGAGTGCAGTGCAGTGCAGTGCAGTCGATCTCCACACTGATTTAAGGTTAATGAAGGCTTGTCTTGCTTTCCCGATCCTGACTTTGACGTCTTCATCTGCGTCGCCGCCTGTAGTTGAAACGATGAAAGAGACTACTTCCTTTAGATCTCTCCCGTTCATAGTGATTGGTGCTTGTTGTTATTGTTGTTGTGGGTTGGATATCTTCATCACCTCTGTCTTCACTCCATTCATTTGAAGTTCCGTCTTCGCTGCGCTGCCTCTTCTGTCAACTTGTTGGCTTTTGCCTGTAGACCTTCGAGTTTGTGTGACATTCGACACAAGTTATCTGTGAAATCTGAATCTTCTTCCAGAGTCTTTTCATCGGTCCATCCAGCGTATGCCCCTCTTCTCGCTCCTCACAGTTGTCTGTTGCATGGTCCGGTCCGGTGCGGTCCAGTCTAGTCGACCACAACCAGTAAGATCATCGGTGATAGTAGGCGGCACTCTTGTCTTACTCCTGTCTTCACTTCGCTTCAAAGGTATTAGTGAGCTTTGCATTGTGAATGACTTGTTATGTCGCGTCATCATGTAGCTGCTGTTGAAAGAAGTTGATAATGGTTTGTGACACCAAAAGCGTAGTGTTGAAGCAGTTTCCAAATTACTTGTCGGTCGACGCTATCGAAGGCCTTTTCAAAGTCGATGAAGTTGAGGTTGAGTTGATTGTCATTCTATGCTTTGTTCTATGATGATGCGTAGCGCATGACGTTGCAATTTGATCCGTGTATGATTTGTTCTTCCTGAAGCTAGCCAGCCTATTGAGGTTGTAATTTTGAATGTAGAGAATGTTATAGTCTTACCAGGATGATGCGGCCTAGTGTTTTGCTTGGGGTGGACAGGGAGGGACATGAGCATGATTCCGTGCCAGTTCTTGCAAAGACATAGGTCCCCCTTTTTTGGAAGTTTGATAAGGTAGCCCTTCTTCTAATCGCCAGGTATCTTTTCTTCCTTCTAAACCTTCTGCAATGGTGGTGTGAGCATCTCCGCTGTTGTCTCTGCGTCTGTTTTCAGTGCTTCTTATCCTACTGATTTCTGGATTTCAGAAACTTCATGGCGTTCAGGACTTTCTTACTGGTTTTGTCGGTGGGTTTGTGTTCACTGATAGTTCTGTGGCTGGAGTGCTGATGGTATTTCTGAACGAGTTTCAGGTGGTGGTGGTGGTCGTCTATTCAAACGTTTTTTGAAGTGTACTGCCCATCGTTTTCTTTGTCTCTCCTTTTTGGTAACTAAGTTTCGAGTATAAACTGTTGCTCATAATCATATCAATGTAATCACACTACTTTAGACATATGATTTTTATAGTTATGTCACTTCATATCAGTTGTTTTCTTTGGTAGTGAATTTTTCCGTATCTCTGCTATCGCCGTTGCATCATTCCTATCATATGTGTTGGGTGTTGATTGACGTTCAAGTATTCAGTAATCATTCTCTCTCTCTCCACCTAATTATAATTGGCCTAATGTTGTTGCCTGTATGTCATGACTGGGTGGTCTAGTGGATAACGCTGCGGCGTCTGAAGTGATCGGTCTTGGGTCCGCCCCCTAGTGGGACCAACATTGCTCACTGAAAGGCAGGTATACCCAGCTGTCGAGTCCTTAGTAGGATAAAACGCGCGTCTTAGATTCCACTGCTAGCCACTATCCATTGTTAATATATAATTGACTTAAGTATAGTTGTTTTATCCCGCCCATGTGGCTATTGCATAGCATGCATTAACACCACCACACAAGATAGTGGGATAAAACCACTGTACTTAGGTCGAGAATCATTAATTGCAGAGAGACTTCGATTCCTGAGTCTTTGTTCATCACACCAACACCCAATACATGCAGTGGGGATGATGTAACACCAATTCCAGAGATAAGGAAAAATCCTAATACCAATAAAAACAAATAATGTGTGTGACGTAATTGTGAAAATCAAATGTCGAAAGTTGTGTGATTACATTCATATGATTATGAGTAATAATTTATGCTTCGAACGTCATCAAGTAAATAATACTGTATCACTGTGCTGTATATAATCAAACAAACTAATCTAATATGAAATTGCATTCTATCAAGTTTGTACGCTTATATTACATATTATTATTGTGTATTTAATCCGAAGTCACAAGAATTAAAACACTGCTATCGAATGAAAAGTTTCTTGTTTACGATTGAAATTGGGAGCCATGACTCATTGGTCTGAGCACTTGATTTCCAACCATTGGGTTACTAGTTCGAATCCCGGTTCGCTTGCCAAAATTTGGATAGTTGTAGGGGATATCAGTAGCCCTCACATAATGGGTGTGGCTCATTACCTAGTACATGATCATGCACGACGTGGTCTCTGGGATAGTTGGGTTTTCACTATTTGAAGACTAATTCAATGATAATCCATGAACATTTTAAAATTAGAAATTTGCGCTGTGGTAGGAGAATTCAGTTTGCGATTTTGTCGGTATGTGTGATTTCACGTTGATAGTTATCACGGACTGACACGAGTTAGTAATAAAAAATTTTTTGGTTATTTATATTAGTTGTTTCTGCTTTATGTCAATAAACAGATGTATCATGGAAATAGTATTTTCTATTACTTTTTCTGCATCATGTAGCACATAATACTAGTAGACAGGTAAAACGTTTCAGAGTTGTACCTTTTGCTGCCATTTTCAACATTCCATCAATATTGTTGCATTTTTTCACTGTTCCGGATACATGAAATTGATTCTCATTTTTTGGTGTTTACAGGGTCTCTATGTTGCTTGATCCCAAACCAGTAGCTCGTCAACAGTCTGCGAATATGATTTTAACAGTGTTACAGGCATTTTATTCCTTCAAAGAAACTAACATAGTGAGTAAAATTTCGATATATACACTTCAAATTGTACAGAGTCAAGGCATTTCACAATTGTACTCTATATCAATTGGTTGAAACTCGTGAGTGCATACTTAAGAAATCACCATAAAACCCCTGGAGGACGTTATTCCATATTAACGAAGAATTTTCGGATATTTGATGTTTAAAATAAAGACTCGATGAATTTTGTTGATTGTGGTGAATTTCGAGATATCTTATCAAGTGTCACTGGTGATTGAGTGACCTAAACAAAAGTGTTATAAACGTCCTGTTACAACCGTTCGATGACGAAATCTCTCGTTGAAACCCTGACGTCTGTCTTTCTTTTGGTTACAAGGGATCTAAAGCACTACTTAACAGGTTAAGTAGTTGTTCAAAGTACGGCTCGTTGATCTAGGCATTTAGATACCAATATAAGTGTAAAACTTGGGCACTGTGGTCGAGTGTAATTCCATTTTAGTCTGTTTATTAGAAATATCACACAGTGAAACAGTAGCATTTACTGGATAACGTTTCGGACGTAATTTATTGTCCATATTCATATCAGGTGATATGAATATGGACGTTTCTTCAACTAGAGCATTTCAGTGGTATGTAAATTTTTAGTAGGTTAATACGTTTTTCTTACTATTATGCATAAATATTTTACTTCACGTTCTATCTATTTTTTTAAAGCTTGACGGTGCATTGACAGGCTTGATAAATTATCTTCTTGGGCTATTTGACAATGGTCAAATAGTTGAACACTTGACAGAAGCCGGTGCTTTATTCGCTATGCTTCGAGGTTATGCAGAAATGTGTCCACATGCTACTGTACACTTGTCTAATTTAAAAGCAACTAAAAGGCTGTTGAATTTTTTCATTGAACCGAATCCTCCCAGTTCATTTTCACCCAATGAGACCCCTGTTTGTTACCCGTCGTTTACTGGGAATGCACCAGACTGGGTATGTTTGTAATCATAAACTTTATGTTGTGTAATTATTTTCATTATCTTAAAAGTGACGATTAGTTTTATAGGTATTTGTTCGTAATATATATATATATATATATATATATATATATATATATATATATATATATATATATAATGCTCTCATGTTGAACTAATGTTATTACGAAACGGTAGTTTGTATTCGCAAACAAGTTTCATGTTCTGGGGTGAAACCTGTTCTTAACGTATCTCAAGGATTATTCAACAAATGGCATATTACTCTTATGTCTATCTATTTATGAGAATTTGGATAGCAGTGCAGTCTAAAGAACTATGTAGATTTTGGGTGAGAAAATAATGATGGCAATAATAATAATAACGTTGATATCGGGGTAAAGACTGAATAAGTCAATTTGGAGGTTGGTAAGGATTTTTGGTTTTCAAGGTGCTATTAATCACAAACTGATACTAGCTAGAGAACTATTGGAAACTGGGAAGGACTTAACAACTGTTTCGTTCTTGCATGGGACGCCTCGTCAGTGCACCCTGATGACCCTATATCAACATTTACGCGTGGTCAGTGTTCTACAGAACAACTCAATATCCGTATAAGATGCATTGTCTTTTTGAATGATTTTGTCTAAATTCATCAGCACTAGTAAAAGCCAAACAAATTTGACCACATAAATTTTAATTCACAGTCTGGTTCCAATCTTACTACAGTTATTGGATTTTATGTTATTCAGCTGTCATGTGAATGAAAATCATTTGTTTGTTCGAATGTCTGCAATATGAATCCGTATTGTAAACTGGATAGCAAGAGGGGAAGTGGTTTTCAATGCAAGTAGGCATAGATCGAAGAGATATTCGAAACAAAGGGAAATGGACAAGCTGTTTAAGAATATTTTGGTATCCTTAGTAGAATCTCATCACAAAAACTATGTAAAAAAGCAACTCTGCTTACATTAATGCATACACTTAAGCGTATCAGTAGATGAATATTTAGCGTGCACGCAATAACTCATGACTGGGGTTCTTCAATTGCCAGAATTAATAATTTCTAAGTAAAAAGCATACCCCTAAGGACGAGTGTCGTTTCATTTAAATTAATCTGGCCTCTGTGTAATAGCACTTTATAAAGATGAATATGTGGGAAACTAGTTGAAAATTTGAACTATGTACCTTAAAACTTGATAGTCTGATATTTGACTCAAACAATTAGATAAATCTCCTACTTGACTAAAAAATGATTTTCATCGCAGATCGGAGTCAATTAGAGAATCATTGAAAACCAAACGTATTGACCTGCTGTTTCTTCCTGCTTTAGGATCTGTTTACTTATTTGTATGGTGTTAATTTGCAATAAATCTTTTTTTTATATATGGAGTGAATTGTTCATAAATTCAGAGTATTCTAGTGCTGTCGCGATCCAAGTTTGCGACTACATTAGTGATATTTCATGATTTGTGAAATTCCGACAACATTACCTTCGTTATGCACTGTGAAATAAATATCTTGACTGTTTTCCATAAGCATGATACAAGTTCTGCGATGCGTAAATATCGGTATTTTCGTCCCTAACTGTTCTTTCGTTAACAAAATATACCCACTGTATTATTGAGAAGACATGTTTTCTCTGAGATGACAGCAGCCCCAGGCTTAAAGCATAATATTTATACATTAGAAGTGTACACACATCGAGTCGTATGAATTTGAAGAATGCCAGTTGAATAAATTTTCTATTAACTTTAGAATTAAAGTTGCCTACCAGTTTTATACTATTTTACTGTTTTCGTGTTAATTGAGGATGAAGAAAATCATTAGAGCTAAGACAATAAGTGAACGTAGCCAGATTAAAAGGTGTAGTGAAAATTCATCAATGTTAGATGAAAACAGTAAAATATTTACACATTAAAATTACTATAAAAAGCTAATGATACATGTTTACAATAATCATATACAAAATAATCCATATAATCAACTGCATTTCTTTGTGATAGTTCGTAACTGGATTTTGTAAAATCTAGGTTAGTGGAGGGCCACGGAACAACAAGGTGATGTGACACTTTTTATCTAAACCAGCTCTTTATACTGATAGCTCCAGCTGTTTGTAGAAGGCGAATTCGTACCACCGATAATCAACCGTTAGGTATATGCACCACTGAGAAGGTGAGTTTTGTGTCCATAACATTACTTCTGTGGAATGAGTGGATACAGTATATAGTTTTCTAGCCGTTGCCTTTCATCAACAATAATGGCAAATATTCTTTAGCATGTTGAGACAAAGCCATTATATTATGTTCCGGGATATCTAACTACATAGTGGAAGTTGGATAAATAAATGCACAATGACCTTGATAAATGACGAAAACCTTATCTTTTATCAGTGATAGACACATCTGGTTGTGAAGGTTGTTTTCACAGCGGCTAGTGGGTACGTCTTTTTCAATGATCGCTGAAGTCAGTTCATGAGAGTTGTAGCCATAATGTCTCCTTTGATCTGAAGGTTTAAAATAAGTGAACATCAGTCCAGTCTATACAGTAAATGAACCTGTTCATAGGTTATCCGTATGGCGAGTTTTGTTGCTTAGATTAAAATGACCAGTTATCGAATATTGATTATCTTGCTGTCATTACTGTCTATCAAATACTCACGTATGTTACGTCATATTCTACCATGTTATATACGCTACCGCATATTAGTAAATTAAACGTTGATTCACGAACTTGAAAACTTATGTAAACTATAATCAAATGTCATTATACGAAAACCGAATCTGAACTTGTTCTTTGTGTGTTTTAGTCTGCTATGTAAGTGACACGTGTTTTCCTTCCTCTGTGTTTACTGCGCTAGGCATAGTTAGAATGTATAGGGCTTTTGCTGTCGGTCTCTCTTTATCCTAACGGAAGCTATTTCCTAATATCTAAAGCAATTGTATGTCCGTTTTAAATTGCTTTTCTAAATCTGAACGCATTTCATTCCTTGATGGGATTATTTTTGCATAACCTGTATGCATTCATCCTAATTTTTGGGTCTACAACTTCCTTTAGAGTAATTAGCCTCACATATCAGTCATTTTATCTTACAAACACAGTTGTTCTGAGTCACTTTTGGGGAATGAATCTTTCATTTTATCGCAAAGCCTTCCCAAAGAGGTCGGTTCGAAATAGACGTTATTACATTGGGAGGTCAACATTCTTTGAATCTTATTAGGAGTACCTTTTCGATATGATATCGTCATATTTGACACCCATGATTTTGACATGGACTTATTCTTTTCATTGAATATTCTATTGATCCGACTAACAGTGTGGTTAAAAACTCTGTTGGATATTCTTTTTGTCATTAAAACTATATTCACCTCATTCTTTGATAAAAGCCCTAAATTTGGTCTACTCATTAAAGGTAATTCCATTTTTAAAGGATTTTCTTTACAACTTGAAAACGAAGCTTTTCTTTAGCAATGCTTTTTCATGTTTAGTCAGTTGTCGACCAGACAGACTACACACTAATCTCTCATCTGTTAATTTATTTCCTCCTTCTAAATTAGCTTTGTTTGTACTTATTAACCGTTCGAATATTCAAGTGTCTTTGTTTTACATTCTGAAAATAAGTTCACTTGGTCTTAACATCATGTCACCATGGTGGTAATCACAGTGTGATGGATGATGACATTAGTACTATTATAAATGTTTTGAATACGATTATGATAGTATTCGAAGCTGGATATGAGTAAATGGGAACACTATAACTCGCGGAGGTGCAGGCACATCCAGCTGAGTCTCAAGTAGAACGAAACAGTCTTTCTTTATTCCACTCCAAGTTATTGCTCGTCGAAGTATTTATCATGGATCTAAATTGACTTCAAAAATGTTGAAAATCAAGTAGAAGTGGATTTTTTTTGTTGTTCTCTACTTGTGAGAATACTAATAACTATCCACATTTGCACTACGCAACAGGAAGTAAACTATTTCCAAAGTAATCTGTTTAACTTTTTCTGTAACTTAGTATGTGAATTATATGTTTTTTGGTGGAGCTGTGGTTCACTGGTCTGCGCATTTTGATTTCCACCCAATGTATCACTGGTTCAAACTGAGCACCACCTACCTTGGTTTGGACAACTAGGTAGTATCATTACCCCTCTCATCGATTACTGCACGAAAGTGCATGAATTTACTGACTGGATCTAGATTTTGATATATTTTAGTTACGTTGTGTTAACTAAGTAATGAATACAATAAATTACGAAAAAATTTCAAAAGTTGGAAGATGTAATTTGAAAATTGATGAATAATATTTACTGTATAAAATGAAAATCTTTGCATTTCAATAAAAAATTTGATTCTTCTCATGATTCAAAAAAAGTTTAGGATATGAATAATGCAGAGCTAACTTGAGTTATATCTGTAGTCTATTTAATGAGTTTAAGCAGACTTCAAGATAAGTCTTAGATAAGAAGACTTTTTGTCAAATGTGTTCTGAAGCGTTTAAAGACTGTGTCGACTCTGTCGACTATGAGTCGTTGTACCAGTGCCTGACTGTAAAGGCGGTACTGAGCAAGTATGTAACGCTAATCTTAGCTCTCTATTCGAACTCACGCAGACGTGTAACGGCTTATTGTGAGTTGTCATCTGAATTGACGACTAATAATGGTGTCGGCTAGGGATGCCCTCTGTTAGTTTCTTATAGATATACTGTCGGAGATAACTTTATGTACATCTGACTTCACAGAGGGCTGACCTACTGTCTGGACGTTATCTCGTTGATTTGGAACATTCAGACGATATTGTCTTGTTAGATGAAGATGCTGACAAAATCCAGAGTCTTCTAAACGCAAGCAGAAATCTGTGTATGTTTGGCTGGTATGCATTTCACCGCTGTCAAATGTAAGATTATGCTTCAAGATTGTTGTACAACTACTTCCAGTCTAAAAACAGATAGTGAAGTGGTTGAGTGCGTTTCTTTTTTCACTCCCTTGTGGAGTTGTATTAGCCTAAAAGAGCTGGTTGCCGACGAAACCTCAGCTGAAAAGCAGAAGACCGGTTTTGAATTTGGCATTTTGCGTCATCCGTGCTGCTGACTAACGAGATATCTGACTACCTGTTAATGGATGGGTGTACCGCGCTTCATTTCCTTCTGTCTTGTTATATGTCTGGGAAGCATTACCGTTAAAAGTATGAGACATAAAGCGATTACAAGTCTTTGATGAAAAGTGTCTTCGTAGCATTACTCGCGTATGGCGGAATCACCAAAAGAACATTGTTGAGGTCTGGTGTAGGGTATCAGGCAAGACAGGCATGTCGATTGATAAGTTTCCGAACCTTTGTCGACTGAGCTGGCTTGAACATGCACTGCACATCCCGACCCCCCTCTCCCTCGACGTGCCATGCTAGGGAGAGTTGGATTGAGTCGGAAGAGTTCAGAGTGACCGGACCAACACTTGGAACCAGTCAATGAAGTCCTTGACTGTTGGTTTGAGCGGTGTATGGAGACGTAGACTACCTGGTTAAAGTTAGACGATAGAAATGAGTGGTTGAGGACTCTTGGTGACATGTCTGAAAGTGGGCAGCAATGGTGCAGATGTATTCACGGGTATACGTCTTTTAAAGCTTTAATTCTTGACTAGCCTTGATTTCTATAATCCGGCTTTTCTCATACACTTTTGTCTAGTTTGCTATGTCTTTCCTATCCACTTGTTCTTTTTATATTACTGTGGAGTGTGGTAACTTGAATCGATGTACTTGTGTGTAAGGTTTTACGTTTATTTTATGTGTATCCTTTGGTTGCACTCTAGTGACTAAAATGATCATTCGCTCATCACAAAACGTTATCATACATGGCTCAGTTTTGTGTTTGGTTGAATTTGCACACTGTTGAATGATCTCTAAGTCAGACCTAATGGATTTTTGGTGATCCTAAGTTTTCAGTAGTTTTATATTCTACATTAATTAGTTATGATAATTCTCCGACCGAATCTACTCTTCATAGACTATTCAACTGATTAATAATTGTACATTTGTTCTTTTCGAAACTGCTTTTCACTGTAAAGTGTCGACAGTAATTGCATAGCTTCTTTCGATGAAATATAAGTGATGTTTAAAGAATATCTTATGCGAAACTGATATATATTAAGAAGGTATACATGTATATATAATCTTTCTATTGCATATAACGGTTTCTAGCTCTACCAAGATGTTTTCCTATTTGTTTATTGGTTATACTCAGTGTTCCTTTTTATCACTGTTTAGTTTACGTGACATACTATGAGTTTTTCACATAACTGTACAGGTTGTTTATCGTTTTCTTATCGAACCTTTGTTCTGTATGTTTCACAGTTTCGTTTAAATTAGAATAATATACTTTGAATAAACGACGAAAAAAATTCAAATACGAGTGAATGGCTCTGTGTTTTACTGAAAATTTTCCATCCAACTTAATGATTGGCAGTTATTGTTTCAGTTCAGTTTTAGAATTACTGTGTTTATGCTTATTATTTATCATATTTGATTTCTAAAAATACATCATAAATTAATTTTTTCGTTTACCTGTCTCTGTACCCACCCAATTTTTATTTGTTATGTTACTTAATCAATTATAGTGTAGTGGATTTTATTATTTCATTGCCTTTTTCCTTTAGACTCATAAACTACGCGTATGGAGTCCAGCACAGCATAGAGAAATGGGTAATTTATATTACCTGCTTACTATAATGCTACGTCAAACATCGTTTGACGCCTACAGAATACCAGGTACGCATATTATATATATATATATATATATATATATATATATATATATATATATATATATATATATATATATATTACCTGCATGCATACGATTTCATTAGAGTTACAGTTTAAGTTTCCATACGCCTGGAAAAGGTTTTCTGTTCATGTACTTTTTCTTTACATCACATTCTTTTCACTGAATATGAAGAAAGGAATAAGTTGTCATGAGAATTAAATCCCATGAATCCCATGAATAATGAGTGGGTTTTCAGTCACGCGATACAACTGAATTTTACCCAGTTTTGAGAAATTAGCACAGTGATTAGCGCAACATTCCACATGTAGTTTTTACTTCATGTTGATGAGCTTCATTTTGACAGACCTTTTAAGTGCAATGTGTTGTGGCTTCAAGTCACCTTACGCAGTATATACGCTACTTAAAAGACTAGGTAGATTCATATTGATAACAAAGAGTAAGCTGCATTGTTTTAGTTACTAATCTATAGGTGGGTTCACTATGACGATTGAATTTCGTTCCATCTAGTCATTACATTTAATACCTACTGGAAATCATCGTTGTAGGTTGGATAATTTCTTTCCGAGTCACCTCTTTTCATTCATCAAAGTTAACATAAGTTCACTTCTATTTTGAAATAAATAAAGCCATAAATGACCCGTTTTTAATATTCAATTTAGGGATAACACTCTCGATAGCGCTATGAAAAAACGAAGATTATCTGAGAAATGTGATGTATTTGCGCAATACAATCTAATCACACATTTACTTGTCAAGTCAATTTATATGTGAAAATGAAAGGTCAAATATAATGATTATGAAAAGGTTGTGGCGCTAGTCTTGGTAATATAATCAGATAAGGATTACCAAGGTAAACTAAGTGAAACAACAAATTGCTTTTGTACGCACAGCGGGGGGCTTAATTTTACGAATGGCTAACGCTTCGGCAAACTTCAGTATGCGCCCCTGATTATTCCTATATAATATCTTGAAGGCTGTTTACGTATTAACCTTGTGATTCATTTCAACATGTTTTACTATAGATGACAATGTTTGTGTGTTAAATTGCTTTTCCAGCCATTTAGGTATGTGTTCACCCACCCCAATCTGCATTAAACGATTACTCTTCCCTATGTATATGTCTCCGCGCATACATGTAAATTGGTAAACACAGTGGGATGTGACATAATCATTTATGCGAGTTTGAGGTTTGTGGCGAAGCAGGTGTTTTGTTATTTCAACAATGAGAAGCTGAACTGCATAAGATGTTTTACTGATAATAGACTTTAATCTCTGTTTCAACATCATACTACTCGTTTCCCCTCTATTTGGTACTTTAAGAAATATGTCTTTCTTCGGGACCGAGTAAACTATAGGTTTCGAGGCCAGCTGTTTTCTATAACGGTTCACAAACTGTAATGGATATCCATTTTCCATTAGTGTGTTTGTCAGAAATTTCTTCTCATCATCCATCGTATCATATGGACAAATACGTTGGATTCTATTGAACAAGCATCTTATCAAGCCTCTCTAATATTTCATCGGACAAAAGCTGTAGAAACTCAAGTACTATTTTGTCCAAGTAGGCTTCCTATATATTGATCGTGTGACAGTACTTGAGTTTCCACAGCTTTGTCCGATGAAATATTAGAGAGGCCTGATAAGATGCTTGTTCAATAGAGTCCAACGTATTTGTCCATATGATACGTTGGATGATGAGAAGAAATTTCTGACAGACACTAATGGAAAACGCTAGTTCTGTAACATGATCTGTGACCTTGACTTACATTATAAATGCATACTCATTTTTGTACGAAAACTTTCAAGATAAGTTTGTACTGGATGATGACTGAAGGTGAAATGAAAATCTGGACCGCGGCCGGATTCGAACCAGCGACCACCTTCAGTCATCACCCAGTACAAATACTAGTCTGCCAAACTACGGCTATCTCAGGTAGTCAAATGATAAGATGTTTGTTAAAATTATTTCTGTAATAAATCCTTAAGATGGTGTTTGCTCCCTTTCATCTGCTGGTAGTGTCCCAATTTTCCTAGTTTTTTTCTTAACTGTTTTTTCTATGATTACAGATACATCATCCGTTCATGATGCTGCTCCTCATCCATCCTTAGCGCACCGTCAGTCATCACAAAGTCGATTGTTACTTCGACCTCAAAAGGAAACTGTACTTTGGCTTGGTTTATCTATGCCACCTTTGACAAATCATATCTTAGAGCTGTCCAGTACAACAAATCGGTACTCCACTCAACTTGTTGGATTGTTTCGGTTATGTGAAGTCCTTCTAAAAGCATATTTAGAGAATCCTGTTATACCAAGCCTAACCTCATCACTCGGTCTTGGTGATGGCCTTAGTTATACATCTTCAGTGACAAGTGGTGGTGGTGCTTCTACAACTAGTTTAAGTAACACTGCAAATTCAGCAGGCCCCTGTCCTACTACAGCTTTTAGTGAGTTACCAATAGTAATGGGAGGGGAACCTGTAACACTTCGACAGCGGATCCGTGAATTGATGGTACATATATCGGCAAATTCATGGGATGCTTCCCAATGCTTCATCATAGCTGTAAGTTGATTGATACATATTTAAAGAAACCTAGATACCATTTCACATGACTAACAAAAATGTAAACTGATAAATGGTGAATTTAATCTTCACTTTCGAAAAGTCGATTTTTGGCTTAGTGACTACTGAATTGAAGGAATGTATTAATGTATACATGCCTACGGTTCAATCTACAAATAGGCAGACAGTAATCCTAATTTCCGAACCCCCTTCTAACTCATGACATTATTTGAAAAGCTAATGGATTCCTGTAGGTTTGATCTTCAGAAATTCCTAATATCTGCGGATAGCGAAATTTGTAACTCAACAAAAACGGTTATTTGAACATACGATTTAGAAAAAAAATTGATTTCTTCCACCTACACTCAACACATGTGTTTACATTGGTCAGTCACTAAAGAGTAACTAATTTAATCTTGTCTAGTCCTAAGTACTGACAAGATTCAATTGCGGAGCACTTCATTTGATGATAAGTGGCTGAATACAAATGACAGGATACCCTGGACATATATTTCTTTTACGTTCACACTTATCAGCCATACGAATTCGCAGCCACAACAGGATGTATGTCCTCTCAGAGATCCAAACCCACTTCATCTCATGCTGCAGTTAAAAACGTTTCCAGTGTTTGACTTTTTGCAAGGAGTGGATATCAGTTTTCTAACAATGAGGGATATAACTTGCTGACAAATGTCAATAAGTATGAAACCTAGGTTTAGAGCTTCCTATCGATTGCTCTCAATCATTCATTACATTTGTGTTTTATTGATGTAGCGTACAGTCGAACTTTTATTACCTCACTACCAAAAAGTACTTACCATAACCGTAATTCATTATGTCTATAGACATTTCGTTTCCTTGTAAATAACATATTTCTAAAAAAATTATCAGTTTTCACACTTAATTTGTATTTTGCACCTATTGTGGTTACTTTTCACAGACAACTATCATGTGGTAACCTCCAAAAGCTTATCATTTGAGTAACTGAAGTAATAGCTTCAATAACTCTACATATATGTGGTAGATTTTGTATTTACATTGAAAGTAACCAATTTCACGTTGTTTAATCTTAAATGCTAACAAAGTTCTATTGATCACTAACCGTTTATCTCTGATAAAAACGGTAGCACTTAATGAATAGTTGGAAACTCTGTATAACTATCGGACATTATTCAGCTCTGAAAAAGATAACACTTAAGATTTTTAATGATTTTAAAAAGGATGATTATTTACGAAGACATACAATTGCATGTTAAACTTAAAATTTTCAAATTTCATGGTTAATTATATAACAGAAACAGGTTATTTGTAGTGGTGATTTTTTAGATTATGTAGTTGTATAAAAAATACCTGCAATGGACAGAGGTACGAAGGGAAACCTACTAAAAATGTGTATCGTTTCAAGTCATCATACCGTATAACAGTACAATAAGTGGGAACCAACAGAAGTGTATGCTCCACCAAGTGACAACGAAAATGAAAAAAACAAATGTCACGTCATAGCTGTTTGCAGGTTCATGCACCATACAATGATCCATACCTATTTTGTGAGAGCTGATTATATTATATGGCTGCTCAAACTTTGGATATTGAAAGTTGAATGCCTAGGCCAGTAAACAACATTTTTAATACAGAATTTAATGGAACGCATCTTAACGAGGAGGTGCGAAAACTTAGTGTTACATCATATGCAAAAGAATTGGCTGTAAAATTTAAAACTATTTATGCCTTAATATAATTCTCATTATGGTGTTTCCGCTTCCTAATGGAAAGATCAATTAACGCTAGCCTGTTTCCCTGAACTTTTCTGTCTATTATTGTAAATGAAGTATTCTATCTCGAATCCCATTCTCTGAGCTTTTGTGAATAATATCATAAACTTCTTACTTCATCTTTTTTAATTTTATTTATGTGCCAAATATATAATCAAAGTGTATTTACCAGTGATTTTGCGGTATAGCTGAACAACATGAAACATGTTATTGATTAGAACTAAGAACTATACACCCTAGTCTTTTTTGTCTTTTCAGTTACTTGATCGTATTCACAGTCGTCCACAAAGTGAGTTACGACAGTACTTCGATCTACTTGGGGAGCTTTTACGCTATACAGATCCAATCCAACCAGCCAGGATTATAGCTGTTATTGATGGGCTAACTAATCAAAAAATTTTCTTCGACAGTAATAAATGGGTTTGGTCACCACGTCCTAACGGGATCCGAAAATGTGGGCATGGAATACACTTGAAATGGAAGGCTCTATTAGTCAGTCAAATGAGGTAATCGCTCACCGTGGTGATGAAGAGATAAGTGAACATGGACCTCCTCAAGTTGTAGGTCTGTTGGGTAAGTACAACTACCTTTCATATTACATAGATGCATGTACATATGTACATATATAACAACAAAATCGAGATGATTCTGTTTCTGTACTTCACAAGATAGTATGGATCTCTATCAGTCCCAGTGGAATATTTGATTTTGAAAAACGTATTGACTAAGAGCTGAATCTCAGTTGAGTTTCCGACAAATGAATCACATATTTCTGTTAAAAACTACTTATTTACTTCTATTGGTAACTCATATGAACATTTTCCTATTTATCGGTTCTGCACATTTACTATATTCAGATTGTCAGACTGTAGGACTCGAAAATATCTAGGTCACATGAATAAGAGAGAGGTATGCGACTTCACGGTAGTGGCTTAATAACAAAGTACTAGTTGTAAGAATCTTGCGCTTTGATTGCTGGATAGGTAAAAGTTTCAGAAGTTTCATGTTACATTCAATACAATACATTCCCCATTTATCTAGTGTTATTGGTTCTTTGGTTTTTATCAGTACTTCACGCTTACCTTTACTCGTCATTTATTGAAGCGTGTATTTACTATCAAGGCCTTTCCTTAGATTTCTAGTTTTAGAGATTACTGGGCCGATCATTGAAATGTATTTGTTCATATATATATATATATATATATATATATATATATATAAGAAAATAAGATTTATGCATGTTTATTTATTCTCACTACAAACTGCCTTGCCTATGGTACTAGTTGTAGTAAAAACGTTAGTAACCAGGAGGATGAGGAATACTGTTGATATGCGTATTTCAGTAACAATCATGTTTAATGTGGAAGTTCTGTGTTCGAGTGCACACAAAAAGCCCTTCCCTCTTCAGTTACTTTTTCTGTTTATAAAATTGTACAGTTTAGGTTTAGAATATACTAAAATATTAGTATGCAGTGGACTGAATTCTGTTTCACTTATGCTTGGTTTATGTAATTTAGTCTTTTGAAAACAAAAGCCAATTATCAGAATGTCATTTAATACAGGCGTATCATATGTACTATTTTCTGAATCATTCAGTGTTTGCAAAAATAGGCATCCACTGAATTCCATTTCGATTGATGCCTAAAGCTATTCAAAGAGGCTGGTTACAGAAAGATCCTTACTTTCTAGGTTATCACTTGGAGCGATAAAGCATTGCTCCATTTTCAGAGTTGGCATCTGAAATTACTTGAGGAGTATTTTGAAGTGATTTGTATCACCTCTCGGTTACGCATGTCTTTGAGGAATCGTAAACGAATAATTTATAGTAGTTGAACATACTTGACCGACGACAGAAAGATGCAAACATTATGTAGTCGCCAGTGGTAAATGTCTAAAATTGTGAAGACTTTCAACTCTGCAAAGGTAGTTTTTCAATACTGATATACAAATGTCCTGATTTTTCGTACAAAGTGTTGTCATCGCTTTTATTTTGATCTATTTGAGATCAGTTGTCAAGTATATTAGTTCTGGAAATCTTCCTCATGAAATCATGTGCTGATTAACTAGGATTAATACTGGGTTCATGTGCGGACCAAATTGCAACGCTTCGCATCATCATAGAACAGAGTATAGAATAACAGTCAACTCTACACCTCAACTTTATCGACTTTGAGAAGGCCTTTGACAGCGTCGACTGAGAGGTAATTTGGAAACTGCTTCAATACTACGGAGTACCGCAAACCTTTATCAGCCTCATTCAACAACTATATGAAGACGCCACATGCCAAGTAATTCACAATGGGAAGCTCAGTTATGCTTTTGAAGTGAAGACAGGAGTGAAACAATGTTGCCTACTACCCCCATGATATTCCTGATTGTGGTTGACTGGATCATGCAGCAAACAGTGGGCAGCGAGAAGAGGGGGATACGCTGGACTGCGGAAAAGAACCTAGAAGACTTGGATTTCGCCGATGACTTATGCCTGATGTCACACAAACTTGAAGATCTACAGGCAAAAACTAACAAGTTGGCAGAAGAGGTAGGGCAGCGAAGACAGGACTTCAAGTGAATATCGAGAAGACAGAAGTGATGAAGAAAGCGCACCACCACCACCACCATCAACAACAAACTCCAATCACCATCAACGGGAGAAACTTAAAGGAAGTAACCTCCTTCACCTATCTAGGAAGCACTGTTTCAACGGCAGGCGGGACAGACGAGGATGTCAAAGTCAGAATCGGAAAAGCAAGACAGGCGTTCATTAGTCTGAAACCAGTGTGGAGATCTTCTGCACTCAGCGTGAGGAACTAGCTCCAGATTTCCAACACCAACGTCAAGTCAGTGCTTCTGTGTGGCTCAGAGACTTGGCGCGTTTACGAAAGGGATTTCCAATAAACTACAGACAATCATCAACAACTGCTTACGCTGGCTCGCTACTGAAGATCAGATGGCCAGAAAGAATACGCAACAAGGAGCTCTGGGAACGAACCAACCAAGAACCTATCACCCAACAAATATGCAGAAGGAAGTTGAGATGGATTGGACATACACTGAGAAGGCCGACTGGGGACATCATGCGTCAGGTTAGGTCGTCGAGTGGAATCCCCATGGGAAGCGACGAGTTGTCGTCCTAATTGAGGGTGACATGGAGGAGATCGTGTGAGGAGGAAATGAGAGGTTGTGAACTGTCGTGGAGCCAGGTTCTAAAGATTTCAGAGAACAGAGTAGAATGGAGACGTGCTACTGAAGCCCTATGTTCCATTAGGAACCCAAGGGACTAATAATAATAAAATACTGGGTTCATGAAAACCTAAATGAGTCATGTTAAAGGGATATGGATAAGGAGTATCAATTCGTCATCATCTAACAACTGCCTTCTGTTGTTGTCTTCTGATTTTTATTTCGGTTTAAAATGAGGCTGGCAGATCAATCTAAGCGATGTCAATTGCCCTTAGATACTTATTTTTCTAAAATAAGACTGAAATTCTTTAAATTATGTACTCTGGATTGTGTTGCAGTTATTTCTTAAGCCAAGTGCGACTCTGTAAAAAGCATCATTTTTGAAATACGCCGCAGCTATTTTTAGAAATAGGTTTTCTTTTGAAATAATTCAGTCCTTTATGAAGTTAGCTCATAGGCTGATATACTGAATTTATAATGGTTCATTTCTACAATTTCCTACTGAAGTTGTTTGTTGTAGCAGAAAATAGCACTTCACAATGATCCAAAGTGATTTTTTTAAAAACAGTTAACAGTTAGTACAAATTGTCACATATACCTTTAATATCACAGATTGTACAAAATGTGAAATATTACTTTTCCGTGCTGTATAGTTATTAAATATGGCTTACTTTTATTAAACCGATTGTTTTACTTCTCATAGTTAGCGCCTCACATACATCAGTTGATTAATATAGTGATGAAGTTATTTGAGTTTATTATACATCCCATTGAATTACTGTGAAGTTTCTAAGATTGATTAGCAAATAGTGACCTGATCATGAAATCTTTGTGAAGTGATCGAACCGTCCATTCTTTTTTTTTAATCGGTTGATAAAGTTCAGTGTATTAATTTTTGTTTAAGTTATCCCTAACTGAAATGTAATTACCATAATGCTTTTTAACAAAAATCTCTTCTCTTAAAGATCTAATCCATGCAGATTATAGCCAAGATCCTCGACGTGCTTATCAATGTACAAAATTCATTGTTGAACTATCCACTCAAAATACAGCTGTAGTTAAATATTTGTCACATTTCCAGAGAAATGGGAACCCATTGTAAATGGTTACAAAATCTTATGGAGTCCGCACCACTAGATGATTGTCATAATCGAAAAAATTCATTCGAAATGTCTAGTCTATGTCGTTATGATAGTGTAGATAGAGAAACAGATTTGGGGAATACCGATTCAGACGGGATTTACATTGATGTACGGACAGGTTAGTTAAGCATTCATTATTGCAATAAATTTATTGTTTTGTCAACTAATTTCTGAGTAGCTGTTTTTCATGTCACATTAATTTCAAACAGTTGGTCATACCTAAGTGATAAATGAATAAACTTGTAATTTTAATCAGTATCCTTGATAACCAGATCTCTAGACATACATCTCCATACATTACAAGGTGTAACTTATTGTTCTCTTTTTGAAAACTTTATTTATGGTTGTTTACAGTTGATATATGGACAACTGGCTATTCGGTTATTGAAAAAGTTTCATTGAAACTTTACTTGAATGTGCTATGAGAATTTATATGAACATTAAACCATTCTCAACGTCATTTTGTTTCTACTTATAAGCGATCCATATTTTACAGTGGAGTTTTCTCCTGTTGGTTGGTTTACAGTCATTGACTACTTTGAAGCATTGTAGATGTAACTGAATGCACTGAAAAACCAATATAAGTTGAAGCGCGAAGTTGGAGTTTACTTGCAATATTCACGTTAATAAAATTTAACTCTCCGTAAAGAAATTCATAGAAAGATATATGGATTGCTTAAACTCTACAGCCTAGAGTGTAATGGAAAGTTTTGCATCAAGGCTTTACCTTCACCTAGGTGACATGAGTTTGGAATTTATTATTGAGAAGTGACTGAAAAAAAAGTATGAATGGTTGTGTAAAATTTCATCAACGATAAATTAATGTTTGACACTTTGCATAGTCAGTAAGTAGTGCTCGAAATCTCGTTGTGAAATGAACTTCAACAGCTCAACTTACATCATTAATAAATACAATATTATCGATAAAGTAACTTAAGAGAGAGCTACACTATATGAGTAAAATTCCTATGTTCCAATATACAGTGAGAATTTTTATCGTCTTCACAAAAGTTGTCTGAAACTTTTTTATTTCGTTAAAAACCTCATTTTCTTTTGAAGAATGAATCGAAAAATAAAATCTATAATTTGCATAACTCTTTTTACTGAAATGTAATTTAAATATTTATTTTATAGTCATGATACTACATGAATTCATCACTTTTTAGAAAACAATAATTTCTTGGTAGATATAAATCTGTCAATGAAGATTGTAAAACCTTTCAGGAGATACTCCACTGCTGATATGATATGTATCTTATCGACCTAGGAATTTGATCTTCAAGCAGTGGGTCGTGGGTTCGAATGCTGCTCCGCTTTCTCTGGTCTTGGAAACTAGGTGATATCACAAACCGTCACACAATAAGTGTGACTCATAGCCTAGTGCATAAACATGTATCCGATTGAGTTGCAAATTCACTTGCTTGTTTATCAACTTTCGATTGCATACTGCACAAAGATGATGATTGAAATGGAAGAAAAACCTGTATAACCATAGGATTCATACCAGTTACCTGCAATTCGACCCTTTATCAATGGACTGAAAGGTGCAACTAGTAATCTAATCCACTTTCTTGACTGATCATTGAGACGTTTTCTATATTGTCACTTGACCACGCGTTATCAAAGTGGCTGTTCAATCAGATGTTCCTGTCGCAATCTAAATCAAGTACGGTCGGAAGATGACAGAGACTAAATGATTATTTAGTAAACTATTCGAGTAAAGCCAGTGCTTTATTACCATGCATGGAACAGACACGAAAATTCTCTTAACGGTATATTTCAATTCTGTCAACTAATTTTAAGCAGTATGTAGTGATTTTTCTCATCGTTGACCATGACCTATAGATAATTCAATATTTAAATCTGATTTCCCAATTATCTTGATAACTTAAAAGGTTTGACAAGCACTCGAAAACCGGGTTCCCATTTATCAGGTAGTTTGCTCCAAACTTCTAACGAATATGGTGAAACATCTGCTGGCTTTCAACGTACTGCATCAGCACAGGTTAGATTAGTCTTTTTTCCATTATCTTTTTTTCCGCATGATTGTAATCTGTTATTCTATAACAGCTAGGGATAACTCCGACTATCGACCTCTTCCATATAGGGTAATGTAAATTTCTAGGTTAGTGTCCTCATGACAACCGAAATCGATGGTTTGAGACCCTAGATATAACCTGCAACCGATCGTAATAGCAAAGATGCGTCCATCCTAATCATCGTATCATACGTTCCCATCTACTTTAATATCTCACATTTTGCTAATTGGATTTATACAGCTCTTCATTATATTTTTCACATTTTTATGTCTTTCGTTTTGTCGTCTCGTATACTGATGTGCTGACATGTGGTAATTCGAACATTTAGATAGCAATACTTGTTCCTTTGTTGATATTCGATAACTTGATCTCTTATTCTGGTTTGATAGAAAAGTTGCTAGGTTAGCTTTAAAGACTGCATTGCTTCACTTGACTGTTTAATCCTTCAGCGTTCACATAAGCTTCACGTTTTCATTAGGATACATCCCTACAACGTGAACTTGGTGGTATGCCTTTTAGTGTTTGACATTACTTTGTTTCACTCCTTACTTGAGGTTAACGTATTTTTTTCGCTTTGTCACATGCTATATGAAGTGCCTTTGTTTATCTCACTCATTACTACCAGAAATGTATTTTTGTTTGATTGCCGCCGGCAACAGATATCTATATTTTCGTACGAAATCAATATTTAAAGTCTACGCTTACTACGTACAAGTAGGATGTGATCAGAAACATTGCTGACTACTTGAAATACTCCAGCATGCTTCCAATCTGCTCAGCATTAATAAAAGTTAGGTTAGTTGGTTTGGGGCAATCGGTAGGAAGCCCTACTGGAGGTTAGTTACAGCCGGAATAGCCCATTGATAAAGTTTCTAACTGCATTACTGAGCAATACAAGCTTGAATCTCTGTGCATACATTGGCCGCAGACACACCTTACTGATGGATACTAGCAATACACAAAATCTAGGTCTAGAGCATTTCCCCGATTACCTCCAACTGACTAACACCTATCGAAGTGCATTGTGATGTTGAGTCAATTAGCCTGGTATCCACATTTCAAAATGATCAATAGGTTCAGACAACATGAAACTGGTTGCTCTTTCATGACCAATCAGCGCATATAACTCAATCCTGCAGGAGGTCATTCATGGCCTGAATAGTTCAATGATAAGGTCTCTGATTGCAGCACTGGGTGTTATGGGTTTGACTCTCATGTGGGATATCAGTTTCGTAGGGGTTGCAGATACACCCTACTGACGAGTGCCAGCAAGCACTAAACCTAGTCTAGGTCTTCCTGCCGTTTGCTTCCAACCAACTAGCATCCATCAAAGTACACCGCGACAAAGTGATTGATAGGATTCTGTCAACACCGATGACTATACAACATAAAATTGGTTGCTCACTAGTGATCAATCTGTGTATACTTCAGTGTTAGCTTATTTTCTGTAGACTATACTTTATTATATATATATATATGAAGTATGAAATGTCATTCTACAACCTCTACATTTCTGTATCCATACTGTTTGTTCTCGCATTTTCTCTTTCTAAGAGACTTCTTTTATTAAAAATGTTGCATGTCTTAGTTATTTATATTTGTTTATCATTCGAGCATTAGTTGACGGTGATACCACTCACGAAAAGGGTGAATTGCTTCATTTATTCATCTAGATGATTCTCTTTATATATAGATATTCTTGAAGATACTTTTAAACAACTGGTTAGCAGAAACCTCTTTAATACTTGCCACTGATCATCTTAAGGTATTATAGGGAGTTGTCATTTATTGGCTGTATCACAATGAAATAGTATTATTTACTTAGATACAGTCACATTGTTTCATTTTATGATAAATGAACTAAAATGAAACCTACTGTACCGTAATATCCAACTGCTACTTTTTTAAAGTACAAAAGTATAAACATCTTCAGACTTTGATATAAGCAAATACATTGAGTCTTTTTGTTGTCACTATTTAGTTCCATACGTCTGTTTTACTTCAGATGAGGCTCGCTCTATTTTAGTGGATAAGGTGCTAAATACACTTGACGTTAACGATGCATCCACCATCAGGAAGACGTTACCACAAAGTACTAGCCAGTATTTTCAAGGAACCAACGAAATGTCTACAGTTTTTATTTCAGCCATAATGACTATAAATTTTATTGTTGGACCATATATTTAACCTAGTTGGAGTAGCGCAACAGATTTCCTGTATCCCAGAGCCTTAATCACTAACTGGATAGTCGAATAATAGAATTCTGAAAATAGGCGCTTAATTTTGAATACTGGTAAACTTACCTTTTTGATTGCAATATGAGGATAAGTAAGTAATTCTCATGTAAACATTAGAAAAAATGCAAAGTGTGTAACGTTATTCAACCATAGAACTCCACTATCAGTGTATAGTCGATCACTAATTACGGATTTCCTGAGGTTAAATGCTGAAACTTTTCCCACTGATAAATATTACGAAAAATACGGTTCCAAAGATTTTGATAAATATCATATCTTTTCATCGTCACACAAAATACTCTTTTAATACAGAACAGATACAATAGATGATAAATGGTATGCACTTTGACAAAACTATTAATAATGTTGATGTTCGTTATTTTTTTCCACAGACCACATTACGTGAAGCAACCCGAATACTTTCCACAATGCCTCGAGGTAACAATTCAGAAGCAACAGGTTTATCATCAGCACCAACACCATTGATGATGCTACCTGCTGGTGGTAGCAGTGTTGCCATGGATGATGATGATGATGATGATGATGATAACGGTAGTAGATATCATGACAAGAAGGTTGATTTGTTTTTGAGACTCTCTACCTAATAGTTTTATCACTTCTTTGCCCTTCAGTGGTTTTTATCAAAGATGTCATCTTCTTGCAATTCATAATTTGAGTTTATTTTCTTTCATCTTTTTCCTTAGGGCATGCACGTGTTTGTGCGTGCCAAATTATATTCGGAAACATATATATATATATATATATATATATATATATATATATATATATATATATATACTACGGTTCACGCATGTATTCATTCATTTACCTACTCAGTAGATCAGTCATAGTCAGTCATTGCATAAGTAAATCATGCTTATCTACATATCTTCATGATTTTTTTATTCTTATCATTTTAATTTCATGTGTAAATACAACTTTGTCACAATACCCTACAGAAAAATAAATGACTTTCTTATTTCATAATTTTACAACACCAAAAAGTAATCATAAGAATTGTATACTATATTTGCTTTCTTTTTCTTCTATGCACAAGTATGCATAAGGAGAAATTTGATTAATCAGCCCTCTAGTCAGTAGCTTGCTACTTTTGTTATCGAAACTAGTTCATTTTTTCGCTTCTGGATCCTTTGTATTACATTTTTTCTCTTCGCCATCTGAAGATTTCATTTCAAACCTAATTTATTATGTGAATGTCATCAATTAAATAGTTATTAAAAAACAAAATCATACTACTACTAGTTTACAGGGTTATATTTCGTACCCTTTTAATGTCTTAGGTGAAAGTTTCTGTCCAACTGCCAATAGTTGCGATGAGTAGGAGTTTCTCTTAATCCTGTTCTCAGACGAAAAGCGATTTATCTAATCATCACTACTTCTATAACGTAATGGTAACAGTATTTACAGTAATTTTCTTTTGATGTCTGTTGTTTTCATGACACCTTCTATAGGTTCATCGAGATGTATACCTGTAGCTTTATAACGCCTGAACTATCAAGATCAGTCCCAATGAATCTGCCCATTAATCGTCCATCGAATTGTGACTGATGCAAACGTGTTCTTAGGCGATAGCTATGTTACTGTCATTTAAAATCAATCCATTTGTTTTCAATCCATTAATTCTTATTATTATCACAGACATCTACTCAGGATAACTTCTAATTTAATTTATATTCCAATCTGAATACGAATGTTAGATCACTATCAATGAAAAGAGTAGTGTTAATAAAAGTGTGTGTATGGTCAATGAATTATTGTAGTGACTAACTGCTATTGACTTAAAGAGGAAATAAACTTAAGTCTTTTCAGCGGATCGACAGAATTCGTTTAGGATTCAAGACTAGACAACATGAAATCGATTGCTTCCCAGTCCCCAATCAATGTATCTAATCCAGTTTTACGGGCGGTTAATCGCAGTCTGAGTAGCTCAGTGGTAATGTCGCTGACTGTAACAGTGTGATATGGGTGGGTCCCAACCTTAGGGGGGGGGACTTCAGTTTTGTTGGGTTGCACATACTCTTAAATGATGGGAGCCAGCAAGCACAAACCGTTTAATCAGGCCTCCCTCCCGACTGCCTCTCACTAACTAATACTCATCGAAGTGCAGCGCGATGTTGAGTCAGTTAGCCTGGTAGACACATTCCAAAATCATCGATAGAATCCTATCAGCACTTGGGACTAGGCAACATGAAGTTGATTACTCTCAAGTGACCAATCAATGTGCCTATAGAAGATCAGTCGTGGTTCGAATAGCTCAGTAGTGAGGTCTCTGACTGCGGCCTTGGATGACGTGGGTTTGACTCACAGGCGAAATATCAGTTCCGTAGCGCTTGGAGATACGCCTTGCTGACGAGTGGCAAAAGTAAGAAACCTACGTTCAGGTCTTCCTGCCTACTGCCTGCATCCAACTTGCACATATCAAAGTGAAACTTACTGACTACATGGAGAAAGAGAAGTGTACACTAGTTTTTTTCAAAAACTTATAGAATATCCTGAAATGCGAGTTTTAAGGAACTATCATCTACCATAATAATGTACTTGCTAATAAACCTTGTGCTCCTGGACTAAATCTAATAGGCTGTCATAGCTGTTCTCTCGTGAAGAAATATGTTTTTTTCTCCTCCCTCATTCTCAGCAGTATTATGATTGATGATAATCCGTGATGATAACTCTCGTGATATGACATCATAATTTTTATGAAGTAATGCGAGTTCTTCATCGTACATGAAACTTAAAGGAAATAATAACCAGACTATCTGAGATAGTAATGGCTTGACAAACTGGCGTTAATGATTCTTAGTGATGATTGAAGGTGACATGATAACTTGCGTCCGAAAAAATTCTAATTTCGGGTTGTAGAATGAAAAATGTCAAATAAATCTAGGTGGTTTCTGAAATAATGGTTTTCAACAAATACTTAATAAATATTCATATGTGGAGTTGTTTTCCACGAGAAATTAGCAACAGGGTATTCAGTTTTGGGTTGTTTTGAGGTAGTATGAATGAAACCTTTGTTTCTTATCTTTAACATTGCTTTTCAAATCTTTGCTGTTTCAATGATAAACTGGTAAACAGTTGAGAAATATGATAATAAGAGATATGTATGGCAAAACATTTTCAGAATGAACTTTTATGTAAATTTTTTTATAGAAGCAACAACGACCTGTAATATTTGATCTTTTAAAGCTGAACAAACATCCTTTGATTCTGTCAAACTGATCGGCTAATGTATTTATTCCACCTTAAGTCCATCGCTGAATGATAAACTAAGGTAAATGCTTAGTCTATACATCACGGTTTAGTTTCAATCTTTTAAGTGATGCTTACGTATTCTTCACTCTATTCCTACATGTCCATGTAAGGTAAGAAAATGTACGATGATTCTTTCTCTCTTAATTTCAATATTATTATTCTAGCAGTATACAGTCACTTTCTAAAAAAGGGTCAAGACCGTAATATGTCCAAGCTGTAAATTACCAGAAAGTTAATTTGTCTTGTTATTTTAGTCTAATAAAACAACTATATGACGTAAGTTGGAGTATCATCAATTATCTTCATGCATTATGCATCATTAAAGTCTTTTGTAAGTGCTCATAAGGAGTATGAGCTCAACGCATAGTTAGTGATAATGATTTACTATCCGCTCAGAATTTCATCCTCATTCATTTATTTCATAAGAAACATAGAATCACGTTCAGATGGTTTTACATACAACGTTTGTTCTAGAGCGCTTGTAATGAATTCTATAACCCAAATGATTACTTCCTTTTTCCAATAACATTTTCACACTCACCTTCATGAAGTCCTCCTGTAAAAGTTTTGATAAATTCATCAGTGATTAATATGCGCTCGATCACTAGCTTCAATTTCTCTGTCTTCATATGTAAACGAGCAATGAGAAATCGAAAATGAAGTTGTACATTGTTCTAACGCACACATATGAGATTACTAAAGTAAACAGCGAATATCTACTGGATATAAAGTAACCTACGTGCTTACCATACTAGTTAATAATAAGATTCACTGCAGTGCATTTTGCTTCACGTGCAGCTGATGAAGCCATCTTTCATCAGTAAGAATGAAATCAGTGTAAGGTCTGTTAGTATCATCTACTGTAAAGCAAACGAAAAGTATCCTTTCTTTTAAATCAAGTAACTCTGGTAAATGAACCTCGGATGACTAAAACCCTCACGTAGCTGAACTACACATTGCAAAACTTCACTAGGTTAGTTGAAGAAGATAAAACTGGACTGCAAACTAATCGATGGATCACTCGCTATCTCAAAGATTTTACCACTTAACTGCATTAACCACAATAGGTCGACTGCTTGATAGTGACCTTCGTAACAGGCTAGTCGCCTTTGGCTGACTGAGTTCCGATTCATGAAGTTCATAGTGTTTTCACTATCCATGTAGGGTGAAGTACAGTGTATCAAGTTATCCAAATACCCATGGTGCAGGTGTAGGTAGCATCACACTGTATACAACCAAGTGGTTAGTCAGACTTAGCATGAATTTAACAACTGTCACTTGAACAAACCTCCGAGGGAAGATAAGCTTTCTGAAGTTTGCAGATATACTCTACTAATATATCCAAACAAGCATCAAACATGGGTTCTTAACTTAGTGCTGACTAACTCCTAGCGCTTAACACGAACAATGAGTACTATAATGTCAGGTCACGTAGCTTAGTGTGCACATTGCGCACTTGGTTGACACATTTCAATGAAAGTAAAAGACAGGAAAGCAATTACTGCGGTCGCCGTTCGATGACTAATTCGTTTACACCTTAAGTACTTTGTAAGATAAAGTACCTTATCCTACACGTTTTACGAACGGCCGAAAATACCACAGCCATTTTCACAACACTTGACCAAGTGATAACCTCTTACTTCTGATTGACACTAAACTTTGTTTATGTATTTCAGCAATTTGTTCTTTCAACAAATTTTAGCAGAATGCATCCACCCTACATTCCTACCGGAGCTGTTAGATTGCACTGTAAAGATAAATAATAAAGGCATATTAGTATTTCGTTTGTTTGTTTGTTTTTGTTGCAATATAAAAGCTATGCAACACAAATAAGCACATAGCAGGAGATACAACGAAGTTAACTAAATATACATCAGTCTAACAGCTCTGTAAATAGATACTGATAGTAAGTGTTGTACATGTGAGATACTACTACTACTACTACTACGGTATAACTGCTAATAGACTTTATCAAAAACTGAACAGTTAACGACTTACCAGTTGGTATTACTTCAAATAGTGTTAGGATGACCGGGAATTTTGTATTCATATGATGGAAGACGAGTGAGACAATCGATAAACGACTTTGAAATGTATTCTCTGAACTTCTCCATCTGTTGGTTTGCTGCAAGTACACTAACTTCGTTCACTCAAAATCAGAAGTGGAAGGTGCTGTCACTTTATATGTGTTTAATTGAACACATGATAGTTTCATACTACTTGTTTGGTTTTAGTCCAATACATTGATGTCAAAAACTTGTTATTTCAGCATATCCAATGAAGTTACTTGCCGGTAACCGATGGATCTCATGACAGTTTTGTTTTAGAATGA